AAAAAAAAAAAAAACAATTTAATGGCAAGCAAAAATTAAACACAAAATAAAAATATAAAGCCCTAACATATGTAAGATAATGTAAAAAAGCATTGCAAGAACCCAAGTGGAATTAAAATCAAAAACTAATGAGAATGTAAACACTGACTTTGATATTGATATATGACAGCAATAAAATGAAATTATCACCGAACCAGTTAAAAGAATTAAAAAATTTTAATTATTAAAGAAATGATGATCTGGCTTGATCATAAGCACTTAACCGCGTTTTTCATCATGAAGATAGTTTACAAATTGCTATAAGGAGTAGAACACCATTAGTAATGGAAAAGTGATGTGACTTTAAAAATTGATATAAAATCAGAGGAAGGGGATAAAATAAAAAGAAAGATGTCGTTTAATCAGAAACAGTTGGGTGAAAGAAATATAAAAGTTTTGGTTAAAAATATAAACAGCAAGATATTAATTAAAGTGAACAAAGTCAGCTTTAACAAATGGCAAAATTTAACATAGCGAAAACCTGTACCCAATCGCGACATATTTTGAAAAGATACGGATAATAAAAGTACCAGACCGCCGGAAATTAAAAACTTAATAAATTCAGATAGATAATCACATAGGCGTTTGCAATAAAATGCTTTTCACCAAGAATGAGATCGAAAAAATATTAAAATAAGTAGCCAAAGTTAGCGAAAGATTCCACTTGTAGTGGATGACACGTTAATATGGCCGTCTGATACTCTAAGTCTAAATCAATGGAACATCAGATTTCAAACACTCAAAAATGGGAAAATTGGCCAACCGGAGGCCGGAAAAGACTCACCAGGAATGCCTTGCGGGATTACAAGTTGAATTTAATTAACTTCGTGGTGAAAAAATGGATATTTATTTCTTTTAGAAGATGTTTTTGAGGACTCCATAGAAGTTGTTGTTTCGTTGGTGGAGATCTAGATCAGCTTTTCTCTATGNTGGTATTAGACTATGAAAAGCTAAGAATAGAAAACAGGCTAAATTAGTTGATCCCCTACTAGTGAGAGATATAAAACTCAGAAAATTTATGTTGAGTTGTGTTAAGCACAGTTAGAAAAGAGAATGCAATGTGGAAACATTGGTAAATACAACACATGTTTAAGACATGATTAAAATTGGTAAAATTAATAATTGTTATTGACAAATTGACACTTGGTCAGGGACAGTAAATAAAAATTAATTGGTTATAGGGAATCGCTTTGACGAAAAAGTTGTAAACTTAAGGAAAGATTAAATTGCTAAAAGCATTTTTGGTAACAGCAGCAGATGATATGGCCAGGGACTGTCCAGTTGATGATAAGCAAAACAATTGTCAACCAGTAATCCAGCAAATCTAGTTAAGTTATGATCCTAAGCTATGAATAAATATGTAACAGAACATTGCACAAATATATGTGGATACTTAAGAAATATTGTAAGATAGTAAAACACAGAGACATGATAAAAACAAAAATCAAAGCAAAAATTAAACACAAAATAAAAATATAAAGCCCTAACATATGTAAGATAATGTTAAAAAGCATTGCAAGAACCCAAGTGGAATTAAAATCAAAAACTAATGAGAATGTAAACACTGACTTTGATATTAATATATGACAGCAATAAAATGAAATTGTCACCGAACAAGTTAAAAGAATTAAAAAATTTTAAATATTAAAGAAATGATGAATCTGGCTTGATGATAAGCACTTAACTGCGTTTTTCATCATGAGATTGTTTACAAATTGCTATGAGGAATAGAACACCATTAATAATGGAAAAGTGATGTGACTTTAAAAATTGATATAAAATCAGAGGGAGGGGATAAAATAAAAAGAAAGATGTCGTTTAATCAGAAACAGTTGGGAGAGAGAAATATAAAATTTTGGATAAAAATATAAACAGCAAGATATTAATTAAAGTGAACTAAGTCAGCTTTAACAAGTGGCAAAATTTAACATAGCGAAAACCTGTACCCAATCGCGAAATATTTTGAAAAGATACAGATAATAAAAGTACCAGACTGCCGGAAATTAAAAACTTAATAATTTCAGATAGATAATCACATAGGCGTTTGCAATAAAATGCTTTTGACCAAGAATGAGATCGAAAAAATATTAAAATAAGTAGCCAAAGATAGCGAAAGATTCCACTTGTAGTGGATGACACGTTAATATGGCCGTCTGATACTCTAAGCCTAAATCAATGGAACATCGGATTTCAAATACTCAAAAATGGGAAAATTGGTCAAACAAATCTTTATGTTTACCATTGGCCTATGGTATACTGCCATACAAATTTCTATGGTTGCCATAGGCCAATTGTGATGAGCCATACAAATCTTTATGGTTACCATTGGACTATGGTATACTGCCATACAAATCTTTATGGTTACCATTGGGCTATGGTATCTTGCCATACAAATTTCCAGGGTAGCCATAGGCTTATGGGGTGTTGCCATACAAATCTCTAAGGTAACCATAGGCGTATGGTATCTTGCCATAGAAATTTCTATGGTAGCCATAGGCTTATGGTGTTGTGCCATACAAATCTCTATGGTAACTATAGGCGTATGGTATCTTGCCATACAAATTTCTATGATAGCCATAGATTACCATAGGCTTCTCTATGGCAAATTTTCCTAAGGGCATAGCTCGTGGAAATGCATTTTACCTTGATATGCCCTTCTCGGCCATTGTGGGTTTTTTGTTCTGTCTTTCATCGTTTTTCTTGTTCGGCTACTGTAGTTTTTTTTTATTTTTGTTTCTCAACTTTTTTTTTCCATTTCTATTGGCAATAACACTTCGTTTTATTTTTCAAATCGCCTTTATTTCTACTCTTTCACGTCTGGCGAAACTTGATTATAGGCGCTTGTTTTCGATTGCTCGACAGAAATTTCACGATTCACCAACAGAAATTTCACGTTGAGGAACTAGTTTTTCAACGTGAGAGTTTGAAAACTTTGAAGATTCAACAAGGTCTTGAGGATACCTTTTCAGAGTGTTCCGTAATGACTACTCTTAATACATGTGTTTAAAAAGCCTCGTCAAAAATGAAATAGTAGAAGTAAATACAGCATAAGTCGAAAATTTATATTTATAACAGGAAAGAACAGAAACTCTATCGAAATGTAATGAATACCAAATGACGCACAGGAAGAAAACATCAAAACCTATTTGATTGTCGAACTAAGCAGAAAAGTGTTGAAGGGTGATTAATGGAAATACCCTAAAATTTCATCTGGCAATGTAACTGGTTTTGATGCTTTTCATTCCATTTTTACAAGTAATTTTACAGATTTCAATAGTGTTTTTATTTTTCGTGTACTTAAATATTAGCTTGCGTTTCCTCATGTACAGTAGTAAAGAGAACAATTAATAGTTTTTATTTTATGGTCAGTCTTAGTATGTAAAAAGATCAAAAGTTATTTCTTTCCAGAGTTCTAGATGATTTTTCTGGTGCACTGTGTATCAATTTTCTTTTAAGAAACATATTTTTTTGACAAGGATTCAAAAAATTTACATAATAATGTTCGTTTTAAAGAACATTCCGTGTTTGTATTTAAGACTTTAAAATATCTTAAAAAATATTTTGCTCCATATTAAAATTACACCGGTTAATGCCATAAAATTGCTTATAATTTGAAAGGTGATATTCAAGTAGCAAATTTTTTAAATAAAATTTTTTGTTTAATATCAAAATTTTATGATTATTTTGATACTATTAAAAGGTTTATTATTTTTAAGGTAAAGTAGCAAATTAAAATAAATTTGCATCAAGTCGCCAAATTTTAATTTCATATTAAAATTTCATGCATATGTTTACACCATAAAATTGTCTGTCATTTAAAGGCGCTATTTCAGTTACATGCTTCTTTTTAAAATTCAGGTGGATTCTCAACGGACCTCTCCTTGGTGTTATATTTTGCATGCTGTTCGTCGCTCTCTTTAAGCAATTGCCGTTCATTACTTTTGTGCTCATGACAGAAATAGAAAACAATCAAGGATAACATCTCAACATCTTCCATTGAAGTTTTATATGTCCAGACACAAATCACACAGTGAAATTGCGATAGCAAATGATTATGATAATTATGCAAGGGGGGAAAAATAATCACTATGTATTTACTTACTACGTCATGGTGTATTTAAATATTGGTATTTCTAAAATTTGGTTTTAAAAACATACTAAGAAAGTATTTTCATAAGTGATTTTTTTTTGTTGCAACATGTTAAGAGTGATCTAAAATTACATTAGATGTGAATTTTGAACATTTGTGCATTACCAACAAAAAAACCAACAATACTATTAAATCAGGACTATAAAAATATTAAAAAAAATTAACTCAACACCGCATTTCCATTTAAGTTTTTAAAAAGACATTTTTCATTAAAAAAAACCGAAGTTTAAAATGTTTAAAAATGTTAAAAATGCTCACAGTTTAAAAATGATCTATATCAAAAACTTTTCCAATAAACTATTATTATTAATCAATTTTCAAAAGATTTTAAGATTTAAATGTGATGAAATAACTAAATTTTGGAAAGCTTATTTATTATTTAGCAAAATCTGCCTTTTTTTATAGAGCCCGGAGAAGCATTTGAATATAAAAATTAATTTTGTAATTGGAATGTTTCATTACTAAAGCTTGTAGGCTAACTCAGAAATTAACTTAAATTGAAAAATCTACTTTTTGAAGACAAGTATTTAAATTATTTTCACTTAAAAATGTTTCTAATGTTCTTAAACAATAAATGCATGGGGTTAATTACTAAGCAATTTAAGATAAAAGTTTAAAGAATTAGTGGTTTCGCAAATTTCCGGCATTTTAAACACTTAAACAAAAAATGGGTATTTAATTATTTAAACGCTAAATAACTGCAATTATTTCCTAATTAGGAAATAGGAAATTTAATTAGTCACAATTATTTACTCAAGTAATCATCTTCCAAAATTTTGATGTTGAAAAAAAAACAATAAAGCAACTAAAGGAACGAGTAAAACATTTTTACTAAAGAAATTGACATTACAAAGGAAATTATGGTAGTAATTCATAATTAATTCGCATTTCGTGAGCATTGAGCAGAAACATCATGCATTTATCAAATGTGTTGTGAATTGTGTAAATAAACATTTACTTAAATGTTAGCTGAACTGCTGCCATAGCTACAACATTAATGCAATTGCAGTAATCATTTCTGACAGTTGCTCTTATTTTTAGCACGCAACTGAAATACTATAAGATAAAGTTTACTGTTAAATAACTCGAAAGTTACTTTATTTAAATAACTATATTTTAGGGAGATTTGTTTCAGCAATTATCTTCGACAAGAATCTTGTCGAGGAAAAACTCGAATTATTCACTCCAGCTTTTTCCTTATTTAGAAACAACATAAGCTACATAATAAATAATAATATATCAAATATCTCACAAATTTCCCTAAAATTTAAATAAATCAACTAAAGAAAAATGGAAAAAGATGTATGGTTTGTTATGTTCTGTTCAGATAACTAGTTTAATATATATTCTCCCCAAGTTTCAAAATTAGCTACAAAAATCGTAGAAAGATGGCGCTGTTGACTAAAACCTTCAAAGCAATAGCTTCCGTTCGCATAGCGTACAATTCGAACTAAAATATTTGCAAGGGCACGTGTTAAATTGTACTCAGACTGCACCACATTGTTGTTGCAAATAGTGGTACACTTAAGAAAGTTTTTTCTTACTTCGCTCGCCTAGTAGCGCAGTCTGTTGACAGATTTTGTTACTAATTTTAAGACTTCGTTAGGAGAAATAATGTTTCCTAACAGAACGCTACAAACCGTACATTTCTATCCTTTGACTTTTTTCATTGTTAATAATTTTTTAAATTGCTTTATAAACTTAAGGGTGAAGTATTATGCTCATAAGTTGAGTATAATGAGCTTTTTTTTAACACTACTTAAACTGTCAAATGTTTCAAAAGTTTAAAGGAAAATGTTAGTTCCCTGTTAACTCTATGCAATGTTAACATTGATGTCACTTTTATTTGCAATTTTTTCAACAACAGAGACGTATTTAATTAATTTTCGTTGCATGGAGTTGTTGTATGCTGTTTCCAGATCGTTGTTATTATTATTAAGTAGCAATTTATATATGTACTTTAATTTTATATTGAGACAGAGCGAGATGTTGACTCCTAGTTGTGGTTTACTTGAAAGCATTTTTACAGCTTTTCTTACCTGACATCGTCATCTATTGATGAATTTTACATCTAATTTTAAATCTTGAAGAGGAGAAATTATTGTTGATTCAGATATATTGACACAGAAAACCGTACATTTCTATCATTTGATTTTTTTTTGTAAATATTATTAATTTTTTCAAATTGAAATAATAGTCGGTAAATCATGGAACCCAATATTTTGCTTATCTGTTTGCGCTTCTACGTGTTTACATTCATCATCTACGTCTTTTAACATTACTTAAACTGTCAAGAGTAACTGTTTTTAACGCATTAAGGAAAACACTAATTCTGTGTTAACTCTATGCATTCAATGTTAACATTGATGTCTCCTGACCTTTCATCTTTTTCCAGCAAAAGAGACACAATTAATTCGTTTTCCTTGCAAGGAGCAAGACCCGGTTGTTGTTTGCTGTTTCCAGAACTTCTTTTTTTATCATCTGACAATTTATAATTATCCTTTAATTTTGTGCACTGAACAGCAACGTATTTCAAATCACCTTCGAAGCAGAGTTTGATTCCTGTGAAAACAAGAAAAATTTATTTTAGATATCTAGAATCATTAAGTGTTAAATATTCATTTTTTTTTGTGATAATTTACCATGACAAAAATTAAACTTTATCCGTTAATTTATTTAATCACGGTGTAACAAGCGTCCAATCATTTTCACTCAGAAAATTAAAGAGAAACATAGGTTAAGCAACAACAAACTACATTGTAAAACTGTGGTGTAATATCTTTCAGAATTTAAAGTTTAACGAACGAAAACCATTTTTTTTTTCAAGTTAACACCTAATCGACTTTTCTATATACGATTTAAAGATTGCGTGAAAAGCTCTAAACACCAAAAACTCAAAAAGTTTACACCAAAATCACTTGTCTTTACACCATACGGTTAAATAATTTTTAATCCAAAAAATACAATGTTGTCGTATTTTTACTTCGTCTGTAATTGTTTACAATCGCTAAGGAATAGACGAATGTTAGAGGTTTGCCTTAGATATTGCTTTTATCAGAAGAAACTAAAGTTTGCCGTTAAAAACATGTATGTATGCTTTTAGTTGTGAAATTAAGATATTTATATTCTAATTTCCAAGTCTCTGTAAACTGTATAAAATAATTTTATAATGTATAATTACTTGCCGCTTAAGCCTAGAACAAATTCGTCTTAATATTTCTCCTGTTATGTGTATGTTTGATTTGCAAACTTATTTTAATTTAAGAATTAGGTATATATATATATATATACACTATCTGGACGGAAGTCAAGTCACGAGACAACTGTAAAGTTTGGTGGAGGATGATTGATGGTATGGGCCTGGATGATTGATGGCTATTCTCGACAATCATGTCCTTCCTACCTTGTGGGCAACGTACGGTATGGATGATTGCTTGTATCAAGACGACAACGCAAGTTTCCATGTTGCAAGGAGGACTGGTATGTGAACAACAACGTTAAACGCATAGAGTGGCCGGCGCAGAGCCCTGATCTTAACCCAATTGAACATCTCTGGGACGAATTGGACCGTCGGTTGAGGGCCTGCATCCGACTCCCCAAAAGCAAGCATGATCTATGGAACTTCCTGTTAAACATTTGAAAGGAAATTTCCCTTGCCACTATGGCTAATTTAGTGGAAAGCATGCCCAGAAGGATTGCAGCTGTGATCGCAACCAAAGGAGGCCCTACCTCATATTAATTTTAATAAATATGGGTTTAAGTCGTTATAGTGTCGTGTCCCATCACTTTCTTCCAAATTATATATATATATATATAGTACAAATAATGTTACTGATTCTTATATGTATCATATGTTACTGAGGTTAAAAATTTTTGTGTCACTAAATAACAAACATTGGGATTGGTAGCAGCTACGTTACACATAGAAGCTATCTTTGGGTTTTGGTGTATAAGAACACCACTTCGGTTTAAAGTAGTTACCACTATTTTTGGTGTTCAAATACACGATCAAATTTCCGCATATTAACTTATAATTCTTGTGGCTCAAGGGGTTAAAGATAAGTATGCTAATAATTTAGAATACAAAATCAGACACAAAAACATACTTTTTTTTAATAAATATCGCTTTATCTTCAACAGATTTGGATTATTGATGTTCAAAATATGAGGAGGAGGAACCGTTGCGTGAATAAAGTATTTCTGAAATAGTTTAATGAAGAGAGTGGTCAATATTAGTTTCAATTTCCCATTTAATCCTTATCAGATGGAATTCAGCCGTATTAAAAATTACAAACCCCACAACATTTTAAAACACTTTTTTATTCGAAAATAACTTCGGGTAAATTTTTTTTACTTTATATTATTATTTTATTTTATTAGCATCATCGAACAGCTGACCCAATTCTGAGTTTACGACTACCAATGTTCATTTCCGTTGCCCTGTAATTATGAACCCATCTCAGAGGACAAGGGAACTCCTGTATGAAACATTGGGACAAACCAGCCTTCGTGGAGGACTTTTTTGAAGGAATTAATCCGCTTCTACATTACACGGAAAGGGAAACCACGAAAACTTCACTCAGTTAGCCCGATGGCAAGGGCATTCTAACCCATGATCTGTCTACCACTTAGGATATTTGGCTAAAGAACTGTGGTCGTCGCAAGCCGGGAGCAGAACTCGTATCAACCAGTCACCGCTAGAAATCGAACCTGAGTCACCTCATAAGGCGCTCTATCCCTTGAGCCACTGTGGCTCAAATACATTATTATTTACCATAAACTTTTGAGAAGTAAGATGGATAAATTCTTAGAAAATTGTAAACAGTGTAATTTTGAATGACAAAGTCAAAATATCGTGCAAAATCGGTCATTTAATTTATGAGTTATAAAACTAAAAGAAAAAGTCAAATTTCTTAATTTTCATTTTTCAAGAACTTCTGGATCTAATCAGCTTGAAGTTCGGATTTTGTCATTTCAAAATATACTTCAATGATTTAAATTAATGTACCTTACAATTCAAAATTTTTTCACTCCAAACAAATTTCCGATATTTCTTGACTCAATCATTAGGATTATGTTTTCCAGAAGCCGACCAGGTGGCCGAGTGGTTAACGCTCCTGACTGCGGAGCCGATGGTTGCGGGTTCGAATCCTGCTCAGGGCATGGATGTTTCTTTCCCTCTGTGTTCTATGTCCTTTCTCCCTTGTGTGATTGTGACCCGCCCTATAAACGGGTTTGTGGTTGCGTGACGTGGGCGATGCTGCTCCATCTCCGTGGCTTCGCCACAGGTGCCCACTGGGTAACGAGAAGAGAGTAGCAGTTCTGGTATTCCTGAGGCCAATGGAACAATAAATCCCAAGTGCTCGCCATTGAAAAAAAAGAAAAAATATATGTTTTCCAGAATGTGACGGCCCCTATATTTTAAATGTCGAAAATCAAAATCACTCGAATAAAAGTTACTCTAATTTTGAAAAAAATTGTATTTTTAAGTCTGGTTTTGTATCTTTATGAAATTTTCAACATACTTATTTTTACATGGAATGCTTTTACGTATGTGGTCGTAAATACCGATGCGACATTTTTCCTCATGTTGGCAACGATTAATAGCTGGGCAAAAACGAGAAGCATTTAATGTTACAGAACAGAAGCTTAAAAAACTTGAAAACATGTGAAGTACTGACGAAAGAAACTCATATCAATGTGAAGTACTTCATATTCAAAGCTTTAAACTTTTTTTCCTTATTATCCACATGATAACAGAAAATTTTAAGTTTAAAAAAATGCTAAGAAATGCAAAAATATAAAGGATTGACATTTTTAACTCCATCAAAAACCAATAATATTTCTCCAATAGGAAATTATTGAATTTAAAGTTAATTACGATTACAGCCATGCCGACATTTTTAAAGCCTTTTTAAGGACTCCAACAGTGATGCAAACCAATAAAGTTTTAGTTTTTCCAAATTTCATCTAAATTTCAATTATAAACTTTTACTTTTTTCACTTTTGGCAAGCCTTTCTACATCTGGTGGAGCAAAAATGAATTTCAGTAAGTGAGTAATTTGACAACCTTGCTGTAGCAGTGATATAATTGCGTTTCAGAGAAGTTTTTATTGTTTAGTGTGATTATTTTGAAAGAAATGTTTAGTTCAGAAATGATCTTTTTTGCAATGCAATACCCGGAATTATTTATGCCATTAACTACCAGGACATATTTCAAACAAGCAAGCTAGTTGAATGACTAAGATTGTATAGCAATCTCTGGGTGCTGATGAACTTTACCGAGCAGGGGACTAAGACAACCAGTAAATCAATATTTTATTTTCATTAACCCTTTGTTTACGGTGTACTATCTTCTACCATCACATGTGGTCCACATGTCGTACCAGCCGTAAGGAAAAGGTTAAAGAGTAAATTGGTAATTGGCTTTATTGTCATATAAGGGTATTGTGATGTATGTTTCATATACTGCTTAAAAGCATTTTTTATTCAATGTCTTATAATTTTTATAATATTCTTACCAGACACGCCGGAGTTTATGACAAAACCAAGTTTCCCTTGAAAATGCTGTTTCATTATGTAATTTTATAATATTCTTACCAAATATGCCATAGTTTGTGTATATGTAGCAACCAAAGTTTCTTTAAAAAAGTATTTTTATTACGTAATTTTATATGTTTACCAGACAGGTCATAGGTTAGGCCGTAACCGAATTTCCCTTCAAAAGGATTTTAAGTAATTTTATTATGTAATTTTGCAATATCCTTACAAGACATGCCATATGTGGGGATAGTAGTTAACGACAATGTCAACCTTTATCTATGAAAAAGTACCCTGCCATAGAATCAAGTTAACATGACTTATATGCTAGTGAATTGGAATTATACTTTTGTAGATACACTACACCTACACCAACCATAGTTTATGTCGAAACCAAATTTACCTTTAAAGGGCCTTTTTATCATGTAATTTTTTAATATGTTTACCGCACATGTCATAGCTGATGTCGCAGCCAAATTTCCCTTCAAGAGGATTTTTTATTTTGCAATTTTATAATATGTTTACCAGACTTGCCCTAGTTGATGTCGCAACCAAATTTTCTTTCAAACGGCTTTTTTTATTATGTAATTTTATAAAATGCTTACCAGACACGCCATAGTTGACGCCGCAACCAAATTTTCCTTCAAAAGGCTTTTTTATTATGTTTTCCACAGTTGATGAAAAAACTGCACCTTGCTGGAAAACATCTTTGCACTTCATTTTCATGTCAGGGTTAGTAAACAGAGCTCCTCGGCTGCAAAAAGAACACCGAATTCTTGAACACAGTCATAATTGAAATTCTCGAAAATAACTACTAATGGCACATTCATAGTTTTTTTCGGGGCTTAAAATTATTAAGCACTAATTGTAATTTTATAAATAATTTTTGGGAACTATAGGTACTTCTAAACCTTTTTTTGCTGCAAATTCTCCTGCTAAAATGGTATTAGATACGTAACTTAGATTTTTAAAAAAAATTTGTTTGAGACTAATTCAAAGCAGTCAATATTCTAACTCTATTGTACCCCTATTTATTTTTAAATTAATGCTTCCCGCGTTTTCAGTTTTAGGTTTGAATTTATTCTAAAAGCTTATTTTTTAAAATCATTGTTTTTGTTGTTATATAATATTTTTTATTTCAGTTACATGTCTGCTAGTTTTATGACAAAAGGTAAAATAAATCACTTCCGTGACAGCCCGTTGGGAGACAATAAGGTCATGACGGTTAAAGCTACTAAACTTCGCCTATGGTGACATTATGGTATTTATTTAGCCGCAGAGTGGCGGTAATTCGAACATTCGCCGCCAAGTGAAGTGGCTGGTTGATATTAATTGTGATCCTGGCTTGTACCGATCACAGTGCTGACGGTCAAGTGGTAGACGAATCATGGGTTAAAATCCCCCAGTCATCGGATTGACCGGGGAAGATTTTTGTAGTTTTCCTCTCAATGTAACGCCAATGTGGTTTAGTTCCATCAAAAAGTTCTCCACGAACGCTAGTTTGTCCTAATACTTCAACTAAAAATCCCCTTGTCTTCTCGGTTGGGTTCAAAATTTCAATGATATTGAGGTGAGCATTGATAGTTGATAACTCAGAACTTGTTAGGCTATTCTGCACCGGTTATAAAATTAAAATAAATTTAATCGAATATTCAATTAGTGCTAAGCTTTATTTTAAGATTTCAAAATAATAATGAAGTAAAAAAAATAAATAATTTGAAGAAACTTAAATTGTCATTAGGCAAAAAGCTTTGAAGATGAGCACTCTATCTAGTTCAATTCTGATTGGAGATGAATTTCTATTTTGAAAGGCAATTTCAAAATTAGAAATGAATTCCCTTTATGAAGGTCAGGAAACTAGTGGTACTATGTATTTTCATACAACACAAAACTTGAGTTAAAATTTGGTTTAATTAGAAAGAGAGCAAATTTTCACTTGCAAGATATGTCATTCAATAACAGACGCCAAAGCTTTAATAAAGTATAACGTGGAAGCAAAATAATAGCGATAATAATACTAATTATTATAATAAAACTTTTCAACTCACTCCACGGATAATCCATATATAATATCTATCTTATTATTTTCACACTTAATGAGTGGTGGAGGTGTTGCACAAGTCTCACCCTCTTCTTCAGCTGAAACAAAATGAACAAACATAAATTTCTTAGACGAAACAGTTCATACAAATACATTCCGCAACGGCCAGCATAGACCATAATATTTGCACCTATCTTAAAAGCTTTTCCGTGTTTTATTTGCGTAGTAGAACCAGTAAATACAATGTGTCCGCAAGGTCATAGAGCACTTTTGATCTGTTACCGGTCAAAAGTGTACCAAATTTAATGGACACACTGTTATCGGAATAAAAAGACTAAGCACCAATCCCAATATAGTAAGGTAATGAGAATTTTGCTCATTTATGGGTGCATTGTTTTCCGCATTCTAAACAAGTTTTTTTTTTGAGATATTGAGCCTTAAAAATTCCAAACGCTCTTAAAATAAATTAAAAATACGAAGAATTCCGTAACCGTCACTTTTAATACCAATTTTATTAATCCTTGTCAAAAATGGAGTCAAAAGGTACAAACATTAGAGGTCTAAAATTATTAATTTAATAAGGAAAAAAACATAAACACCATAAAAAATATATCGAATCGCGAGCGTGGATGGCGGGATAAATGCGTCAAAACCAGTTTGATTGCCCAATAAAAATTAGAGATGTCTTTAAACATCGCGTTTCTATTTCTCCCCCGTTTCTTTCACCATTCAAGTAGGTTTTGTTGATCTTAACCCTTACTTTCTCAATAGTGATTCAAAAGATTTAGATATCGTTATTGTTTTGCCCTTAGTTTTATATTAATTTGAAACCCCTAATGTTCATGATTTCTTTCCCATTTGCTATACATTAAGGGTGGCCGTATGGAACCCCCTATATATGAAATAAATACCGATGGATGCTTCTGAAACTAAAATATGTTGTTATTCCCAATATTCTAAATAAAAGATTCAATCAGCACAAAATTTAAACACTATATTTTTTAGATTAATTTATAATGCGCAGTGTGCACAAAAAAAAAAATTTTGACCACCTTGAATAGTTTAGATCCTAAAGATCGTATTTTCACGAACTAGGACACAATTATAATGGTTTGAGGTGATAACCTCAGATATAAAATTTAAGCTATCTAATAATAAAGCTATCCCATGATATCTAACTCAATCTTCGATCCTTGACCTTAGCCCAAAGGGTGGGGTAGAACTTTGAATTACTCTCCGAAAAAAGTAACTCCAGAAAAAGGAACCCGATTCAATCTACAGGTTTATACATTTTGCTTAACCGAGGGGCTGAAACCAACATAAATTAAAATGGGATACAAGTTGTTTAAAATGGCGATATCGAAATTTTTGTTTCTCGAAATAGAAATAAAAATATTGCAGTATTTCATTTAAAAAAACATTTTAAATATTTTTTTTTATCTTTCTTATTTGATGGGTTTCGTGATTCACCATACCCTATTTTTCTCGGTTATAACTCCATCTTTGAAGCAAAATGAATAAATCGATGAAAAAAATAATAAAATAAAATAAAATAAATAAAGGTTTTTATTGAAGATTTCAAAGCTACCCCTCTCCCCAGAGGGTGGGTTGGGAGATCAAGTTCGGTATTTGGTTAGTTTTTTATAAAAAAATATCGAAAGCGTCTATTTTCATTTTTCGATGTGACGTATATTTCTAGAGATATTTGACAGTTTCCGAACTTTTTTTACACCCTATATATTAATTTGCGTCCTTTAATGTGTATATTTAATTTATTTAAGTCAACAGCTATGAAATGCATATTAAGAGTGATTGTTTCGTAACACCCGATGCATTAAAATCAGCATTGACAAGGTTAGGTAAATTCAGGAGATTTTTCTTTTTAACGTCTAAAGTGTCTTGTGTCTTGAATAACAAGGTGTAAAGAATAGTTAAATAATATAAACATATATTCCAATTTTCAAATGTAAACATTTTGCTTGAATTTCAATGTCAAGTTACTTAGGTACTTAGGGCACTAAGGGTAGTTACTTAGGGCAGTACTTACATTAAGGAAGTTAGGCATTATTCCCCCCCCCCTCCCCAATATNAATGTAAACATTTTGCTTGAATTTCAATGTCAAGTTACTTAGGGCAGTACTTACATTAAGGAAGTTAGGCATTATTCCCCCCCCCCCAATATGTAACGGTTACATTCCACTGCAATACCATCTAACACGCTCTATGATGCATTTTTTAAGCAATTCAATTCGGGCATGAACTTTATCTGACACGTGATGATTTAAGGACTTGAGGCAATATAATAAGCCACACACTTCGCTAAAGATAGCATTTATACATCAAACTATTCTAGTGTACTTTCTTCAGATAGGTATTTTACCACGCTTCAGAAATTTCTTCTTGATAACATCTTATTTCCTATACCAGTGAGGGGGGGAAAAGATGTTACTAAACATAAATCCTGTTCCCTGTATAGAAATCGCTGTGTTTTTTTCAGAAAAAACGATCTTTTGATTATTTTTAGAATGTAGTTTATCATTATATTACCCCAAACCTACAATTTTTGCACGAATAAAAATATTTCCCTTCTCTCAGACCACAATCTTTCAAATTAGGTAGAAGCAATGAAAGAACATTCTGCTTCTGCTGAGTTAACACAACAATGAGTTAAATTTTATTTTATCATCTACAGTAATATGAAAATATTGAACTAAAGTTTAGTCTTGAATTTTTCCTTGAGAATTTTATCTTATTAGAACTTTTATTATACTAAAACTGCAGTTAATTAAAAAATTATAGAAATGAAGGCGTATAACTATCCAATTTTATAATGAATATAAGTTAAATTTATTATTCATTTTAATATTTACTTAGCAAATTAACAAATAGTTTAAAATTTATCATTAAAGAAATTTTAATTACGAACTATAACCAGTTAGCAATGCAAAAAAGTTTTTAGAATTACTATCAGTTACATATGATGAATATGAAGTGGAAGTAAAATTTTTCGTATTCGCAACGTTATTCCGTATTTTATGAACGTGATTATTTAACGGGAACTTGGTCATTTTCAAACAGCGAAACAAGTTTAACCGTACATGGTAAATGGTAAAATTATTTTTTAAAAAAAATGCAAAATCTTTACGAGCTTCAGACGTAGTTAGAACAGCAGTTGTTGGTTGTTCAGTAGTAGTTGTTGTAGTCGGCTCAGTTGTGGTTGTTGTAGTTGGCTCAGTTGTCGTAGTTGTGGTGGGTTCTGTTGTAGTCGTTGTAGTTGATTCAGTCGTAGTAGTTGTTGTCGGCTCAGCAGTAGTCGTTGTTGTGGATTCAGTGGTAGTTGTTGTTGTTGGTTCGGTTGTGGTCGTAGTTGTTGATTCTGTCGTTGTGGATGTTGTTGGCTCAGTTGTTGTGGTTGTTGTTGGTTCAGTTGTAGTGGATGTTGTTGTTGGCTCAGTTGTTGTAGTTGTTGTTGTTGGCTCAGTTGTTGTAGTTGTGGTTGGTGCAGAAGTGGTGGTTGTTGTTGGCTCTGTTGTTGTGGTTGTTGTAGTTGGTTCTGTGGTAGTAGTTGTTGGTTCAGTTGTAGTGGTTGTAGTTGCTGATTCAGTTGTTGTGGTTGTTGGCTTAGTTGTTGTGGTTGTAGTTGTTGGTTCAGTTGTAGAGGTAGTTGTTGGTACTGAAGTTGTGGTTGTAGTCGGTTCAGTTGTTGTGGTAGTTGTAGGCTGCGTTGTCGTAGTGGAGGTCGTAGGCTCAGCAGTTGTGGATGTTGTTGGGGCTTCAGTAGTTGTTAGAGGTTTGGACATCTAAAAATACTCTTCATAATGAAATTTCGGTCAATGATTATTAATTTACTTCTTACGATACTTTCAATTACCAAATATTTGTTTATGCACAGTTATTTTGCTCCATTTAGTAATTTAGTTCTTATTTTTTTCTGTGTCGCTTTTTATTGCAAATAGCATTAAAAAATATGTTACACTTTAAAAACTTTTGAGCTTATGTACGGATGTAATCTTCGATTTTCTGCATAACACTTTGAAGGACCAAAGCTATTCCACTCAAATAGTAAAAAGAATAATTATTTTTTGTTGAATCAATCTCAATTCAAGGACTTCTTCAATAAAAACAGTATTTTTTTTCTTTTAGTTAATTTGAATATTTTTACTTCTAAACAAATATTAGAAAATCCGAGATCTAGAAGTTGCAACAATGATTGTTCAGTTAGGAAAACAATAAGAAGTTTGGGAGTAGCATAATATTAACATAGACTTTTTCGATTAACTCTTCATCTGTGAAAAGCAATTGCACATACAAAAATAGGTTTACAAGCAATTACAAAACACATGTATTCAGAAATAGTTCTGCACAAAAAATGTTTTTTATTCATATTTTATGGTCTAATTTATGATGATCGAAAAAAATTCAAACTATGCTACATAATTTAAAATGTAAAAAGTCTTTCCTGTTCTTCATTGGTACCGATAGAAGTAGAAAGTTCGAATAGATCACTACAGTATTATATGATAAATGATAACTAGTTTTAGAAGCAGAAAAAATTAATGAATTCGATTCTTTATGAAATGAAAAAGGGTTCGAGTATTTATAAAAAAAGCTGAGGGTTCGAGTACTGATTAAATGACAGCGGGAACAAGTACCAATGTAAAAATTGTATGTTCTATAATACACAAAAAATTGGGCTCGGAAATATTTAAATGATAGAGGGTTGAAATACCGTGAAAAAATAGTGAGTTCGAATATTCAAAAGAAGGCAATGGGTGAGAAAAAATTCTCAGTTCTTCCCTAGTACCGATAGAAGCAGATTAAGTTCGAATAGAGATGAAATGGTAATTGAATAGATTATTGAATACATGATAGCAAGTTTTAGAAGCAGTAAAAATTAATGAATTAAATTATTTTGTGGAGTGAAAATGGGTTCGAGTATTTATAAAAAAAGCTGAGGGTTCGAGTACTGATTAAATGAAAGCGAGATCAAGTACCAATGTAAAAATTGTGGGTTCTATAATGCACAAAAAATTGGGCTTGGAAATATTTAAATGATAGAGGGTTGAAATACCGTGAAAAAATAGTGAGTTCGAATATTCAAAAGAAGACAATGGGTGAGAAAAAATATTCAGTTCTTCCCTAGTACCGATTGAAGCAGATTGAGTTCGAATAGAGATGAAATGGTAATTGAATAGATTATTGAATACATGATAACAAGTTTTAGAAGCAGTAAAAATTAATGAATTAAATTATTTTGTGGAGTGAAAATGGGTTCGAGTATCGATAAAGAAAAAACTGTGGGTTCAAGTACTGATTAAATGAAAGCGAGATCAAGTACCGATGAGACAATTGGGGGTTCGATATTGCACAAAAAAAAAAGCGCTCGAAAAAATGCTCAAGAAATTGAGGTTTCGACTGTTGGTCAAAAGTGAGTTAGTTCGAGAGCTGATTGAAAGATAGTGGGTTTTAGTCCTGTTCAAATGATAGCGGGATCAAGTACCTATAAGAGGACAGCGTGTTTAGTTATTGATCGAAGGAGAGTAGGCTTATGATGTGTTCAAATAATTTCGAATTCTTGAGCCTACTCTCTTTTGATCAATAATTAAACACGCTGTCCTCTTATAGGTACTCGAACCCGCTAACATTTGATCTGTACTAAACCCCACGAACTTTTAATCGACTCTTGAACCTACTATCATTTGATCAATAATCAGACTTCTTATATTTCATCAGTACTCTATCCCCAATCATTTGATCAGCAAGTGAACCATCTATTATTTGAACAACTCTCGAACTTACTATCACTTGAAAAGTTTTCTTACGTACTCTCTTTTTTCAATGTTCAAACCCACTCTGGTTTAATCAATGCTTTGACCCACCATCTATTTATTGATTTTTGAAACAATTCTCCTTTTTTCGTTATTCAAAACCACTACCATTTAACCAATAATCAAAGCAAATATTTTTATCGGTCTCAAACCCACTATTATTTGATCAGTATTCGAGCCGAATATCATTTGATCAATTATCGAACTTCCTATTTTTCATCGGTACTCAATCCCCTATCATTTGATTAGCACTTCAACCCTCTAACAATTGAACATTACTCAAACCCATTATCATTTGAACAGCTTTCTTACTCTCTCTTTTTTTTAATTTTCAAATCCACCATCTTCTTATCCTTTTTCTAACCTGCAATCATTTGAACAGTTTTCAAGCCCACTCTCTTTTGAGCAATACTGAATCATCTTTTTATTGGTTTTTAAACCAGATATCATCCAATTAGTACACAGACGCAATCGTTTTTATCACTAATCGAACACCCTATCGAAACCAATTATCGAAACAACTTTCATTTGTTGATATTCATTCTTTCATTTGTTCCAAGAAATTTTGCTGAGAAATTTATTCAAATTAATAAGCACATTTTGAAATATCATGATAAAAGTAGTTATAAGTTTTACTAATATTTTGCAATTATAAATTTGCACAAACCGTTGTAAATTTACGAAAATTTGAAACATTTGCTTTCGTTTAATGCTAACATATAATTGCATTTATTTATTGACAAATACCTGAATAATAATAAAACCTAAAATAAGTAACACAAAAATCTGGTATATTGTTCCACTAAAATTTATTATTGGAACAACTTTTAAAAATAAACAAGAAACTAAATTGTTGATTTTTTTTCGTATTTAGAAACAAATTTAATATTTCATAAAATTTATTCAAGATGTCAACTCACTAACTCAAATTTAAAGTTAAGCACTAGAGTTAAAATTTACGTTTATTCTAGTATCGACTTATTTATTAAAAAAATTGGAAGAAAAGTGGCGACATTTAACTGAAATTATTAATGTTGTTGTAGTTGTAGTTCATTTATGTCGCACTAGAGCTGCAGAATGGGCTATTGGCGACAGTCTGGGAAACATCCCTGAGGATGATTCGAAGACATGCCATCACAATTTTGATCCTCTGAAAGAGGGGATGGCACCTCCCGCTTCGGTAGCCCGACGACCTGCACGCAAAGTCGAGCACTTTACGGTAGAACAGTTTAACGAGGACCAATACCGCCCACCCTCGGTCCCTATGCAGACTGATCCAAGTGGTCACCCACCCGCACACTGACAGCAGCCGGTGATGCTTGACTTCGGTGATCTGCTGGGAACCGTGTCTTAACGATCAGTCCACTGCGGGATTTAAATAAATGTATATTCTTGATTTTAATACACTTATAGTATAGATTGGATCCTTTATTTCCAAATGGTGTTCCATGGAACCCTAGGGCTCCATGATAAANGGTAGCAATAGCTTACTGCCAAACAATAGGAAGTCATCTAGCAATGTGTTGGATTACCTGGTCAAATAGACTTCTCTGGAAAAAATTTTGAATTTGCTATTATCTCTGTAACACCTTGTTTCTTTGAAAAAATTATAAGGTGAGTGTTTGTATTTATATGAAGTGAAATTAATTGCATGTAATAGTTTTATTTTTCTCACTGAGAAAAGGAGAATTCAAATATGGTTATTGAAGTTACGTTTTATTTTTTTAAAGCATCATAAAGCATCATTTTTAAGGCATCATTTTTAAAGCATGATAAAGTACTGAGATAAGGGGGTGTTTATTCACTGGATCACCAAGCGATGAAAAACCAGTGAAGGAACAAGTGTTACTTTACTGGGTTTTTTTATAAGTCAATGAAAATAAAAGATAAACTTTAATTTTCTTGTACCTTTAGTGATGTTCCGCATCAAAAGTATGTTAGATATGAGAAAAACAACTTCTAACCAATGAGGGAACAGGCATGTTCCTTTACTCGGCATAGATTTTCCAGTGAATGGACAGTATGTTCTAATACGTTGACACGTTAATTTTCAATTCATGATTACAAAAGGATGTTAACATTTTCCAAGTATTTATATGTTATAATTTCAAGAATTGGCTTGCTTTTAAATATTTGTATGGCTTATAAATTCAGAAAGAGCATTAAAAAATAACCAAAATTTAGTGTTCCTTTACTGGGTGTTCATTCACTGGTAAGAGCTGTTCCTTCACTTGGTCTTCTTACTACTTGTTATTTGACCCTCCAAAACTTTAAAACAATATTATGTAAGTGCTCTACAATTTTTTTACATAATTTGAAATTAGTAGCAAATATGTTGACACTGTCATTTAACTAAAATTACAAATTTTGAAATTAATATGATTTTTTAAAAGGCAAGCGAAGCTTAAGTGTTCCTTCACTGGTTAGTTTACCCTAGTAATACGTACAGCAATTTTTTTTTCGTATTTTATTATTTATTTTATTTTTTTAGTTAATACACACTTACAAATTAAATTTGATAGTCCTCGCAATATGTCATTTTCCCCAGTATTTCTTTTATTAATACTACAAAAAAAATACAACTTTTAAAAAAACTTTAATTTACTTTTTTAAAAAATTGGAAATAATGGTATTAATTTCTTTGAAATTATTAAAACATATCACCACAGAATTGGGGTTAACAAGCAACTAATATAATTCTTGAAAGGCAGTAGAACACTTCAAAATCAATTTTTCAAGTGGCTCTTATAGACTTACATGGTATATTTGATATCCCTCGTAATCACAGCTTCCGTCAGAACAATCCTCTTCATCGATAACTTTTAGAGTGTAACAATCTCTTGAATAATCCTCTTCCTCAACTGGTCCAAGAGCCAGACCGACACAATCAGAATTTCTTTGGCATTTCTGCAGACAAGATATCATAAGAGATTTGTTATATTCACCCAATACCCAATTCTGGTGGAATTTATCTTCAAACCAAAAGTAGTATGGCGAAGGTGTTGAAACTTCAAAACCGAAAGTCTGGCAACTTGTCCAAAGAAAAAATGTTATAAGGGCCTTAGTGTTCATTATTACGTGATAAAATCCGTGTTAAACTATGAAATCTCAACTCTGACCTTTATGAGCTGTTAGTCATACTAAAGTATGTTCTAAATATTCATCATTATTACGATCCGTGACAAACTATGAAGTCTCAACTCTTTCTGCACTTAATGCGGTGTTATTCAATTAAGTACGTTCTAAATATTCATCATTATTACGTGATAAAATCCGTGATGAACTACGAAGTCTCAACTCTCTCTATACTTAATACTTTACACGTTGTTATTCATACTTAAGTATGTTAGCATCGTAAATGAAAGTCTTGATTCGCAGATTTCAAAATTTAGAAAAATTTGATTTCATTATTTTTAATAATAACTAAGCAACCAAATAAGTATGCAACGTTTAGCAGATAAATTATTCAAAACTTTAAATACTTCGTGCTGGCTTGCACGAAGCATTAAAAATTCATAAAATGCATCTGTAATCAAAGAGTTAGAAAAAAGGCCATCACTACAACAAATGTAGTTGCAGGATAATAAAAACAACATTACTAAAAGAATAAAAGCATCAAAACAAAAATAAATATATCAATCGCAAACTCATTTTGCTGTTAATTTTTTAAACTAAAGCAGTTTACGATAGAAATAGAACGATAATTTGACATTAATTAGGTAGAAAACTTTCTTTATCAAATAGTTGATAATAATTACATAATTCTATATAGTATTGTGACAAATAATCACAACCTACGAAAATATTTATAGTTATGTTTAGAAAAATGTTTGCAAGTTATAAAATTTCTATTTGAAACGCTGTGTATTCATGTATTTATGACTCTATCTATTGGAAACTGTTTAAGATAGCAGCCTTGTTAAACCGATACGTTGTGAAATTTTTATTCAATGAATAAAGATTTCTCCTTCAATGTAATTTTGTTAGATTTGCTTAGTTAAATATATATAATTTATGCTGCAACAGATGTAGAAACAGTTTCATAAATTTGGTAAAATTTCTGATCTCAATACAGGTAATTTAACATTTTTGGCACTCAGTTTCGAGTTACAGATGTGGTTATCCTCATAACACTTTCAATTCTTTGCCATCTTTGGGTGTCTGAAAATTACAGAAATAGAACTTATTTTCGATTCTAATATATTTCTTACTAGAAAAGCAAACTGAATCTTGAAAATTTGCTGAAAAAATGCAGTTTAAAACGGAAATCCAAGTGATTGTTGTTGATCCTACAGCGAAAACCAAAAGTTTTTGAAAATTTTTTTCAACAATTTTGATGTTAATCTACAATGTTGATTTGAGAGTACCCCCAAAATTCAGGGAAACTTTCCCACTGAAACATTAACAAATTCACAAACAAGTTTTTTTCTCTTCCGACCTATAGATATCCCTCATAGCTATCAAGATAAGGATAGAAAAATCAAGGGCAATTTGAAACTGGGAACTTTTCCGATAGTAAATAAAAAGGAATAAGCTAACCCTGTAAGTAAGGAAAGGAAGGGATATAGCTCGTTCACCAGGAGTTGGCACTTGGCTCCGCCTTCATCACGTGGTATGCGACGATACTATTTCGCTATTTTGGGGAGAAGGTTGTGAGCAATCCTGAACAATGTTGCTATTTGGCGATCGTTTGGCAAAAATATTTATTTCGCAAACTTTATGTTTTAACAATGAATATTTCATAAATTTGATGATATTTTACACTATTTTTTATGATATTTCTTTCTTTTGAGTGAATAGTTTGTCCTTTATGAGACATTTCGCTGGGAGAACAACAGTTTTTAAATTTAAACTATATTTAATTAGCTAGTGTAACAAAGGGTATATTAGCAGATGATAAAGCAAAGAAAGTGAAAAAGAATTCACTTTCTGTATTTGGTGCAAATTAAGGGTTGTCTCAATTTCAACAACGGAGATGTTTTTCCTCTTACACCCCCGCGCTGAAATGAACTCTGCGTCCGAGAAGGTGGAGTCAAGTCTCAACTCCTGGTGAACGAACTATACCTTGTTTTCGCAATGTGGTAAATGATTTTCAGTGCTTTTTTACCTAGAAAAAAAAAGCATTAAACAAATCAAAAAAGTTTTTAAATACTAGATTTTTTTTTTTAAAAAAATGCGTAGTTTGAGAAAATATTAAAAATAGTCATTTACAATGGGGTTGTTTGAACACCCTAAACCCCTCCCTTACCTACGTCCCTGAATAGTATGAATGTTTGCGACGAATTACTTAAATGAATTAGCATTATTTCCCCATTAATTTTTCTCTTTAGTACATAGTTTACTTTTTTATTCCAACTGATAAGTTTTATAAAAATTAATAGAGTATTATTGGTGCTTTTATTAGTATGACAATTTTTTACCCTAAATTTTTTAAATTTATTCCCTAAACACTATAGTACAATTTTTTTGCTTTTTCTTTGTTTCAAATATCGATGATGTTAAATTATTTAAATATTTTTTAAGGGCATAGTTATATATATAGAAAAAAAATAAACAAGTAGCTTATATTATTTAAATACTAGTTCGAATTAGTCCGCTGTCAGAAGCGGATTTTTATTTTACAACCGTCGTTGAACAGCCAGCCCAATTTTTAGGTTTACGATACTAATGTTCAACGCCGTAGCCTTGTAATTTTAAACCCAATCCAAAAGACAAGGAAACTCCTGGATCAAGTATCGGGAGAAATATGCCTTCTTGATGGAACTAACCCGCATTTGCGTTACATGGAGAGGAAGACCACGAGGACTCCCCACGCTTAACCTGGCAGAAAGGGGACCCGAACCCATGATCCGTCTACCACTGAGGATATTTCACACCAGCTCTATGTTCGGAGCGAGCCGGATACGGATTCGAACCCAGTTCACTTCATTGGAAGACAACGCGCTATCCCCTGTGCCATCGCGGCTCCCCGCTGATTATTGTGTTTGTCTGACATCAAAAAATAATTATCTAAGAACATGCAACTTTTTATAAGGCAAGCATCACTGACGCTATCTTTAAAATCTTTAGCAGTTTCATTTATACCAATGGCACAAGCTCTAAATCAATGTAGGAATTCCATTAATTCAAAACTATTTAGTTTAAATCTTTTAATGATCTTTAGTAACCGGGGCTATTAGGGGTCCCTTCTAACAACTTGTCTAATAAGAGGGACACGCACACACTCTCTTCTTTTTATAAATAAAGATGATGTTCAAAGGATCGGGAATATTATGCCAATTAATACTTTTTGCCAGTGACTTCTTTCGTTATTGTTGAAATTCCAGATTAAAGCAATCGGAAATATAGGAAAAAATTCAGGTTTTATGAAATGTCAATTACATAACTGTACATTTATATTTTACAAATGGGGAATTTCAGGGATTTTTGTTATCAAAATACGGAAACTTCATCACTCCAGTACAAATAAATGCTCTGCAATATTTTCCGTTTATGATCGACATTAAATTAACTTAAAAAGGTTTATTATGTTATATCATTTTTTTAATAGTAAAAGACAATTTAAATATAAAAAAATTTAATCAATTTTTAAAAAAAATCTTAATATTCAAGCAAGGACTAAATTCTATTTCAAGAGATTTTTTTCTTAAGAAAAACCTAATTTAGGGAATTTTCGAAAAATTTACAAAAACCAGAATCTGGCAAAATCCAATAGGCTAATGGTAAATCCAGTAGAGTTGGAATCTGTGTATATTTTCAAAATTCAGCAGATTTCAGACAGAAAATGTCGCATCAATTCAAAAAAGTCGGCGGCTATGTAATTTTTGGGGGAAATATCAAACCAAGAAAAATATATTATGCTGACAATATGAATACTCTGCGCATATATTACTAATTACTTTCAATTACTATAATGAAAAGAAAGAGTGAAATTGTGAGCAAGTTGTACAAAGACAATTAGTAGCGGTATGATAGAATTAACATTTGTGTACATAAAATGGATCCTTTAAATTTCGCTGACACTTAAAATTTTTAAAGAATACTTCTGGAAATCCATTGAAATTATCCCTACGTAAAGGAGACTCTATAACAATGAGGTCGCCCAGGTTTTCATAGGGCACATTAGAACCCAAAATCCTCCTAGAACAATCCCTGACGCCTGTAAGCTACTTGAACATACAGTGAAGCATCGTTTATACGACGATCACTTATACGACGTTCTAGTGTGGTCCCAAATCATACCTATTCATTTTAATGTAAAAATATATCGTTTATACGACGCACAGACTCGGTTAAACGTTGGNGATTAATTGAATGAGCAAATAAATATTTTCACCGCAAATCCACCTCTATTTTTTTCCTCTTTTTTTGTTTGTTTTCAAGCCAGAATACAAGAAGCAGCGATGTCTGAATTATGAAAATACGAGCTATCCAGCCGACGGATAAAAAATACGGAAAATCTTATTTTCTGTGCGTGAAATCGGAGAAAATAGCTAAAATAAGTGACTGAATTTAAAAAAAAAAACTAAACTTTTCGAGAATCGGAGTATTTGATAAAAAGGCTGAAATTCGAGAGACAAAAAATATCTCATCCCTGTATAAAGGTCAACCAGTTTTATCCCAAGGAAATGATTTTTAGAGAAACTTCAGAGGGGGGAAAAGGGACTTCAATAATTTCCCTCCGCGGAAAATTAAATTCCTCATAAAATATTTTAACTTGAGCAAAAAAAAATTTCAGCGGAAATTAGCGGGAAAAATCTGAAAAAAAGCGGAAATCCGCGGAAGAATCTCATCCATGTACAGAAAAGGGTGCCAACAAGAATGCTTGGATGAGGACCGTAATTTTTTCTAGATGACTGAAAAAACTGACAATGTTATGAAGAGGCAAAAACGAAAAATTTTGCTATTCATCAACCAATGTCCAGCGCACCCATCGATACTAATTATTTTGGAAAATGTAAAAGCTCTCTTTTTTCCTGCAAATTGCACCTCAGCCATTAGATTTGGCCGTGATTAGAAATCTAAAATTGCATCATAGAAAGCAATAAGTTCAACTCGCTATTCAAAGCATTGTAGACTAATAGCAAAGAAAATATAATTAAAGCTAACATACATTCAAATAGCTCACTGCAATTTTTCTTCTTTGGTAATTTGTTTGTTTTGCATTGTTTAATTTAGAAATTTATGTAAATCAACACGCTAAACACTAAAATTAACTGAAAACAGAGTAAGTTTCAGAAATAAAAATCGATTATACGACGTTTTTCGGTGGTCCCTTCGCCGTCGTATAAACGATGCTCCACTGTAGTTGCAGACCAGGTTCACCCATTCATGGCAAGTTTTTCCAACAGGATAAAGCACCATGTCATAAGGGTCGAATCGTCATGGATTGGCTCGAGGAACATTCCAGTGACTTTCAAGTCATGTCTTGGCCCCGAAATTCACCTGACGTTAATCCAATGGAGCATTTGTGGTCCTACTTGGAAAACCAAATTCGTGCTGCCACGCTACCCCCTCGAAATGTGAGGGAATTGCAGGACCAGTTTGTGAGCGCTTCGTACCACATACCTCAAACTACCTATCAGCACTTTGTGGAATCAAAGCCACGGCGGGTGCTAGCAGTTTTGAGGGCTAAAGGTGGTCCTTCATGTTATAGCAGGGTGGTCATAATGTAATGGCTCTTCGGTGTATATTCTATTTTATAAAGTGTGCATTTTTTTTTCCATTTTTTACAAATAGTGATTTGATTATCACCAATAGTTGGAATAGTTTATCTCCTTTTATTGGTGACCTATTTTTCTTCGCTCCATGGTTTTTAAAATTATGCATAGTTTAAAAGTACTTTGAGTTTTAGTGGCAATCAAAATGAGTTAAAATTATTGCATCATACAGGCCCGGGTCAAATTATTAGACGTATTTTAAGATTCTATGTAAACTCTTAATTACTCAGGTGATACTATACAGCTTTGTTTTTACGTAGCTGAAACCGATTAGCACTTGTGTGTATCAATTGGTTAGATTAGACGATATATAATATAAATTCGACGATTGGATAAAATAAACTATATTATATAAATATAGAATATTATAACAGGTATTATATTATAATAAGTCTAAATTAATAGACGCATTGTAGTTTTTTAATAATTACTTGATTTGCACGTGTTTATATGCAATGCTTTTACATTTAAATATACATGTAATGGGTTTTTATTCAGATTTTTCATATACCTACTAATTTGTATTTTATTTTTAACGTATTTCATTACAATTTTAACCAAAACGCTACACACCCTATACATTATGAGATCTACTGCAGTATAAAAGCAAATCTTAGCAGAAAAATAAAAAAATATACTACTTTTTATAAATACTGAGTAACTCATAATAGTTTCAAATTAATGCATGGAGAAATTTTGTAACATAGTTTTCTATAGTATAACCAAAGCGGTTAAAACAATGAATCCTTTGAGTGAAGAGATATGATTATATCTCAAATATAATTAGTAAATGGTCTCTTAATTTTATTTTCTGTGTTATAATATGTGCAAGGGTGCCACTGTAAAAAAAATTCTGAGCCACTGTTACATTTATGAATTTGAAAAGTTTACGCTATCTTTTAATTTTGAATAGTAATTAGACAAGTAAAAATTAAAAAAGGAATTCTAAACAAATTGAAAATTTTGGAACAAAAAAAAAGAAGCTATAAATGATTACTATAAACAAGGCCTATGTATATAAGTAACAGTTATCTAAATAATCAAGCAAGTCAACATTCTTAAAATATGAAAACCGTGGAAGAAAAGAGACTTAAATACTACAGGGAAAAGGGGGAAAAAGGACAGAAATTCTTGGTTTTTTTTTCTTTATTTGAAAGATATTGATCTGTTTACAATCTTCTACCACGACGTCCACCTTTCCTTCGTGTGGTATCTGATGGAATAGGAGTAACGTCCTCTGTAAGAAAAACACACCAGTGAGCAAAAATTACAAGGTTTTAATTTTATCACTTCAGTTTTAACCTGATTCATAAATTAAACACAATTAACACTATCATCAATTGAATCATCAAACTGTAGTTTTTTATATTTAGCAGTATAGAGATTTGAGGCATAAACCAAAACATGCAGACATATTCAAACATCAGTAAATAAAAATCTAGGGGGGGGGGACCAAACTTTAAAATAACTTAGCTTAGTATTTATGTTCAAAGAGAAATTCAAACCACTGAATTGCCAATCATAATATATTTGTAACTACTGTCTAAAAATGGCACAAGTTTATGACCCAAAATCTAGACTAAAAAATTTTAGATGGGAAAATTGAATTAATCAAGTTTTCCACTGTATAACATCCATGGGTGTTTGTGACAATCACCCATAGATTACCACACCTATATTTCAAAATATAAATTGGTATACCATATATGTTTTTAGACTAAGATTGATAACTAAGTTACCTATCAATGAAGAATGACACCTTTATAGTTACTAAATTAAGGAATACAAGTAGCGATATTGGATTTTAAACTTGAGCAAATATGAACCACAATGTCAGATTTCTAAATTGCATGAATACAATTTACTATGTGTAAGTTATAAATCGAGTAATCCTGGAAAAAAATTCTAGTGAATATTAACTGTGGTAGTAGCAGATCAAAACTTAGTTTCAAATATTAAAAAATGGCAAAACTAGCCAGTCCGAGGTATTAAATTGCCATATGATGTAACACATGAAAACATCCTCTTAACATTTCTTTAAAACTTTAGATTGCAGAATCAGGGTTCATACAGAGATCAGAAGAAATCTAAGGAGTATCCAAGGAGTCTGAAATTTTAGAACTTTTTTCCAGCTTCAAATATTTTAATAATCACAGTAAATTATTAAGTTTGCTTGTAACATGTAAAATTAAAATGATTTGCTGTTATTTTTTTCTTCTAACTTTCCTCTTGCATTTCAATTTCTCTTTCTTCTTAAGCTTTTCCTAAACTATTAGACTTTGACAGCTAAGTCATATTTGATTAGCTAAGTCACATAATCTAGTTGGACAGCAAATTCATCAGCAGACTTAGTAAGTTCAGTGATGCTACGCAATAATAATCTAAGGAGTTTCTAAAGACAAATTGGGAAATTAAGTAATTCCAAGCATTCCTTGGAGACTTTTCATTTCCAGAGTATGTACAGAGAATTCACTAAAAAAATCACCAGAGCATAAGTTTTGATTCACAGAATTCCAACAAAAAAATTCACAAGCTTTAGTCCTTGTCTCTAGACCTGGATGGACATGAAAAACCAGGCATTACACCTGAAATAAAATCACCCCTGAATATCATTCAAATGACCCAATTTAAGTAGCTCTATTGAAATGTGCAGAAATCAGACAATGAATAACGGAGAGCAATACAACAGGGTTCTCTTTCATCAAAGCAAAAGTCAGAGTTTAAGGATATTCCTTCTGCAACTTAAGTTATCCTTTAGAAAAAATTAAGTGCAACTTATAAATAATTTAACAACTGTATTAACAAATATACATAAACCCAAGGGGACAAATCCAATTATCTACCCAAAAAAAATTTCATCACATTGCAATACTTAAGTTAAATTAGGAATTTTAAAAAACATTACTGTTTTTTAAAAATTTACATTTAGTTAAAATATATTGAAATATCTAACACTTATTTAATTCTCCACGCTTTTATAAATAGTTGTCCACCTTAAGGACTGCACAGAAATATTTTCAACATTACTTCTTTATTAATAACAAAAATCTGATTTTTTAAAATCTAGTCAATCGTAGGTCAATGTGGGTACCTTATTAAAGCTGACATGTATACCACTCTTACACCTTATTGTACTTTTTCAGAATGCTCCAATGTCCACAAAAAATGCAGCCAGAGCATGCTTTTCCCCTTTGCCAAGAGGCAAATCCACCTCACAAAAACCCTTTTTTGTCACTAAAAGGCTCTAGCACTAAGGCAGAATATCATTCTAAACAAAGCTCAAAATTTTTATTTCAAACATTTTGTAAGACTAACATTATTTATTATGATCAAATAGATACACAGGAAATTAAGAACTTATATAAACCTTGAATAAAATATAAGAACTTTGAAGGAGCCTAATTTTTCAAAATAAAAAGTTTTTAATAACTTTTAAGGACTGCGGAAACCCTCTATAATCTATATTTCTAATTTGAGACAAAATCAAATACATAGATAATAGCAAAAGAGAAGTCGAATGTTATTATACAGGGTCAGGCTGAGTTACTCCAGTTCAATATTTCTTAAATTTGAAATACCAATGAAGTTAAATTAAATTTTTTTTTAGTTTAATCTTAGATTTAATATTTGGAGGCATTTTCTCACCCACAAGATATCAAAACCTTTAAGTAGCACAAAATCACTTATTACCTTTTAAACAGAAGGCAAGGTATATATAAAACATTTGAATATCTCATTGAAGAAATTCCATTTGACTTCAAACATGAATGAAGAAATTGAAAATTTAGAAAACTAAGACTGACTTAAGAATATTAACCCAATGAATAACCTAATCCAATCAAGTGTTAACCAGCATTAGCATTAAACTTATAAAACGTACTTAACAGGGTTGGGTTTTTGACGTCAAAAAGTGGTTTTTGACATGACAAGGGTATAATACTGGTNACCCTGGTACTTAATAGAAGAAAATGCAACCTGTTCCATGCACTTCTTCAAGGTGTGAAACACCTCTAGAGCAAGAGATTACTTTAGGATGCACTTCCCGCTCACAAGACATGCAATCCTCAAGCAGTATAATGCATCCATATCCATAAAAAACCAAGGAGATAAAGGCCTGAATACCCTTTTAAAGGTCTTATTAACTTGAATTAAACAAAATAGACTGCTTATGAATATCACAGGCATGCTAAGGAATATTGTTCTGCAGTAAACCAACTAAGTTTGTAAATAATAGTGAAAACAACTATGACATCGGCATACAGCTCTGCGCCTATGCTGCGAGAAGGAGCATGGGCAAAGGTAATCATTTAAATCTAATACATACTAACAATAAGCACTAACAATAAGCACTAAAATTATAAAATCTACTAAGTAATAACAAATAAATATAAAACTTGTATCAAGCACTTCTTCAAGGTGCTTAACACCTCTAGAGCCAGAAATTACTTTAGGATACACTTCCCGCCCACAAGATATGCATTATCTTCAAGCAGTATAATGTGTCCATACTTATGTAAAAACAAGAAAAGAAAGGGAGACATAACCTAAACAGTGTGAACTCGTATCCTTTAAAAGTAATTGAATTACTAAACTTCAATTTTAATATTAAAAGTAGATTTTGATGGAAATATTCGAGAAACGAAATAGACTTACGATAGAATCTGTGCAAATTGAAAGCAATAAAAAGTGATGACTCAAATTTGTAATCTAAAATAATTCATTTTTAATGTTTTAATTTTCTTAAATTTTATTTCTATTTTACATTTCATTATTTTTTAAGAAAAGAAATTCAGTGCGTTCAGAAGATTTCGCGGGCTGCAGGTTTTCAACCAAATTTACGTAAAAAAAACATTGCTAGGATTACAGAAAAGTCTCCTGAAATAACTATTTAAATATAAGTTTTAATCTTAGAAACAATTGCGAAATTCTATCTTTATACTAACTAAAATTCTTCACTTTTCATATATGCTCTTCTAAGCAGTGTAAATAGACAAATATACTATTTAACAGATATGGAACATACTATACTATTTAACAGATAATATTAAGAACTTATTAAGCTTATAGAAAGTTTTAATGCTAATTACTCAGCTTTTTAATACTAAAAAGAACTGTAGTACTTTTTTAAGTACACTCACTAAATACTCTTTCTTAAGTACATTTGTAGGTACTTCTTTAGATACACTCATTTGATAAGTCTAGAGGCAACTTATCTTGCCTAGTATTAGCCAAGACAAATAAACCAAATTAAAATAAAAAATTACAGAGACATGAAAATTTAGCAACAATACTTAGAAATTTCTCAACAATTGCATTGCTCTCTCCCTTCATACTTTCAAAAGTAATATTAAAATGCAAGTTGGTAAATAACTTTTTATGAGAAAATTTTTTTCACAATACATATGCATAAGTTTCACTAATATTGACTGTTAATAGCCACTTACCTATCCTTCCTATTTTCATTCCACTACGGGCTAACGCACGCAAAGCTGACTGAGCACCAGGACCAGGTGTTTTGGTTCTATTAACAAAAAGCAAAAATTTAACATTTAGGAAAACTTCCAAGAGTTCATGACAGAAAACTAATGAATATAGTGTTTTATACTTAAGATTTCAAAAAAGATAATAAAAAAAAGTTTATAATTTGGAACTGTTTGTGAAAAGTCCCACTTAAAGGGAAAAAGTACACATTTCCTGAATCTCAAAAATCAGAGAATCGAATTTTCATAAAGAAAATATATTGTATTATATACTTTAAAGAATTCTATTTGAAATCATGTGTAAGCTACCATCAACTCTAAATTTTTCAAAAGTATTTGAGAAGGAATCATTTCTAATATGCAAATTATTCTGAAATGCAAGTATTCTGTGCAAAACCCATTAATAAACAGATATCATTTGTTAGTGATACCTGGTGCACAATAAACTAGAAATCTTTGAAGAGGATGATAAAAATTAAACACATTTCAATAGAGCCTGTAATTAAAACCATAGTAAAAACCAAAGGTTAAAACACCTTTTAACAACTTAATAAACATTCTTAACAAACTCTTCTCAAAACTTAAGCAATTTATATTACCCACAAAAAATCAAATTATATGAAAATTTAATGAAACAATTTTTTGTCATTTAATTACTTTACAAAACACAATTAGGATGTCATGCGCAAATCTGCTAACATCAGAAATTAAAAAGCCGTAACTTTTAGTGACTCTGATATAATGCAATATGCAAAACAAAATTTCATTATTGAAATTATATTCCAGAAATTCTTTTACAAGATTTTTTTTCTCAGATTAAATTTTTAATAACTTCATACAAAACTTATTCTCTATCAGATTTCAATGCTATAAAGAATGATTAGTATCACGAGCATTAATGACTCCGCATCATTTACTTGCAAATAATTTCTAACTTGACTAACAATTGCAGGGATTATTTACTAGCTAGTAACTTCAGATTATCTTGTCATCTAATCAAAACATGATAGCTATTTAAGTAAGCATTAAGATGGCAGAATTTTTTCCCACTATCTGCGACAAAACACTCCAGCTTAAAATAACACAAGCGTTGTGTTCACACAAAAAAAACTAGATAATTTTTTTTGATAAACATGTAATAATTTTTTATTCTAATATTATGGTTGATATTCTCAAACTTTGTGAAGGGGGGTACACAAATTATTTCCTCCTTTGCATTTTGTAAATAATTATCACAATAAAAAATATAATTAAAAATCATGAAACCTGTAGTATGAATCACCGAAAAAAATAGCGAGGACAAAATTACGCGAACCAGGCTCCTTAAATGCGCGTTTCGAGATTATGTTGTAGTAATAAATTAAATTGCATAAAAAATATCGGATTTAAACTATTGAGAAATCTATAGCAATAACTGCCAAAAACTCGATAGAATTATTGCCTTAAAAAGTAAATACTCAAATGACCGATTCTAATTTTCCTTACTATTTGAAATATATTGGGACATTTTAAATCCATGTGAAAATCAATAACTGCCGAAAATACAAGCGAAACATTACATCGATTTACAATACTATCGTCGTAAATTGAGACCATCAAAAAGTGATTATCCAAATTCATGATTCAAATATTACGTGTAAATTTTTGTATAAAAGAAAAGTAATTTTTTTCAATAGAAAAGTCTTTCTGCAAGAACTCTTAACGTTCTGCGACAATGTCACCGCGATTCTGCCACAGGGATAGTAACGGGTAATTTTGACACTAAACTGTGATAATTATATTTGCACTTAATTGATATCTATTATATATGATGCATTGCACAATTTTCTTTAACTAAGACTATAAATTAACTACAAATATCCCACTTTTATAGCGACTTATTTTAGAGAAAACTCAACAAGCATCATAATATTGGATATTTAGAACAGGATAATAGCAAATAAATAGCTTTGTAGAATTTAAAACAGTCGTGAATACAAACCACGGTATCAGATTTCATATTCGTTTAAATATGAATTGTAACAAGCAATTTTTAAATCAGATGAATATGAAAGCAATATTAGCTAGCGCTATTAATTCAAAATGCAAAAATCCAAAAAAAAATTGGAAGAGTCACATATGTATGTTAACATCTTGCGAGCAGGCAGTAGCAAACATTTTAAAAATTATATATTAGATATACATGAATACGAAAAACCATGAGAAAACACAAAATAAAATCACCATAATCATAAATTAAATTTAACAAAAATTTTTTCATGAAATAACCAAATAAAATTAGAGACAGGGATGATAGTCAAGAGTAAAAAAAGAGGAAATTCAAGAATTAATATGTATGTAATATGTAGGAGCTATGATATTAAAAAATTTGACAAAAAATGCGATTGGATTTTAAACTCTGGAAATATGAATCGCTACATAGAATTTTAAAAAAGCTTAATTACAAATCACGCTATTGGATTTTTATATCTCGTTAAATAAGAATTGCAATGTATGATAATCACATGAATAAGAATCACAAAGAGCAAATTTTAAATCAGATAAATAGGAGCATGGATGATTGATAAAATCGCGATTTTGGATTTTTAAATCTTGTAATAAAAAATAGCAATGTACGATATTTAAAATGCACGAATAGGAATTATAATGCACAACGTTAAATAAAGTAAATACAAAAATCGGTTTTTAATATTAAAATCAGGTGAATAAGAATCAAGATATTAGAACATTCTGGACTTGGGATTTCTAAAAGGCTGGTTTATATTGTTTTTGCTTAGTCTTAGTAAATAAAAAATTTACAAGATTAATAGAAAGAACAAATAAATAATTTAACCTGATATTTTCTTTTATTTTTTCTCGTTTTCGCACCAGCAAACAGGATGCAGCGAGACGTCTGAATTACGAAAAAACCAATTTATCTGGTTGAAGGACAAAAAATCTTATTTTCAGCGAAAATAAGTAAAAATGCGGAAGGGTTGGCAGCCACGTTGATTGAATTTTCTTTGAAAATTGGACAAAGATAAAATTATTTTATTAGAACGACTGAATTTCCAGAAAAAGCAGAATATGTACGGAAATTTTTTTTTTTTTGATAAAAAGGCTGAAATTTGTGAATCAACAGTGAAAAAAAGCAGAAGAATCTCGTTCCTGTAGAGAGTAGTTTTCTAACTTCTTTTATGACATCATAACGTATCATTTATTAAAAATGTTGCAAATAAGACGGGGGAAAAAACATTACTGTATAGAAACAGGTAATATTACAGATTAGTTTATCACTTTTATCATTAAGATCACCAATTTTTAAAACGCACAATTTACGCCTATAATGTTATAAATCAGTGCAACATTTCTTCACGGTATTTTTTAGCACATAAACTTAAAAAAATTAAATTTGGCAAAATTAAAAATGAAATACCTTGTTCCACCAGTTGCTCTTAATTTAATATGAAGAGCTGTTATTCCTACTGTTTTGCACTTTTCAGCAACGTCTTGTGCAGCTAACATCGCAGCGTATGGAGAAGCTTCATCTCTGTCTGCTTTGACTTTCATGCCACCAGTGACACGTGCAATGGTTTCCCTAAAATTCATAGGAACACATCAGTTTAACAAACTCTTAACTACGGATACTCAATAGTCGTAAACACATCCAATGGGAAATGTTAGCATCTTGCAGGCTGTTACTCTGGCATCGCCAAAGTATGACGATTATTTTGCCTCATATAGTAAAATGGATATCAATCAGAAAGATTTCCAAGTTATCACACATTGGTTAAGAGATAGTGTCTTTTCGAAGCAAAATTAAATAATTTATTTATAATGCTAACCAATGTATGTGTTCAAAATGTTTTCTATGATGAAACACATTTGGTCACATAACTATGAAAGGTTTTTTCAACTACTAGACATTAGTCAAAAATTAAAATTATTTCTTTTAATGACCTACTACAGCTAATAATGAAGACAGTGAGCATCTGTTGCAGTTCGGGAAAAATGTTTCACACTTCAGTCCAAGGCATGATTACTGAATCTAAAAATGTGTTTTTGGTGTTTCTAGTATCGAAAACAATACACAATCAAAGTTATAAAATTAACATTTAGTTTTCATACATATTAAAATGTCATGGGTTTGAAAAAAAAATAATTTTCCTTCATGGGAATAATGACACAATGTTCAGATTTCTCAAGTATATATTGAGCAGTAAAAATCTTAAATACTAAAAACCTCAACTTAAGAATTTTCTTACCTTCCAGACAAGTCTGTGACATGCACAAAGGTATCATTAAAGCTGGCATAAATATGAGCAACTCCAAATACGTTTTCGCCTTCTAATGCTTGAGGACCTAAAGCAACAACTGGCTGTTCTTCCTTCACTTTACCCTTACGAGGAGCCATAATTTATTCTATTATAAAAAAAGATTTATAAATACATTACATACTCTAATGCCCCACAGAATAACTGCATAAAACACATTTTTTATGATCAAAACAAGTTATACTTAAAGCATTCAGGAAAAAATTTTTTATTCAAGAGTTAAGATGCCTTACAGCACTAAGGTACTGCAATAAATATTACACAAACGATCAAGATAATAGCTTTAAAATTATAAAGCATTAACATGCATTGAAAAGTAGAAAATGAATTAACCACGTGAAAATTCCGAAATCTTAATTTTAAGAACAGAACTTTTATTATTCGCAGAATTCAATCAAGTATTAAATTCTAGACATAAGTTACAAATGTATCCATGATTAAGATTTGAATAAGGTATATTTCTTTTAGACTTAAGCTTTCAAAATGTATGCTTGAAATTACTTCAATTCCAGAATAATTGATTTACGGGATTACACGTTAGATGAATAACCTAAGTAATTTTATAGGAAAACAATCGAAATACTATTTTTCCTACAACGAAGCCTTGACACGGCGAAAAATAACAAATGCTTTAAAATAATTATCAGACCAAAAGAAAAAAAATATATACACTTTTTAAAAGTTCAATATACTAGATTCATACAAGATCTAATTGTTTATTAAATTTCAAAGGATTACTTACGATTATTTAAGATAGGTATTTTTTTAATAAGACTCCTGAAGAAAGCCACCCAACTCGCTCACCAAACATCCATATTGAATGGAATCTAGAGTTGAGAAGTACGATTAACTTCGTTCGAGATGAGAAATAGAACCTCTGTGGCCAAGTTTTAAGTAAGATTTCAAAGATACTTCTCACTAGCGAGACGAGTTGGCGCGTTAAGCACCAATGACCCTCCCTGATTTTTTTTTGCATGCGAATAAGAAGCCTATTGGTCGAAAATGTTTAGTCTCAAAATATTCAATGATTTGGTCCTCGTTAGCAGGCGAAAAATAGATACAATGAGAATGGCTCTTTAATGCTGCGTATATTATTCTAACTGCATGTGATTCACAAATGTGATAGCAAACCATTGTGTTTAATTCGTTGTTGTTATTGTAGTTTACTTATGTCGCACTAGATCTGCACAATGGGCTTTTGGCGNTGGGCTATTGGCGACGGTCTGGGAAACACCCCTGAGGATGATCCAAAGACATGCCATCCCAATTTTGATCCTCTGCAGACGGGATGGCACCCCCTCTTCGGTAGCCCGACGACCTGCACGCGAAGTCGAGCACTTTAAGGTAGAATAGTTTAACAAGGACCAATACCGCACACCCTCGGTCCCTACGCAGACTGATCCAAGTGATCACCCACCCGCACGCTGACCGTAGCCAGTGATGCTTCGGTGATCTGCTGGGAACCGTGTCTTTTAACGATCAGTCCACTGCGGGACGCGTTTAATTTGTAGGGGTGCAGTTTGTATCACATGTGGTTTCTAAGCAATTCGCGATCGCAACGCTTGAATTCGCCCTTTAGCGGATGGGTATTTCAGGCTTTTTTTTTATTAAGTTTTCATTTAGTACTAACAAAATCATTGGTAAAGTCGAATGCCATTTTCTAAGCAGCAAATAAAAAGCGAAATTTCCCTATGAGAAAGGCAGAAAAACTTGAAAATACTAACCAGAACATTGGGAGGTCCTTTCGAAACAGAACACGTGTTATATATTAATTTTAACACGTGTAGATAGTAGATAGTTATGGGGAGGTTTGTCAATAAGTCTTAAATTTGAAAAAAAAATTTGAAAAAATAAAATATATATCTTTTTTTTTTCCTTGATGAGATGGAATGCTATATATTAATTTTGATCGGTACATAAATTTTTATAAAAAAAAAAAAAAAAAAAAAAAAAAAAAAAAAAAAAAAAAAAAACGAGACATCACAAACCAACATTTGAATTGTTAAAAGTATTTTTATTTTCTTTTAATGTTTTTAATCTGTTTTGTACAATCGGCTGGTGGTTGGGTCGCGTGTATGCGATTTTCTTTTTTTTAAGTCCCTTCGCAAACGATTATTCCCTATAACAGGCAGTAAATGGCTGAAGTGGAGTGACGTAATGGATGAAGAGGAGTGACGTAATGAATGAAGAGGAGTGACGTAATGGTATGAGAGCCTATCAGCGAATGCCAGAGGGCGCTGTTTTTTCTCCCTCCTTTTTTCGAATCTTCGACGCAGAGCGCGTTAGTCACTCTTTTAACTTAAAAAGGTGAGACCTCTCGTAAACACTAAAACAATAAAACACGTCCCGATGTAACTTGATCCTGTCTCTTAACTGAGGAGGAGATTTTTTCCCCATTTCTTACGTTGAAAGTGTCACTTGCCCACCACAGGACCCCAAGATCAGATGTGACAACTGCTGTCACAGCCCCCCGGAAAAGGTTAAATTATAACACTGTGGTAATAAACAATTTTTATAAATTATAACACTGGGTTAATTTTGTCAATGGATAATACTGAATACCAATTTTTAAATTATACCTGGTTTATGTTTTAATTATTACAATAACTTTATATAAATTATAACACTTAAGCCTAAGATTGATCAACAATTTTATTTAATTATACCAACAATGTAATTAAATTATAACACACGCCACACATTTGCAGAACAATTTCTTAATAATTTTTAACTTCTATTATCAACAAACTTGCAACCGATAACTTCTGATAACGGGATCGTATACCGTTACAGATGTGTGTATTATGGTAAAATACATTTCTTTTTTTTTTTTCAATTCATTACGAATTAAAGTGAAGTCAACATTTCTTACTTTATTTCAATGAATAAATAAGATTTCAGAACGTGCGGAACTGCAATAGTTATAGAATATTCTTCTTCTCAATATATATTTCTGTTTCTTTATAATTAGGAAAAATACTACAAAGAATCATCCGAATTACTTGAAATAGCATCATTTGTGTTGATTATTTATAATTTTTTATCGTTTTCTTGGTAAGCATTTTTTTAATTTTGAAAGAATAATTTCAAGTAGAATTCAGCTATTCTGTTTTTAAGCTACATATTGAAATTCATATCATAATCTTACAATTATAAAATTTTGTTGTGTAGTATGTCATCTGAAAGTAATGAAGGAGTAATCTGTGTATATATTATTTGAGAATAAAATTTTCAAACGAAGAACATATCTTTTGGAGTTCTCCGGATTTATGAAGCAAATAAGTGTTATGATTTTTATAATTAAAAATTTACTTGTAAATAATTTTTTTTTTCTCGTTTTGATGATATCCCCCATTTGATTCTGATTCTACAGAATGATTTTTTACGTCTGATTAAGAACTTTAAGAATAAAAAACAAAGAAACATTCTGAAAGTGTTTTATTTCAATAGGAGGAATTTTTAGAATCTTTTTTTCTTTTTTTTTTTTCGTAGGAATTCTTCATTTTTACGTTTATAATTTTACGTATCGTATACGGTATCCGTATGCGATAATCCGTATACGATAGAAAGCTCTCGCTCAGTTTCAGTGCCTGCATTCTCCACTTAGAGAATATGCCCTTATTAATTCTCTTACGATGGTAGGTATTTTAATACTTGCTAATATGGCACTACATGCAAAATCTAAACTCTTTAACAAAATTTATAAATTTTGTATTTTAATGCTGGTAGAAATTTTTGTCACTTTACTTTCACTTTAAACTTAAATTTAAATACATTAAGAATTTTATGATGGTCTCTACTTCAGAGTAAATTAAACAAAATCAGCAATAGGAAGAAAAATCAATCTTAAACACTTTACTATTTAACTACAATAGTTAAACTTTATTTAAAGCTTTGGTCTTGTAATATGCTACAGGTTTAAAATTTTTTGATTTGTCAACGTTTTCGTAATTTATGCTAGAATTTAAAAATAGCAGAAATTGAAATAAACTACCTCTAAAATAATTTCTTTTAGAATACTTTACACATTCGAAATGTTTTACCTGAAATAAAGCTCTTGTAAAATGGTTTCCATTCAAAACATTTTGAATGTTTCATTTGATATTGTAAAGAATTCAGATAAGTTTGTTTTGTTCTAAAATCCGTCTGTTAAAATCTGTTTATATTTATGTATAATTTTCTGGTTAATTGTAAATTGAATGAAAACTGTTGTAAAAAAGGTATATTTTTAAGTATGCATTTTTAAGTTTAAAAAGTGCTTGCTAATTTGTAACTGTTTTAACTTCAAACCCCTCATGTATAAATTATAAATAAATTTTTTATATGCAATGCTAAATCTTTTTCTTGATGTTTTTCAATTTGAATTTGTTTCAGTGAATTTTTAAATTTTCAGTAACTTTGTTGAAAAGTTTCATAACTTTTCGAGAAACACAATTTCAACTAAGATTCGTGAGAATTAAAATTCTTGTCAGATTATAGAACTAAGCTTTGAAGTTGTAATGCATACCATCTATTGGGGACACTTTGTCCAGCTTTTAAGTTCCAAGAAATCAGAAATCCGTGTACTTCTCTAAGGAAAACGAAAAAAATTTCACGAGTTCAGTTAAGGTTTAGAGCTTAATTTATTGTTAAATTTTTTTGAAGTAAAATTGAGTAACCTAGAGTTCGAAGTTACCCATATTACCAAGATAATTTTGCCTGCAAGATTTCTATTCGATACATTCTTTTATTCTGTTTATATTTTCTATTGAAAATTAGTCTTTTTACAAGTTGCCGCTTGAGTTGTTACTGCTGAGGGGATAAAGTAAGCAAAAAAGAACTTAGACAGGGGAGAAAAAATTTCTTTAAATTCATAGTACGTTCTCGTTAAATTGATTTTTCCAGTTATAAAATTCTGGATAAATTATAATACATGAGAATAAAGAAAAGTACGTAGATTTATTACGCAGTTTTAAAAATGACTTAGTCTCCAAATGTGCTCAATGTCATCAATGATGGAGCTTTGAAACCTCTGTCAGAGAGTAGCTTTTTTAGGAAAGAACACTGTCTTGCAACATGTCCCTAGATGGCCCTCAGATTTTATTGTGACTAGAACTTGTAAAGTTGTAACTGACAACAGTTAATGAAAATAGTTTGCAAAATAAAAATCGCGGTAAATGGCATTTTATGATAGTGTTTAGTTAGAGTTGGGTTTATTAGCCGATCTCGGACACTAAGCATTTCTTTGGTCCTAGTTTAGTNGCACTCTTTGTGGGTTTAATGATCTGCTTGTATAGGACTATATCAGGAATAGTTCTACCTTTCTTTTTACTATTGAAAATAATCATTTGGCACTTATCCGGGTGTAGTTTTATCTTCCATTGTGAGCACCATTTTTCGATATTGTAGATCTTGTTTTGCATGTATTTGAAGGCTTGTAAATGGCTCATAGATTTCGTGATAATTGCTGTAAACGAAAACTGTTGTAAAAACGGTGTATTTTTAAGTGTGCATTTTTAAGTTTAAAAGTGTTTGTTAATTTGCAACTGTTTTAACTTCAAACCCCTCATGTATAAGTTGTAAATAAATTTTTTATATGTAATGCTATATCTTTTTCTTGATGTTTTTCAATTTGAATTTGTTTCAGTGAATTTTTCAACTTTCAGTAACTTTCCTGAAAATTTTCATAGCTTTTCGAGAAACACAATTTCAACTAATCGTGAGCATTGAAATTCTTGTCAGATTATAGAACTAAGCTTTGAAGTTTTAATGCATACCATCTACTGGTGACACATTGTCCAGCTTTTAAGTTCCAAGAAATCAGAAATCCGTGTACTTCTCTAAGGAAAATGAAAAAATTTTCACAAGTCAAGTTAAGGTTTAGAGTTCAATTTATTGTTAAATATTTTTACAGTAAAATTGAAAAACCTTGTGTTTGAAGTTACCCATCAAGGTAACTTTGCCAACAAGATTTCAATTCGATACATTCTTTTATTCTGTTTATATTTTCTATTGAAAATTAGTCCTTCTACAAGTTGTCGCTAGAGTTGTTACTGCTGAGGGGATAAAGTGAACAAAAAAGAACTTAAACAGTTGAGAAAAAATTTAGAATTTCTTTAAATTCATAGTACATTCTCGTTAAATTGATTTTTCTAGTTATAAAATTCTGGATAAATTATAATACATGAGAATAAAGAAAAGTACGTAGATTTATTAAGCAGTTTTAAAAATGACTTAGTCTCCAAATGTGCAAGATCATATCACCAAAGATGGAGCTTTGAGACCTCTGTCAGAGAGTAGCTTTTTTAGGAAAGAACACTGTCTTGTAACATTTCCCTAGATAGCTCTCAGATTTTATTGCGACTAGAACTTTTGTAAAGTTGCAACTGGCAACAGTTAATGTAAATAGTTTGCAAAATAAAAATCGCGTTAAATGGCATTTTATGATAGTGTTTAGTTAGAGTTGGGTTTATTAGCCGACCTCAGACACAAAGCATTTCTTTGGTACTAGTTTAGTAAAACCCAAATCAATCTTCACAAATGTTTAAAAGTTTTAGCTGAACAATGCTTAAGTACTTTTTTTCCGAAGAATTTTGAAACAAATATCATACTTGATAATTATGGGATCTTTAACTAATTTGTTCTAAATTTCCATAATTTTTTTCATTTTTTTTCAGAGTGAAGTTGTGAGTGGAAGACTTTATTTAAATATGCTATGTGTGGCGTACAAGAGCGTTCATGTAATTTTCCTCTAAATTCTATAATTTCGGAGAAGTATATTTTTTCGCAACATCACATCGCACCACATGTCAAAAAACAGCAATTTTGAGGTTATGTCAATAAAAAATATGTATGCAGTGCCTCATTAAGCTCAAATTGTCTTATCTCTAGATCGTACTAAGATTGTGCTATTTCAAAATAAGTATTAGTTTTGTGGGGGCAGAGTTATCGATCATACCAACCTTCATCTATCAAAAGGTACCTCGTGATTGAATAAGTTTAGTTCACTGGTTAAACTGGTCAGTTTAAATTTCGTAGTGGTAGTTACGCCANAAAAACAGCAATTTTGAGGTTATGTCAATAAAAAATATGTATGCAGTGCCTCATTAAGCTCAAATTGTCTTATCTCTAGATCGTACTAAGATTGTGCTATTTCAAAATAAGTATTAGAATTGTGGGGGCGGAGTTATCGATCATGCCAACCTTCATCTATCAAAAGATACCTCGTGATTGAATTAAGTTAGCATGTCTTATATACCAGTGAATTGATGTTTAAATTTCGTAGTGGTAGTTACTTCACAATACTCCCCAGCCAGAATTTTATCAGGTATAGAATTCGATGAACGGATACCACTGGTTGCTGTACTTGTGACAAACAGGGAGAGCTGGTTTTAAGATCACCGGGTTTTTTGTACTGAATGTGAGAGGTGTATTAACTTCAAAGTGGTAGTCGCTCCTGTGTTGCCATTAGCAGTCGAGTGTATGCGGGCAGACGTTGTGTTTAATCGAGACGAAACTGAGTAGCAACAGCGTGAGGAGGTTGATTATGTCGCAGTCACAAGTAGCAAGTCAACTGTTCAATGTGGACCATCCAACGAAGTAGGCGTTACCTGATAGAAGTGGGCGTTACTGTCAAGATTTTTTCGAAATGAGCGTTGCTGCGCGTTCAAATCACGTCCGGATCACGAATCTGGGGGCGAAGTTATCGATCATGCTAACCATCATCTATCAAAAGGTATCTCGTGATTGAATCAAGTTAGCAAGTCTTATATACCAGTGAATTGATGTAGTGGTAGTTACGACATAGTTTCTTTAAGTATTCTTAAAGTATTCGGGACAGTATTCCTTAAGTTGATTTTTCTCAAATGCTGTTTTTTGACTTGTGTCAATTTTCTTGCCGAGGGGGCGACATATCCCAGCTTCTTACATTGTCTTGAAGTATGGAATTTAACAGGCCTATTCCAGGGGTGAAAGCGAGACGGAAAAGAGGAAAGGCTGGTAGTAAAACCATTTCAGTTATTGCTAGTTTTGGGGAGGAGTTTACTTATTCTTTTTTTAAATTTTTCAACAATATCTACTTTATCTCGGAAAAGAAGCAGTTTTATATATATGCCAGAATTATAAAAGAAATCTTGATAGTTACAGATATTTCATTTTTTTCGAAAAAAATGCTGGAATGAAATGTTTAGGTACCAGGCTTTTCTCTTTTCCGTCTTGCTATATAAGGGCTTTCACCCATGGCCTATTCTGCGACTAACAAATCAAAATTTCAACCGTCAATTGCGTCAGAATGACGTCACATACTTAAACCTCTTAATTATTTTCCTACGTGTTTTGTCATTTCGACACAATTTTATCACAGAAATCAATAATTATGTGGACATCTCCGCAGAAAATAAGCTTACAAATAATTTATGTTCTAACTTTAGAAAAGAATTCGTACACGGAAAGATAATCACTTTCTCTACTATAACCTCTAGCGTCCCGCTATAAAACGCAATTAGTTAGCTCATACGGGTAGCAATCTGTAATTGGCTGAGTGCCAAATTTTTTTGAAAGGAGTTTAAAAAAAATTGACCTTAGAATTATTATAGAATGATTGACAGGGCACTTTTCTCCCCCTGAATCTCAATATTATTGGTATTTATTCTTTTTCTCACTTTTAAAATTAATCTTAACTAGTTAGAGTATCTGTCACAAGCAAATATGTCAAATACTTCTATTTTTTTTTTTTAATGATTGCAGAAGATAGGCTATGCAGCCTCTAGTTCTCCGGCCCTCCAATGCCTCCGAATTTTGTAATTAGCATTTAAAAACTACTACATTTATATTTGGTATTATATTAGTATTTAACAACTATAACTATATTTCTACGTTTTATCAAAGTATTTATGGTATTCTATGCTTAATACTTATTAATTTATATCTTAATTTTTATAAAACTAGTTCTTGCTAAGTTTTTCTCTTAGAAAATTTTTTTAACAATATAAAAGTTATAGTATTCTATTTAAAGCGAATAAGTTCATCAATAATAGTCGCAAAAGTTAGGAGAAAAATGAGGTAAACCTAGATTAAACAAAGATTGTTTCAAATTCTGATTTTGCTTTTCAAAATACAATTTATGTCAAGATTGCGCATCGGGGAAGTAATCTTGCCATAACTTGTTTGAATTTTGATATTTTTAAAACAATTTTTTTCACATTTGAAACTTAGCTGAAATTTTAATATACCATTATTAGAGGTGAAATATATTTCGCCATGAAAAATTTCTCCTGCGGAAAGCTAGATTCTAGAGTAACTCGCCAAGTTTGATAACCTACTTTCTCTTTTGGAGAATTTTGTAATTGCTTATCGTAAATCTCTAACTAAGTTAGTCACAGAAACTCAAAATAGTTCCAAGTATTTTATTTACATGCAAAACTTCTCAATGGTTTTTCTTTGCAATTTCCAGTGGTCAGCACACTTCTGTTAGCTGAAGTGGTATGGAGTAGAGATCATTTATATGTTGAAGTCAAATTTTCCTTGGCATAACATACTTTTCTTTTCAGGTTGAATTTTTCTCTGTGGTTTCACGTTCAGCTTCTATTGAATCTTGGAGACCATTCGTTTGTCTAAATTCCAGGCACATATTTTAACAACTATCAGAAAGAGTCTTTTCATTGGAATCTTGATTTTTCGTTTCATTAGAAACTGTATAAATATTTTTTGATTTCAAACCAAGTGAAGCCCTCCTTTCCTTACTTACTGAACTTCGTCGTCTGAAAAAAAGTAAAATATATGACTATAATTTTAGTAATAAATAGAATGATGCAGTTGCAAAACTTTTTTGTTGTTGTTGCATAAATATGATCTCCAAAAATGGTTAATTTGATAATCGCATCGTACGAATCAAAAGTAATGTAACGTCAATAAAGCATGTACCTAACACAGGTCCTGGCAAGTACGATTCTACTGATGGAAGTTCATGCATACATACAGAAGTTTTTGAATTTTTATTGCTTAATGTGATGGGTTTTTTTAATTTTATTACCGTCGTTGAACAGCCGACCCAATTTTATGGCTTTACGACTACTAATGTTCAACTTCGCAGCCTTGCAATTTTGAACCCAATCCAGAAGACAAGAGAGCTCCTGGGTCAAGTATCGGGAGAAATTTGCCTTCATGGAGGACTTTTTGATGGAGCTAACCCAGCATTTGCGTTACATGAAGGGAAGACCACGAGAACCTCCCACGGTTACCCTTACGGCAAGAGGACTCTAACCTATGATCCGTCTACCACTAATGATATTTCACGTCAGCACTATGGTCGGTGTAAGCTGGATGCGGAATTCATATCGACTGGGATTCGAACCCGGTTCGCCTCATTAGAGGGCGAACTCTCTATACCCTGAGCCATCGCGGCTCTAATGTGATGGGTTTTATATCCGCCGTTGTACAGCCGACCCAATTTTGGGCTCACCACCACTAATTTTCCACTTCGCAGCCTTGTAATTTTGAACCAATCTAGAAAACAAGGAAACTCCTGGTTTAGTACCCCCAAAGGTATTGATTTGTTATGGGAACATGGTGGACTTTGCGACTCGACGTATTTAACGTGCATCAGTCACCATTTACTACACGGGGAGTCTTCGGCCGGCGGGGATCGAACCCACGAACCCTTGGATATGGGTCCAGTGCCCTACCAACCCGGCTACCCTGGCCTGGTGATGGGTAATGTGATGGGTTATCATATCTGAAAACCCACCTTATAAAACGGGACAAACTAATAATCCTTTTCACCCTTTTAAAATGGGACAAATATCCATTCCTGCTTTTAATGAAAACACTTTAACCAGTAATAAACCTTCTTCTCTGTTGCATGTATATAAAAAAAATTTCTACTAGGTCGTTAAAGAAATCTGTATTTAAAATAAAATTTGCGTTTCCTGCTGCTTTGATATTCTTTAAGACCGATATTCCGAAATTTATTAAAATTTCACTAGAGAGCTTTTGCCACTGGGCCAAGGTGACCAGATTTATAAGCTCAGATCTGTGGACAAATCAGCGAAGCTTCTTCTATAAATTTTGCGATTTGAGGACACCTATATATTTATTGAAAATATTAATTTATATTTGCAACAGATTTTTTGTTAGTGATATCTATTATCGGGTGTAGAGCCATCTTCATCAAACTTGATTTTATTACTGAATAGTTTTATAATACATAGTAATCTGCTTTCTGAAAATGAATGAATACATGATTATTAAAATTTGGTAATATTTTGCTGAAATTATTTTAAGAGAAGCATGGCATTTTCGCGTGTTAGTTTAAGCATAGTGTTAGCATCTTTTTTTTAAATTTTTTTTTCAAAATTTTTTTCTGAATTTTTTTAATAAAATAAATTAGATTATGTTTTTGGTAACTATTGAAGACACATATTAAAATTCGGAGACATTTTCTGTCTTTAAAAAGTTTAAAGGAGTTTTTGTGGACAATTTAAGAAATTCGACTACCGCTCTCAAGATATGAGAACGTTTGGGTCACTTTACACAAAGTTTTCATTTGTAGCTACACGAATAATTTAAACAGTAGACAAAATTTCAATAAAGATGCATAATTTTTATACTGCAATTAAACTATGCATTTGTGCATTTGTAGTGTTGTTTAGGTTAAATATGGATTGTTTTTAAAAATAGATTGACTAAATTAAAATTTATTTTTGCTTTTTTTGCAAAGTACATCTACATCCTTACTCTAAGTGAAGCATAGTCTCAATTTTGAAGGGAGGGGGAATCTGAATTAGTATTTTATTTCTAATTTATTTTTAGAAATGAAAAACTCAATTTTCTTACAGAAAGTTGCTGTGATATTTAGTTCCTTAAACAGCTAAAATCATAAATACTTTAATTTTTCCGAACAGAAGAAACATTCTTTTATTTCAATTTATCTTAATATTTTAATTTTCATGACATATAATTCATATCTAATTTAAAACAGATAGAATTTCCTAAAACTTATAAAAGTTTTTAATACTCACCCGCCCAATCCTGTCAATTTTCTCAGGCAACTAAGCAAGTTTTTTTTTCAAGTTCCGTCTTCCAAAATAATGATTTGTCAAACTTTGAAAGTGGTTTTGTTGTTTCTTTTCATGTTAATTTTTCAATCCTACTATGTACTTAATTTCAGTTTCAATTTTTGACAAGGCATTTAAAAATATGTATTAAGGGTGACAATTACAAAATATCACGTTTTTAGCCCACCTATAGATTAAAATTGCTACACATATAACAGATGATTTGCTTCATGTATTTTTTGATGAGAGAGACTCGCAAGAGACGCAGACAAAACTGAATTTAGAACTTACTCTCTCTGGCATCAAGATACTCAATTATAATTTTGTACCAGGCGTGTTGTGCCAGAATAAGGAAAATTTAAAAAAAAAATAGTCGAACATTTTCAATAAAATACCAAAATTGAAAGCCAAAGAGGAAAGAAGCAAAAACTTATTTGGATAAGATTAAATTTGCTTCAATCGCAATAATATCCTAAAAAAACTCGCTAAGAATTTAGATTGCTCTTGCAGAGAACAGTGTTTACAAACCTTGTTCTATAGTGCCAGTGAAGAAGGATAAATTGAGCTGAGAAGTGCAGTTATACTTCATCATAGATCACAAATTATATGAATGAATTTTGGCCCTAGACCACTACATCATCTACCAAATGAAACCTGAAACTTCCACATGGCTAGATTTGAGCACAATCTAAGTTTCACTGTCCTTCATTGCATTGATGGACAGTAAAATTTGTTAGTCCATATCTCTTTCATATCTGTTGTAAGAAAAAGTTGCCCTTTTCGAAGTTCCAAAACTCGTTAATTGGATCAAAATTTTCCGATAGATTTATTAGAAAAGTAACTCCGGGTAGCTAAGTGGTTGCTCTCAGCGGTCTCGTATCACAGGTCCTGGGTCCGATCCTCTGGATGGACAAGGTTGGCTAAGCTTTCAGTGGGCCTATGAAATGAGTACTAAGCATGCTTGGGAACACTGGGAATTCCACGTTCGGTTGATCACCCACCCGAAACATCTGCTCCAGTCCCTCAGAGCCCAACGTCAAGAAAACTGAGATGGGTACAGTAGGCTATGGCCCTCTATGGGCTGCATCACCACTGAGTTTAGTTTTATTAGAAAAGTATTAAGAAGGTAAAAACGACAATACCTATTCCAAGAGAAGAATTTCTGAGATCTACCAAACTCTTCAGCCTCATAGATACTTTGTGGTAAATTTTCATTCAGAGTTTCTGGAAGAAAAGATGCCAAAAGACCACAGAGTATGCAGCACAATCCAATGATCACAAAAGGAATAGCTTTGCCGTAAATACTCTGAAATATGAATTTTCAATGTAAGTTAAGGAATTTTGAGCGAATGAAAATTAGATAGTTAAGTAAGAAGAGCAATTAAAGTTACAGAAGTAATTACTCACCAAATAGATGACGTAAGGAACAATAAGAGTAACGATCGAGGCTAGTGTACTGCTCATTCCCATTCCTAAAGATCTGACAACTGTTGGGTACAACTCCGAACTCTGCTGATATGTAGCCATAAATGTCCCAGCGGCAAAGTATTTACCAATCATTGAGCATACCACATCAACGTAGGGCAAATCTAAGATTAAAATCAAAAATATAATACAAATGTAAAATTTGAGAAGTTAGGAATGAATTATCATATATTGACTGTCTCGTTAGATGATATGGGAATGAATGGTTCAGAAGTGGTGATTAGAAAACTTCTCGCGGTGATTGGAAAGCGATAGAAACTCGTGAGGACATCTCGCTCACAGAGTTGCAGTTAAAAGTTTAATGCTTATGCTAATTTTAAAGAGATCGGAATTTCGATTGAAGAGAAAAAATTTCCTTTCACGATAATATCGTAATCAATTCTACTTAAAGCAGTCAGAAAATGATCGAAACATGTGATGTCATCCAGCACGTAGCTGCAGCTCAAATTTAAGCACCCTATTTAACCTTAAAGTAGTCAAGATTTGATTGAATATAAATTCATTTTTTCGATAATATCGAGATAAATTCTGCTTCTTATGGTAAGGAAACAAAAACTTGCATTGTCATTGATACTGGAGCTCTTGCATAGAGTAGATTACTCTTACAGGTTAAAAGGTGGTCAAATTTTCGATTAAAAGAAACTCACCGAACACTGCTACAAGCACGATAGAGGGTTAATAAAAATGCGTAAAAAAGACTACATTACTAAATGTTAGTTTATCATATGCTAACATAAATAAAATGGAGAGGAAAATATAACTGAAAATAATTTATCTTCAATCGATGATGAAGAATAAATAATGCAAGAAACCCTCTTGTATAAAGCGTAAACCCAGAATTTTTTTTTGTTATTTAATTTTTAATGATCAAGAGACTTTTTTTTACATTTTTTAAAAATTTCTTAATTTTTTGTGACCAAGGCTAAAATCTAGTAAAATGTGCTGAGTATTTCTTGTGAATTAAAAATTCAGAAATAAAGCACTGAGTACGTATTTAAACTTTCCTTTTTTCTGTAGTAATTTTTCTAAATTCAGCAACTGGAAGCCGTGGCGGCTCAAATAATAGAGCGATTGCCTCCCAATAAGGAGACCCGGGTTCGAATATCAGTGCTGGTTGGACGATATGAATTCCGCATACGGCTCGCACCAATCACAGTGCTGACGTAAAATATCCTCAATGGTAGACGGATCGTGGGTTAGAGTTCCCTTGCCGCCAGGTTAACCAAGGGTGGTTTTCGTGGTTTTGCTCTCCTTGTAACGCAAGTGTGGGTTAGTTTCATCAAACATCATATATAACCTAAACGCATTGACCATATATAACCTCAATGCATTGAACATACATAAATCTGAACAAATTTAACCTGAATGCGTTGAACCTCAGTTATAAAAATTAGATTTGCCTTCTTTTAATTTTCTTTTTCATTATATGAAATTGAATTAAAACGGAATTTTGAAAATAACTCTGTAAAATGTAGGATCAAAACGCAAAAAAATTAGGAGTGTGAAAATTAGGCGTACTTAGGGAAAATGGATAATACAATAAGGAAGAAGAAACGACAAAGAATCTTCATCATTCAAAACTTCACAACAAATTCCGAAATGATATACTGCCATACAAACTTTAAACCGGATGCGACAAGCAGTTTTGTCACTGTAAAAGGAGACCATATCTTCTGGTGATTCGATAGGCATCTTATTAAAGACACCTTTTAAAAATTTACAAAGGTTGTTTGGTCTGGAATCTTAAAAAATTAGTCTATCCTTGCAAATGCATCTGTTGGGAAAGACAATGTCCAGCCAGTTTCACCAGCTTTCTTACCCTTTGCTTTATTTACTCTTTTTTAAGGCATACTTTGATTTTCGACCCCGCATTGTATGTTTTGAAGAGTTATATATCTTCGACCATTAGTTTTGTTACACCCTGCACACGAAAGAAAGTGCGTCTGAAAGCAGAGAAAGTAAATTTATTTTATCTTACCTATTAATGGTATCATGCAAGAAAAACCAATTAGAAGAAATCCAACAACAGCGCACCATCTTCGGCCAAATTTGTCCATGAATACCCAACAGGTTATGTATCCGGGTGCCTCAACCAAAGAAAGTAGAAAAAAGTTAACAAACTCATTACCAGCAAGATTAGCCACGTTGATTTGTAGTCCGTAGTATGCCATTATATTTGTTGTCCTGGAATTACAAAGAGACCCATTTAGCATCTTCTAAGAAACCCTTTTCACATGTTACATAGAGTTATAGAATACCAGTAATTGAGTAGATACTGAATTAAATAAATAATCCAAGAAGAAGTAAGATATATATATATATATATATGTTACGAAATATTTCACAGAAACAGAAGTTCACTGTTACAAATGTATGTTTGTTTTTACACTTTTAAAAAAATTTTCACTACACCAAGAGCTAATTCAGTCGAACTCGTTTATAACGAGCACAAAGGGACCGTAACATTGTACTCGTTAAATCCGAGTGCTCGTNTATATACTACGAAATATTTCACGAAAACAGAAGTTCACTGTTACAAATGCATGTTTGTTTTTACACTTTAAACATTTTTCGTGTATCCTAACTACTTTATAGTGAAAAACTATTTCACTACACCAAGAACTAATAATACTTTTTAGTGTAGTGAAACACTAAGAATGTTTTTTAACACTGCTTAATGTAAATTAGCAGTCACTATTTTTGGTATTCAGTAATGCGAAAATTAGCTATTGCAATAAGATTAGATACATAAGAGTCAGTAAAGGTATTTTCACAATATAAAGTAAGATTCACTAATTTAAAATGCAAACATGCTCTAATTCTTAAAATAAAATAAATTCATTAATCAATCGCTCTTAGCACAGACAGAATATTAAGACGAATTCGAACTAGGCTTAACAGAAATTAAGCTGATGGAAATTATGCGTTATAAAATAAATTAATAAACTTAACTTAGATTTGAAAATTGAAATATAAAAATCCTTATTACGTAACTAAGAACATACATAGAAAGTTTTGTCTCAGCAGGCGTATAGCCGCATGGAAGACAACAACAAAATTATGCCAACTCGTAAACAGTCTAATAACGATATCCTAATCGAGCTAGCTTTTGTGTTAACGGAAATGAAAATAATTTACGCATGGCGTGAATGTGCGTGAGCTTAGTGCAAGCTTTTCCTATTTTAAGTGTTTAGATGTAACTGCATTATATATGAATTTTTGATTTGGTGTTAACTTGAAACAAAGTGTTCCTTCACGCAATTTTTTGGCTTGTTCAACATCAAATTACGCCCTTAGAGAAACAAATATTACACCATAGTTTTGTTTTTACAGTGTAGTTTTGTAATAAGGAAATATGCTCTAATAAGATTTACATAATTCTGTCAATTGTATTCAGCAATTTCATATTATTTAATTTCTATCCACTATTACGCCTACTTCGAATTTATTATATCAAAATTTATTTATCTGTGATGCAAGTGGGGTTGATAAATTAATTTTATTTCAAGAATTGTTTATTGTATGCATTCTAAATTAATAGATCTTAATATAAATAATTTTACTTGCATTTTACATCATTGCTATGGTTTTGTGTCTCTAGCTTTGGTGTTAAGCACCGAGAAAGGTGGTAACTTCCTTACACTAAAAGAACTGTAATGGAACATTTGTGGTGCTTACTTTACCAAAAACAAAACTTGGTGTTTCATTACACCATTTATGGGGTAAAGTAGTCATGTAGTTATAACAGTTTTCGTTTTTAAAATAAAGTAAAAATTTTTACAAAGTATTTTTTACACTTATATTACATAAATATATATTTACCAGCAAACAGTAATTATTATAAACTTCTTTCGCATCTGGGGATACCTGATGAGATCAACTGCTGAGTTCTGAACCCCATCCACAATAATTTCATGCTTCAATTTTTCACCAATTACCTAAAATAATAGAAAAATCAATCATTAAGCAACTGGTGCCTATTGTCACTTTGTACGGAAAAGTTAAAAAATGTTTACGGGAATTATTTTTTTGAATATACTTGAGATAGTTTAAAAGTATTTATTTTTATCAAATAAGTGGCAGCTCGTATCCATTGTTTGGCTGACAATGCTCAATAATATGGGATGACCGAGCCACACATGTGTCCTGAAGTTAAATTACAACTAGACAATTCTATCGTAACAGATTAAAAGTTAGGAATAAAAGAGGGCGATATTTTTTTTCAAAATTACATTGAAAACTTTTTGGTGCATGGCTCATTATGGAACACGACATCATTTATGTTCTTTGTAAACAGAATAATAGCTGCATGGCTAAGCTATTTTCCCACTGTTCATATAGTTTGTCTTAAGTAAGAACTACCCTAGCCTTTCGCCTGGTCCCTTGGTGGTGACTATGGTAACGAGGTATAACTATTTCAAGTAGGGAATGTGGGTCACTGTTTAGGGTAGGTTTCGGCTCGGGTCGGCGAGAGAAAGGGAAACTTTTTCTTCTGTACATTGTGTTAGTCCTAGAGTGAAAAGAAGCTACCCTACCTGAAATGCGCTATTCCTGTTTCCATAGCAACAGGCAGCCTCAGACTTTGTGGCGAGGGGAGTTCTTACAGTTGACAAACTATATTTTTTCACCATTCCGTTACCTTGGTATCTACCAATAGCGCTTTTTTCCCTACTGCAGTATGTTTTAGTTAGCAGTGGTAATATACTGGTGTAGGGAAAAAGCGAGTCTATCGTAAAGGAATACTATCGTAAAGGATACTATCGTAAAGGAAAAGGGAAAAGTGTAAAAAATGGGGAATCCGAGTTAAAATTACTTTAATTACAATTAGTATAGTATGTGACTGTTCAAACAATGCAAATATATTTATAATCAATTAAGGAAATTTTTGCAATAATAACGATTGTTGTAATTGCAAAAATAACGATGTTGCTGTAACAGACAGACAGCAATTATTTTAACTATCAATTTCTTAATGAAGTAAAAAAGAAATATGTATCTATAAATGTGAAAAGTGACAGAATGAAAATGTCTCTTCGAAACTTCCATGTTAAATTTACGTGAAAAAGTTTGCTCCGTTTCTCAAAGTTAAATTTTCACTTTCAGGCTTCGTTTCATTCATTCATCTGTAATTTCCTTATTTTTCAACAGTTCATATTTTTTATTTCCGTGAGCTCTTTTTGAGTTTGTGTATTATTTGTCTTAAAAAAACGCTATCTTATTTAAATTTATCCACAGAGTGTTCCGTATTAAAATATTACGCAATTAGTTATTTTCTAATTTTTTAATAGACAAACTTAACTGAAAAGTGTTTTGAGCAGCATTTTCTTGAATTTAGAAACAACTTTCACAAATATAGCAGTAATAGGAGCTAACTGCGAAACACATTTTCTCATTAAAATTCCTCCTTTACATAGCAGAAAAAAATTTGTTCTCTGAAGGCATTTAACCATAACCTATACTTTCAAACCAACATTTTGCGCTTTTCTAGAAGTCACTTAGTAGCTCCTTCATTTAAGCTTATTCTTTTTATTAAGCTTATTCTTATTTGTTACTATCAAACGGGATAATATTACGTTTTTCTCAAATTGTGAAGATTGCACTCCAAAATTTGAAAAGCGAATCATTATCCTACTCCCATTTCCTATGCAGTCAGGAATAACTATTCATGATTTCGCAAATATTTGCTACCTGTAATTTTTGAGTAAGTGCAGTTCTGTCTTGTGTTTTTCCATTCTTTTCTGCTATTTGCATCATGATGTCTGTTGCCTCTTCGTATCTTTCTTGGGAAACAAGCCATCGAGGTGATTCCGGGAGAAACCTGGAATAGTAAACATAAATACAATATTGATCTACATGTTCACAAAATTTATAGATTCTTAGTCCTTTGACTAATGCTGCTTAAGTCCTTTGACTAATGCTGCAAAAATTTTAGTGGATCTTAACACAAATGGTGGCTGCTACTTCATACCAAAAATGAGTAGCGAAACAATATTTATGATTTGTTGGTGTTTGAAACAACAAAAATGTTCCTTTTCCCTACTTTTGGTGTAAAGTATTCGTCCTCATTTTTGAAGTTCATCTATTACGAAAATTTATAATAACAATAAGATAAGTGTACGTAAAGTTATTTTTGAAAGTAAGAACAGTTAGTTTAGAATGCATGGATACTGTAATTCTTCAAATAAAATTACACAACATGAAACATGCATACATTTTGTAACGATGAACATTTGTTTCTGTAGATTTGCAGCAGATTTCAAGATCACGTCAAATTTAGCCCCTTTTGTACTCGATTGGAAACAATCTACTCTTAATATCCGAAGTACTCCAAAATTAGTGACTTTTGAAGCGAAATAATTCTTGAATAGTGCGAATGGGCGTGAGCCTGGCATAAGCATGTCAGATTATTCGAGCTTAGACACCTTTTAAAGTGTAAATGAGCCCTCGATTATGCAAAAAACAAAGACATTATCGAATGACTATTGAAGACGGTGTTAGACAACTATTCAAATAAACTGTATGGTATATGGTTTTCAATGAAAGTTAATTTGCAAAAATTAATGAAGTCAGGGAATGTTGCAAATTTTTCTTACACATTTTTTCGCAAACTATCAAGCTACTTAAAACTTTTCTTTAAAGTCTACAGACATTTTCCCGAAATGGCAGAAAATACAAAAAGATGATTTCGGATTCAGTTTTATTCAAAGTTTTGCAATTTTGAATTGGAATTGATTTCATCTGTTCTTCAGAGATAAAGCTATATGTAATACATATACGACGAATTCGCACAAACTGTTCACATATGGCAGCATATTTGTTTATTATCCTGACGAAACTTAGAGCGATTTCTGACTTTCCTTAAGACTAAAAATTTTTCCAAAAACGAACTTATTTTTTCATACTATACACAACAAAAGGAAAACATCAGCATTCGTTCCTCTACATATTCTCATTCCTTCAACACCGATTCGCTAGTTGATTCTAGTTTCTCTGTAAAGAGAAAAAGTTCAAGCATTCGAGCATTGATTTCAAACTATGTCTCCCTGGATTAATTCGTCTTTTTCCAATTATATCATTATTTCAAAACTAATATACTATAAATGGCAGAAATGATCCAAAAAATGGTTTTGGATTTGTTTTTGTACAAAGCTTTGTAATTTTGAATTGGAATTGATTTGCAAGATTGTGCAGTTCATATTTGCATATATTGCCTATTATCCTGTGTGACATATTTGCCTATTATCCTGACAAAACTGTGACTTTTCTTTAAGACTAAAAACTTTTGCAAAAAGGATCTTTTTTTTTCATTCTGCACAAAAAAGGAACTATCATTCTTTTACACGTTCTCATTCACTCGTCAGTGATTCGCTACCTAATTGTAGCTTCTGCATTGAAAGGAGGAGTTCGAACATTCGAGTATTGACAACAAACCAAAATTTGAAACCAAATTATGTCTCCTCAGAATTATTAGTCTTTTGCCAATTGGATAATTGAAAGTGACGTCATCGTAGGTAAATCGTAGCATTTGTCGATTCAGAAGCCACTCAAGTTCGACTCACAAGCATAACGTCACTTACAGGTATCCAATTAAATCTGATTTCAGATGTAATGTACTATAAATTGTCCATTAATCTTTACTCATAAAGCGTTTCAAACGCTCAAATTAGAACATAAAAAGGACTTACTTCCAGTACAGTGCGAAAAGAAGGGTAACAGAAGAGGTCACTAAACCCAATATAATCCAACTTCTGGAAAAATAAGCAATAAGCGACAATAGGCAGAGACCAACAGACCAAGAACAATTCACTAGTCCGTTCATTCTTGTTCGCATTTCAGGTCCGACTATTTCCAAAACTATTAAAAAATAAAATTTAATTTTTAACGAAATAAATACTATGAGTATATAATTTTTATGTAATTTTGTATTTGTTGTTTTGAATCAAAACGAATTGATAAGGTGAACGAATTAATTTTGGAACTCTCATAACATGCGATTTGAACTGCAGAAACAATCTTAATTAACTCAATTGTATATACAACCTTATTTTTACTCGTTTAAACCTTACTCGTTAAACGTTATTATTTAACTCGTTTAAACGCTTCATATTTAAATTTTCCTTCCTAAGAATGTCTTTTACTTCTTTTTATTTTTTAAAAAAAAGAACTATAAATTAGGAGAATTGTGAGCTTTTTTTTAAAAAAAGAGCTGCAAATTAAGAGAATTGTGAGCTTTTTTTTAAAAAAAGAGCTGTAAATTAAGAGAATTGTGAGCTTATTTTAAAAAAAGAAGCGGTAAATTAAGAGAATTGTGAGCTTTTTCTTAAAAAATGAGCTGTAAATTAAGAGAATTGTGAGCTTAATAGCAATTCTAACATGTGAGCATGATAGAGAAGTAACAAAAATTTTAAGTTCTTTTTTTTAATAATTTTGAGTTTAATATTCTAGGAAACGCATTTCTTTAGATTTGCTAAATAGATTGACAAACATTACAATAAATTAATTGTAAATCAAATAATTGGGTATATAACCTCGTGCATTATTTAAGTTCATTAGAAGAAGAACAGAAAAATTATAAAGTTATGTGACTGCATGGAAAGTATTCGAAACAAATAATTTTCATAGGATAAAAAGTTATAAAATTTACACCATCTCCAACTTCAATCACTAGAAAATTGTAGCGGCTCAATGATACTTTATTTTTAAGCTTTTAAACGAAGATGGAGATCTTACTTAGCAATTTACATCTAGTTTATAATCTTTGTTCGAGTGTTACCAATGTGAACATTTTTGGTAACAGCATTTATTGAACATTTTGTCTTCATCTGTTCTCCTTATCTCCTTCTATTTTGCCGAATCTATTCCTTGGTTTCCCATTTATTGGAACAAAATGCCCTTATTCTGTGGAAATCTCTTAAAAATCTATTCTGAGGGTAAATTTTTACTATTTACTAAATCAATATTCAATTTATGAATTATAAATTTAATGCAATAAATTTAAATGCGATTTTGTAGATGATTTTATTGATAAAGACACTTTAGCGATATAATGAATCAAAAGTCATACTTGGTAGCTCCAGTAGAGATTTTAGTGCCTAAGCTAGCCTAAAATCATTCGATTTTTGACAGACGAGAAATTCTTTCTAATTATGTAGAAAGCAGAAAAATAATTTCAACTTAAATTGAGCTCAAAACAGAACTTCATTAAAAATTTGAATGCTTTAACAAGTCTTAAACTGGTTGAGGATCCGACTACAAAGGCGTCATCGCCGCAGATACAAGAATTTATAAAAATGTAGAATGTTATGACTTCTTTCCCGAAAAAAATTATTCATTGCTGATCATTATCGTGAATATTTTCGACGTTCTCAACCAATAATTTAGTGAAGTATACAGAATATCTAATGATTATTAGGACAAGCTTCACAAGGATTCAGATTTGCATAGGAACCTATGGTCGAAAAAGTTTTCGTTCATGGCTAGGGGGTTATCAACAAGATCATTGGCGAAAACAGACTTGCATTATTGCAGTTATTTGAGCTGTCATCGCTCGCAGAGAAGTATGGAACGTTTGGTGAACACCGAGCTTGCAGATCTGCACATGATGTACGGCTTGACGGAGAAAAATACATGAGCAGTAGAAATATTGTATTGCGAAAGGTGATCACGGAGAGACGCACAGGGTTGCCAGATCACCAATCCATCTCCCAACTGTGTAACGCATGCATCACAAGCATTGATGGAAACGTTAGACCTGTTCTGTGACATTTTCACATATCATCTATCACAGTACGTGTATAATTCGTTGACCAGAAGTTGGCACGTGACTCCATCTCCTCGAAAGCAGAGTTCATTTCATTGCGGGAGTAAGAAGAAAAACATATCTGTCCTTGAAATTGAGACAACCCTTAATGCGCGTCAAACACAACTGGTGACTTCTTTTTCAGTCATTTACTTAGCTTTATAAACTGCTATTATACCTTTTATTTCTCTGTCTAATTAAATATATTTTAAATTTAAAAACTGCTGCTTTTCCAGCAAATTGTCTTAAAAAGGACAAACTATTCACTCGAAGGAGAAAAATGCCATAAAAAATGGCGCGAAATATTATCAAATTTATGTAATATTCATTGTTAAAAAAATGCAGATAAAGTTTGCGAATTAAATATTTTTGCTATACGATCGCCAAATAGCAACCTTGTTCAGGATTGCTTACAACCTTCTCCCAAAAATAGCGAAATAGTATCGTCGCTAACCATGTGATGAAGGTGGAGCCAAGTGTCAACTCCTGATGAACGATCTATAATATCTTTGACCAATAAATATTTCAGCTGATCTGTGTCTTGTGCCTCTTTGTTTCTTGTACTTGTCATACGACCTTCCATGGGCTCCTATGCAATTCTGGATCCTTGTGATGTTACTTACCTTCCCTTAAAATTTGTCCCAATAATCCTGGGAAACCAGTATGTATATAATTTACAGGGTTAAAAGTTTAGCCACCTTTGATAGTAGAATGAAGAAGAAAGGAAGTAAAAAATGATGTTTAGAAACTATCATATTTTGACAATTGCATATTTTACTTAATTATGATATAAGACAACAGAAAACCGCACGGTATTAGGGCTTCATTGATGGTTTTGATAACTACGAAAAGTCAACGAAGTATATGAAGTCATTTATGAGGACTGAAGGTTTGGAGATGACTGCTGTGACAAGCATTACTATGAAAAAAATGTTTTCCTGCCTATTCTGAAAATCAATATCGCTAAAATAATTTCACCAAAATCGAGGAACCCAGTTTTACCCCCTCTCCCCTACATTAAGCAAGATTAAAAATACGGCTACCTTTGATTGTACAATGAAACAGAAAAGAAGTAAAAAGCAATCTTTAGAAACTATCATTTTTTGTCCGTCACACCATTTACTTACTTATGATATACGGCAACTGAAAAGCACACGGCATTAGGGTTCCGTTAATGGTTTTGATTACTAAAAAAGCAATAAAGTCATTCATGAGAACTGAAGATATAGAGGTGACTGCCGTGACAAACATTACTATGAAAAAAGCTATTTTCCTTCCGATTCTGAAAATAAAACAAACGTTTTTAGGAATCAGGAAGTACACAAAAAATTATAAAATAATAACTACTCCTGAATTTATAAATAAACATTTTAACTGGATGTCTTACTCATGTTCCTGTTATATACATGTTCGTATATGTATAATACAGGGTGTTCCTTAATCACCACCATTAATGTATATTATTTTATGAATAATCTTTGTATTGAAGAGTCTTTGTCATAAATGAAATAATAAAAAAGTTAGGAGTTGCAAATTAATATTTAAGTGATTAAAAATACAAAAACTAAACCAAAATCTAACGAATCATTATTAAGGTATAAGCGAATAAAAAAATGAGCACTGTGTTTAATTGTCGGATGAAATAAAGAAGAGGTGATGTTTTTTATTCCATCTAGCTCGCTAGTGATTCATCGAATTTGGATAGTATTTTTTCTTCTTCCTCCTTTAAATATAAATTTGAAGATTGCAAGTAAGCATTACACAGAGGGAAAACAACAGCTGGGAGATTAAATCAATTAAAGCAAGTTTGAAATCACATTTTAATTATTAATTTGATTTTAATTTTATCTTTGTTAAGATTACTCAAGTAAAACACCTAAACGAAATCATGCCTTTCGACTTATTAATTGGAAAATTTAAAAATTGAATGATTTCGTCTATTTGCTTTGTTTTAAACCTAAAACTCTGGGCCGGCCAGGTGGCTGTGTGGTTAGCGTGCCGCACTGTCAAGCCAGTGGCTGCGGGTTAGAATCCTGCTCAGGGCATGGACGTTTCTTTCTGTTTATTGTCCCCTATTGCGTGTGATGTGTGAATGTGACCAACCTGTAGCAGTGTGAACGAGTATCTGTGGCAGTGGGACATGGGAATGCTGTTCACTTCAGTGACAAGGTGCTCACCAGGTAACGCAAAATGAGTAACACTTCTGGCACCTTCCATGGTGAATAATGATAAGTTCAGTGCTAGCCATTAAATGAAAGAAAAAAAAACTTAATGCTCTGGGAATAGCTCATTTGTAATTAATTTGCTATGCAAATTATTCAGGCTAAAGTTCACATTACACAAATTTTCAGCATAAAATTATAACTCATCAGTTGCACATTATTTAAACTAAAATTCCATAAATTTAGCTTTGGCACTTGTTTCTAAACATTTCCTACACTAAATTTATTTGTGTGGATTATTTACTGCTGTTAGTTTAACTTGGTTCAATTTGATTTAAATTAAATATAGAAAAAAATAGTTCCATACTTGTCGGCTAACATTCCATATATAGGTGTTCCTACAATGCTTCCAACATTGAACATACTCAAGACAAAACTATAATAGTGATCATCCTCACAAACCAAGTTCCACTGAAAATGTTTAGAAATGTATGAACCATTTTTAATCCAATATTTAAACAATTAATTCAAAAACTCACAAAATACATTATTCAATTAAAATGCTATATATCCTGTTAAAATATCTCTCTTAAGAGTAGAGTTGTAAGAGGTATTTTCAGTTAATTATTTCAAATTATCAATAATTGAAGCAACTTTTAACTATTTATTTTTATTTTTCGGAATCGAAATTGATATGAGAATTGATAGGGTACTAAAAATATTGAGGATTAAGGACTTAAACTAAATAAATTTTTTATTTTTTATTCCTATATTAACTAATTCTAAGTAAAATTCAGAATTTTCGCAGCATGGATTTCTAAATATTTTCTGAATAATGTTGCAAGCAAGTGACCTTTTAATAATAATCTACAAGAAAACAATATGGGAATTTTTGGTCATCTGACAGTAGTCAGTGAATTTCCAACTAAAAACAATTACTCTAAATACTCTACTCGTTTAATTTAAACAGTTTTTTGTAGTTACAAATAACAGAGAACGAAATTTCAATTCTAAAGTTGCCAGACTAAAAGTTTTGCTGGGCACTATTTTTATAAAAAATATAAACAATTTTCAAAATGTTAATAGACGTCGCATGTTGAAATTTTTGGAGTCAAAAACCATAAAAGAATGCAGAAAGTGAAAGACTGAAACACGATAGTTTGCTAAAAAAGTTTGATATCAGCTTTAAAAAAAAGTTTCAATGGTTCCAATGTTATCCGAAAAATTATTCCAATAATGGTTCTAAAAGATCCGAAAAATTACACGTCAGAAATGTGCCTTTGCTTTTCTCACTTTATATTTGCATACCATTTCCTTTCAACACTAAAATACCGTATGTCAAAATTCATCTATAGCACCGAACTCTGTTTGGGAGAGGATCAATTTGAATCTTGGCAAATCTCCAACACTGCCTCAGTTTCCAAAGAGTTTCTGTAAGTTGCCTTCATTCTAATGTGACAGTTGAATCCTCTCTTACAAGAAGCTGTAATCACTGGTAGAATAACACAGAAATGTTATAATCTGGTGCATATTCGAGAATCTCACTGAACATCCTTCACTGTTTAACTTTTTCAACATCTGAGTCAAAGCTTGGGCAGCGAACATTTACTTGAAATTTTGTCCGCTCTACCAGCACAACATCCACTTATTTATTAAAGAGATTCTGGCTTAAATACACGGAGAATTTATCTCCTCTATCCAAATTCAAGAATTTTTTTCTGTTATTGTGGTTTCTAATGCCACTTGCCAATACCAGGAAGTCTGCTTGGTAAAACCAAGCGAATTTATAGAAGAGGGTACATTTCCTGTTTTTTAGTAATTCCATCAATGACCAAGAATAAGATTTCAGCCACATGCACGTCACAGCCCCTTCATAGGGCAGACCCATTTATACACCCATTCACCCACAGATCGTAATTTTGACCTGAACCTAAGAATGATCAGTCTCCAATTCAGTACCTCCAGAGGTATGATTTTCTATGGGAACATGGAGGACTTTGTGACTCGACAGATTTAACGTTCACTAGTCACCATTTACCACATTACGGGGATTCTTCGGGAGGTGGTAATAAGACTTACGACCTCTTGGAAATGTTCCTAATGCCTTACCTACCAATTACTCCCAGTAGAATTTTTTTTGGAAGGCCAACCCAGCCCGTCAAAAATATGTAGAGTCAGAAGATGTTAACGCATCTTTTGACATCGACTGTAGTATTTTTGAGGTGTGCAACTTTGCATACTCAATTAATCTCCCTCTTAAAGGCTGAAACTATTGCTCCCCGTTTTAATACTTTTACCAACTCAAAGCTCACAACTAACTCGAGGAAAAACGTAATATAGTTTTATTTGAAACACCACATTTTACTAGACAAAACTTAATCGGGATATTTAAGTATTCAGTAGTCAATGACGAGCTGATGAGTGAAATTTTTTACTCCCTGTTAACATTAAAAAATTTTAACTGATTAGAATCGGTAAAATAATAGAGAGCTATTAGTGCTTTTTACATGAACACTGAACATTAAACGCAGTAACAGATCATACTTATTAATAGTTAGATTTTACAATATTTGAGTAAGATTTAATTTTTGCTAAATTTATATTTTATTTATAACTGTTATAGTATTTGTTACAATATTTATACTTTAATATACATGGTAATTAAAAACATTCAAATTTAGTATGCAAAAAAGTTTAATATTATGAAAACCATCATTTCAAGAGATTGTCTTTATTTTTATTTTCCTTATTCATGCTTGTATTATCATAGTGAATGACATTTATTTTTTACTTATTTTCACAAAACATAATAGATCTTTTTTTTCACGAATATATCTTCATAAAGGATGAATTTTGAAATTGAATAGCTTTCGAGGAAATAAATGCTATTAACAAACTCTTATCAGATGGTTGGCGTATACATTTAAAACTGATAATCATAATAAATTATGCGTCAAGTGACACACCGAAAAATTAATTGTCAAAATAATACAATAAAGTTTTTTTTATGTGTGTATGACTGTATGTTTCTAAATCATTAATCAAATATTAAATAATATATACTCATTAATACCTAAGTTGGGGAAATTCCCAATAGTAACTTGTATGCTAATGTTAATTGCAATGAAAAACTTCAGAATTGCTAAAATAAATCTTGTTTAAACATGTTTTGATATATTTGGCAAAGTTTAAACGTTCCTTAAACAGAAACGTTTTGCAGCAGTTATCAGTTTTTTAAGAACAAAAACGTATTGAATATGCCTTAGTATTTTGCATAATTTTTTACCTCTTTAATTTAAAAGAAGAATTTTTTATCTGGGAAATTTTATTTTCATATAAATCTAGCATACACTCTTTGCATTTACGTCATAAATAATAAGGGGAAAACTAATGGAGAGAAAAGACACGTTTGAAGCTGTTTTTATTATTAAAAAAATCTTTTTGTTTATAAGCGTGTGTGCTATTTTTCATTATATATTACTTTTAGTCATTATGTTAGTATTCAAAATTGCTTCTTCTATGCTTCTTAAATTATGTTATATACCTGATAATAAGTAATTAGAATAAAACATACAAAGGAAATTATCTATCTGGAAAAAATTTTATAAAGAAGGAAAAAAAAAATAAGTCAAGATATATCAAGGAATTACTTTTACAAAAGCATCCCAGGTTAGGGTAATATATTTTATTTCGTTCCCACCCGATTCCGACTTTAGAGATGTAAAAAGAAATCCTCGATTAAGGGTGGGTAATCACAAATTACTTCAAATGTTAAATAGACGAGTAAATGTAACCAGATAGTTAACCAAACGAATATCAAAGGTTCGTATAAAAATTCGGATTTATCCCCCCTCCCCTCCTAAAAAACCCTCTCTTTCCGAAAACTTTTCTAAACAGATAAAGGATACACTTTTCTTACACCGTCGGGTCACGAAGCACACCATGTTTCCATAATAAATTACACGTCTGGGAGTACTGGATTAAAGATTGATCGTTCCTTGTTTCAAGTCAATATTACGATGTATTAATGAATGATTGGGTCCACCCTTTAAACAGATTTGTCGTATGGGTGGGAGAATTTTTATATATAATAAGTAGAATTTTTGGTCATAGATGGCGACACAGGAAAACAAGAGCAATCGCACCCCGAGTGCCTTATTGGCCTACGACAACAACAACCACATAAACAACATAACTCATTTAATTAATAAAAATCCAATTATAAGCAAGAATAACATAATCAACTAAAACATTTAAAATGGTAATAAGCAATAATTGATTATCGCTTTCTTGATTGTAATTGAAATTCTGACTTGTTTTCATAATAGATCCATCGATCATCAGAATAAAAATAAACAAATAAAAAACATATACATTAAACTTATTTAAAAATTAAATGAATACGCTTACTTTTGTCGACGCTGTGGTGTCCCAGTTAGTGTTATCATATTGCCAGCCTTGATTGCAGGGGCTGGTAGTAGTATTTTCTGGAATAACATAACTCCCGTTGTCCAAAAAGTCGGTAAAGTTTAAATTGTACATATGGCATTTATCTCCAGGTGGACTAATAAGAGATCTTTGATCAGAAATACTTAAATTAGATGAAACAAGTTCTGGCACATTACACCAATGATCAGGCACGGAGACCATGAAAAATATATTCATACTAACCCATGGTAGCAGCAATGCAGCAGGTATTAAAAAATATCTGATGAGGCTTTGTTGGTACTTTCCATAATCACCCACATCCAACAAGATGTCCTCAAAATCCATCTTTAATTGATTTGATTTAATTTATTTAAAATACTTATCTGAAGACAAATGTAAGACTTCAGCATATTTTTCCATTTTAGTCTTTTGATAACTTAGCTAAAAAATCACTTCTTACAATGTTTCAGTGAGTTTGGTGGATGATATCAAGGCCCACTTGAGTTCCGTTATATTTTGTTTATTTTATCAAAAAAACATCTGATTTACGGCTTAATCTTGGGGATAGCTTGTTTTTTTTTTCACAATATTTTTTTTTCAAAAATAGTATTTGATGAAATTAAGATTGCTTAAGCTGACAGCAGATAGTGCGAAAAGGAGTCCATTATCAGTTATAGTGTGGCCTTCTGAATAACTATACAGCTGAGCTATAAAGCGGCTTCCTAAAGGAAAAGTAATGTTACAAAATTTCAAATGTTCAATTCAATCCAAAAATGAATGAACAGCATCTCAACCGCCGCTCAGTCATCGTTCGTTTTCTCTTGTCACTCGCCACTCTCCAAATAAAGGAAATGAAAATTGTGTTGAAAGGAAACGCAATGAGAGAAGGAAATATTAAACTTTTAACAGCAAGATCAGTACGATATTGCAGTTATTAATTAGGTTTAATGCAACTAGTTAAGAAAATAAATCTTTTGGTCTAATGTGAAAATGCTTTAATGCTTTTCTTTTATCTATATATCATCACATAATTATTGTTTTCGTTTATAGCTCATTGGATTTTTATCAAATTAAAAAAAAATATTGTATTAAAAATTATTAGCTTATTGCTTGCTAATTGTTACCTTGTTTCTGCAGGATTTTATTCCTAAAGAATTAGAAATATCGAGGAATATACTTTTATTTGGTACTAGAAAGTTTAACTTGGTTATTTAGCATAAGAAGCTTGCAGCAACCGAAGTGATCTAACACTCCTTATAGCCTACTAAATGTTAGGCCCACTTTTTAAAATGAAAAAAAATTTCCTGATATTTTTCCTGATATTTTCTTGATTTAGAAGCGAAACGTTGCTTGTATATAATCACGTCAGGTCAGGCAAAGTTTTAAGGAATTAAACTCTCCCTAGGTTCATCATGTCAAATTTAAGCAGGAACAACAATCATTATTTACTATTGTAAGATACCCATTAGTTGTACTCGCAATAGTTTGTAATTGAAAAAAAACTGAATTCCTTAAGTTTTATTTTTGCTATATCAGTCAATCGTGAGATGATTTTGTTTGTACCTCGAGAATATTCCCTCAAACCATATACTGCACAATGTATCTTGAGATCTATTACATGATTAGACAATAATCACATCTGTGTTAAATTGTAATCCAAAAAAAATTGTTCAGAAACTCAGGTATGCAACGTCGTGACACAATTCATCACTAAAATTTCCATCATCATGTTAAGACCACGTACTGCGTAATACGCCTTGATGACTATTACATGATTAGATGATAATCGCTTCTGTGTTAAATTGTAACCTATGGAAAATATATTAAGAAATTCAGGTATGCAACGTCGTTCTGACACAATCTAACAATGAAATTTTCATCATCATGCTAAAAATCAAGTCCCCGAGAAAGTGAATTTACGTGGAATTCAAAATTAAAATGTAACCGAATGAAAGAGTTGTTTCAATGTTTGAAAAATGGTTAAAATAACAATGTTTCTAGACACAGCTTTGAGCAACAATTTATACATATACCATATTTCTACATTGCGGCTGCCCTCTATATATTAGGAGTCAAAAATTCAAATCCGTTGAAAAAAGTATGTTTATTCAAAGAACGCACATTTTTGTGCCTGATTTCTTAACTTAAAATATCAATTGCACTAATCAATTAGCATATTCGGGGTCACCGCGTCAAACCATTAAGATTCAGACCTATATCGTGAAGATACGATCATTATATCAAAGGTTATTCAGGGTTGTCCGTTTTTTTAAATTTATTATTTTTTTTGGCACACTTTACGTTGGAACAGTGTTTGTGTGATTGAAAATATATAAGCTTACGAGAGTAACATTTTCCCTTCCTATGATAAGTTTTATCATAAGCTATTGTCTATTTCAGTTTTAGTACTATTCAATATGGAGATATACTGAATAATTTTGATGCACTTTTATTCTTACTATGGATAATTAATGGTTATGCTACTGATAATGAATGTATCATAAATTATTCTCACATATAAATTTTAAACCTTATCCATCTAATAAAAGGTAGCTTCCAGCAAATCGTTATAAATATAAGTAGAGAAAATTTATTTAAGTTTGACAGTTCAGTAAAAAAAATATCTTACAATTAAGTATGATCTTTAAATTTAAATAGTCGCTCAGTTTGGAGAGAGTTAATGTAAATAGGTTGTCGTAGCCATGATAATGCTTAAAAGTTAGTTTTGTTGGGAGTATATATCGATTAATGTCCGAACGGGAAGAAAAATCTCCTGACACGAAAGTACCCCCAACAACAGCCATTTGACTAATGGGTTATGAATAAAATAATAGAATAATAAAAGAAAGAAAGAAAATAAAAAAGAATTATAAAAAATAATTTTGTATAAAGAAACGTGTTTGGATGAATGAGTTTTACAATTGTGTGCAAAAAGTTTGTCAAGTATTACTGCATTTGTGTCTTATTGTAAAATAAAAGAAATCACGTTATATGCGCAAGAACAAATTAACAAAATACCTAAAGTATTGTTGCAGTATTGTTGATTTGAGTATTGTTGATTGTTGAAGTATTGGCAGTACTGTTGATTTGATTTCCATGGGTACCGTATAAGCGGATCACCGTCACTCAAAAAAAAAAAAAAAAATACAGGACAGAGTGAGAAAAATTACATCCAAGCCCGAAGCAGAATTTGAAACCAGGATCTTCTTAGTACGAGGCCAACTAATTGGCCACCATACATCCGGGAGGTTTTTTAAACCTTTTTGTTTACTAAAATTGATTATAAAACAATCGTATATTTCATAAAATAATAAAAGATAAACATTATTTTAATATTAATCTGTGTTATTTATGAATTTCACACCCTCCGTGCCAGATGTATGCAGTATCACAGCAGAAGGCTATATCGGCAAATTGAAGATTTTTTCGCACAGTTTTAGAAATAATTTATTTTATCATATTCCCTACAGTTCAGATTTCTAAACTCTCGGGAATTTCTCCTTTTTTAAATGTCGAAAATAAATTTTGAAATAATATAGGAGCTCATAGGATGGTAAATTTTTCAATCTTCGTCGAAATTATTTCTTGCCATCTCGCAAAAGAATAACAGTGAAAATGATTTATTTAAGTTGAGAATACAGAGAAATATATTAGTATTAATTAAAAATGGTTTTAAAAAATGAATTACTTGGTATTAAATTGCACGACTCGTGAAGACACTTAAAAGCAAAAACAACTGGTGTTTAAAAACAATTAGCAGCTAATGAATGTTTGAATTTATGTAACTACTCAATTAATAACAATTTTCTGTATAAAATTTTTTTTATTCATAACAAAAACAAAACAGTAAAGCTATTAATATCAACAGTTTTATCAAATAATTTCAATCTTTTCAATGATTTATAATCTTCTCTAACAGAATTCAAGGTGCAAGTGGATGAAAAAGCAAAAGTAAGCTCCATGATAATTTTTTTAAGCTTTTCGTATCTTCGCATGTATCTTTCATGTTACTATCATCCGCTGAAATCTATGCAATCTAAGATGCAAATATCAGATTGAAACTGCCGAATAATAAAATGTGTCCAAATCATATTGTCTTTGCATATGATACTATGAGTTCCATAACGCATAGTAACTTTATTAAAATTTACTAAAATATTACATATCTCCTTTGTCCACTTGCATCTTCAATTATAAACATAACTTTTCTTATTTTAAAATATATATACAATTAAAAAAATACACGAGACAATATTATTTGCAATTAAAATTAGAAATGATTTTTTCTTTTGAAGCTTTAAACCACAAGCAAGTGCAAAAAATGATTATAAAACTTACGGTACATATATTATTAGCAAAATAATTTATTTTTCATACAATGATTAAATAATTATCTACTTTAGTAACAAATTGATTGCGTAATTTTACTCTTACTAGGTTCAATGCTTATTAACACTGAATCTATACACATCATAAAACTATTTGTTTCTTTGCATGCAAGATTACATTAAATACAAGACTGATTAGAAAAAATTAAAAAAATGCTGTACTTTGGTATATGATAATAATCTACAGAACTTGAAAGTAACATAAGATAAAATTTTGCTATATATGTCAGACTAAAACGACAATGACAAGAGAAACTCAAAATTTTCTTTTTGAGATTCATTAATGTGGATGAGCTCTAGACCCTTAAAACGCTTTTGAGAGGGACCTTAGACTGGCCAGAACTGTCTGCAATCACCATCCAAAATAGGACTCTTATTTGAAATACAAAGAAAAAATGCGAATTTACTTAGTGGAGTCACAAAATATTATTTAAGGAAGAAAAATTTTTAAAAAATGTTCTCAACATCTAATGAATCACTAACGAAGTAATCAGGGCTGAAAACATCAAAATCAGTTTCATTGCCGGAGCAAGGTTATGTTAGAAGACAAATGTTCGAAATACCTTAAAGTTTCGTCCAGTTATCAAAATCGTCTTGAGGATTTTTAATCTCGACCTTCTTTATAATGATTTGTCAGATAATGACGTTTTTGTTATTTGATGATATAATGATTTTTAATCTCAACTTTCTCTACAGTGATTTGTCAGATAATAACGCTTTTGTTTTTTGATAGCTTTAATATAAAATTGAAATAGGTTTTTACTTAATTTTTAATAAAGATTCTGAAAACATACACCTAATTGGAAAATATGTTTAGTTTTTTTTAAATCATTAAAAACACATTTTATTTTAAAAGTTTTCAAAACTGAAAAAGCATTTACTGCAAAAAATAAGTATCGCAAGTAAATTTGTACTCAAAAGTATAAGAAATGGGATTGTTTTCAAAACATTCTTAAGATTATATGATTGATATTTTGTAAATCCAGATATCTATATGAAAATTTTATATTTTTGTTCCATTAAAAAAACACTGTTGAATTATAATCAATATTTTTCGATAAAATTCAAAGGATATATTAATTAAATTGGTCACTTTAAAAGTTAATTTTTTCGTGAATGGTCTTGATATCTTTTTTTATCACCTTATTGTTTTGTCTACCTATTATTTGTCGTTTTATTATTTTTAAATATTCGGGAAAATAAAATTTAATCATTTAAATGCTATTTAAATAAGACTTCTATCCTAATTGGTAACTAAAAACATTCGATGTTTTTAGTTACCGCTAATATGTGTTTTTTGAACTCTTGTTCAAATTAAATTTCTCGCCTCACATGAATAACAAACAAAAAATTTATACTTGAATTAAAGGATAACATATTAACATTGAGATCATTGGAACCTTCAAAAATAAAGAAAGTAAACTAAAAAATATAGATAATTTAGGAAATCTAAAAAATAAATTAATTTAATAACTTTAGATGCCCTTTAAGAAACTTACATTATTAAATTATAAAAGAAAAAACTATTATAAAAATATCAGAGGGGAAAAAAATTATTGTACTGCGTATAATCAAAACAAATTTTCGAAGGGGAAACATAATGTAGGTACAAGCAAATTATTTGCAACATGAATCAAGAGTATAATTAAACCCTATTTCCGAACAGATTGAGCTAAAATGATGTGCAATCAAGTGCAAGATGATGCCTTTGTACTGTTGATGCAAGGGTTCATCTTGCGTTTTGTTAAAAAGGCAACAAACAATTTTATGGTTTAACCCGTAAATAATAGTGTTGTATAATACTGCAGGATTAGCACAAATGAATTAACGGATATTAAATATAGTTATATTTTCAAAACTATTACATATTGTACAATAAGTAAGCATCAGTAATTAAAAAACAGCTTCTGGGGTCTACTATGAACTGTCCATAATCACTTAACCACCAAGATTTCTGGACCTTACGCCATGTGATTTTCTTATGAGGTTACTGTTTTATGGTTATGGGTTTATGGTTAAAAATGCTATTGAAGAAATACTGATTCCAAACGGCAACGCATACGAATCATAAAATGTCGCAAATTGCATAATGTGTATTGCTACAGATTAGATGTTAGTTGGATAACAGAAGAACCACGCGTTGAACTTTAGAAAATAAATAAGAAGAAACCCGGTATATTTTTCTTCTATTTCGTATATCTTTTATACATTGTAATGCGAAATAGCTCCGAAATTATAAATATTTCAAATCTGGTCATTTATTGTGATAATCCTGAACAATATTAATGCGATGACATTGAAATAATTTTTAGGCTTGAAATTTCTTTCATTTTGCTTTCGCTCAATAACTAACATTTCCAGCAAAAATTTAAAATAAAATGAAAAATAACAATTATTCTAATTTTCAGATAGCTGCTTCCCCATCAGCGTTCTATATACACCACAACGAAAATTTATATTATTTGGTTGTTTTTTTTAATCATCATTTTTTTTTTACTTCATTTCATCCTTCATCAGAAAAGTTTTCTTTGGAGTTTGAATCATTTATCTTTCCACTTTTCAGTTCACGATGATGAAGATTTGATGGTGATTCATCAGTTTTTGCATCTAATTTATTCACATTTTCTGTTTTGTCATTAGTTTCAAACACCTCATTTACATACGAAAACTTTTCTCTGTCCTCTTTTAAATTTGAAGCGTCTGTTCTGAAACCCGCTTGAACCTCGTCATTTTCCGTCTCTGTTTCTGACACAATAGCTGAGTTTTTTAATTTATCGTTCAAAGGATTAAGATTGTTTGGTGATTTTGGAATGGGCGCAATAACATTTCCAAGATCATTTGACGTAAAATTGTTGATGGCGTTAAGACGGCTTTCTGTTTCATTTGGAATTGAATTGTTTTTAGTGGATCCATTCAAGCCTTTAATGGAGTCAGATACCATTAAGGTGTTTTCGATGCCGGGCACCATTTCAATATTCGTAAATATTTGGGAAGATCTTTGCTGTTTAGAGTCATGTTCTTCCATTCCGCAAATCGTATCAAATCCTTTTGTTTTCAACCCAAAGGAAGCTCGTCGTTCTTTACTTACTGATCGTCTTCGCCTGGAAAAAGAAAAAAAAACTTAACTGTCAGTTTATAAACCAAAAGCAGTTTTTCTTTTCAAGAATTCATATATATNAAGATTTTTTATATATGTATTTCCATATATATATTTCCAATGCCCACCTGTAGAATGACCTGGGTCATACAGGCATCTGAACGGCAGATTTGTTGACCACTCTTTCTGGGGCACCATATTATGTGGGCCAACGTTGCTCCCACAGTAAGGACAGATAGTACAGAGAATGAAAGAACATCCATGCCTCGTCTGGGATTCGAACCCAGAACATTTCTCATGCAAGGCCAGCTCCCTGACCCCTGCACAGGCCGGTTGGCTTCAAGAATTTATATACATAGTTAAATTAACCCTTTCAGGTGTAGAGATACGAAAATAATTCCACTAAATTCTGGCAACATTATAAACCACGTAGTGTTTAATCAACTTCCTTAAATTTTGAAAAGTAAAAATATAGAGCAGATTTCAGGATTTGTATTCGATGACCACAATTCATATGGTTCTTCCTTCAATAAAAACTGGAGTTGAAGTTTTTCTGACCTGTAAGGAGCCTGTAGATTTCAATTAACTAATAGATTAATTAATTTTTGATTATCCTGATTAGATAATGAATTTATACGAGGTTAAAAGTTTGATATATAAACATAAATTTTTTATTTTATAAATTTTAATATCCAAATTAAGGATTCATTTACTGTAAAAGATTTCCGATCAAATCACGGTAAAAAGAATCGGCACTCTCGGGATGCAGGTACATTTTACCGTAAAATCAATTTTTACCGGAACATATAACGGAACAAAGATCTAATAATGATTATCATTATATCACTATATCACTTTAATCAAATAAATGTTACTGTAAAAGTCACGGTATATTATTTAACGGTAGAAATTGATGGTATAATATTTTACGGATGATGCATTCAAAGTGCCGGTACTTTATATCGCTATTTTATCCGGATTTTTTTACAGTGGGATTATGTAATAAACATTTGCGAGGTCACTAGGAAATTTTTATATTTTTTTTCCAATGCCCACCTGGAGAATGACCTTCGTCAACAGGCATTTGAAGGGTAAAACTGTTGGCCACTCTTTCAGGTAATTTGAATCAGAATTTTTTAAACTGTAAGGATTACTCACTGGCATTTAGAGTGTTTATTAATTCAAAAGTATTACAATAAAGTAAGACTTTGATAATCGCAATTTATTAGACTCAGTTAATGAAATACTTATTTCCAATTATCAGCAATTGAAGAATGCGCAAATACTCTAAAAAAGATTATATTAAAATATTCAAAATATCAATATATATTTTACAGATATAAATACACTGAGAAAGAATATATAGTCAAAACTACCAGAATATTGTAGAAGTTTCTGGCTCTATAGGAACACCAAAAATACGGTAATTTTTACCGAAAAAAGCGATTTGATAAAATTAACAATAAAATATTATTTTATAATCTCTGTGTTAAAATTCGGTAATTGATTGTAAAATTTGGTAGTTTTTTCCTGATACCTGGCATAAATACAATTTTTTCGGTTTCATTTACTTTTCAGATTTGTATTTGTTGTTAAATGTGTGGCAAAAATAACTATAATTTTGAAAACCAGAGCTTCCTCTGACCGTTACCATATGAGCGAAAAAATTACGAAATAACGAGTTTAAATACCGTATATTTTGCTTTCATTACAAAATTAAGCTGTTTTTTTTTATTTTAAAGAAATGTCTTTACCATAAAGTTTGGTAATTTTATCAGAATTTTTTTCTCCACGTAAAAGATATTCTATTTTATGTTTTACTATATTAAGACAACAAAAAAAACGTATGACATATTATTACGTATTAGTTCATAAGTTATATCTCTCTAAAATTGTTTACCATTATCTTTTGTTTCAAAGTAGCTTCTGTTTTGCTATATATTTCAACATTGGGTAAGTAAAAATAAAATCTATTGATGATATTTTATTTGAATGAAAAAATTCCTTAAAAAAAATATTTAGTTTTAATACCCTGAAATTAAAATTCTTTACGAAAAAAATTTTAAAAATCTTTTAAAAACGAAAATGGCCTTTCACCTGTTCCAGGAAAAGAATTTTTGAGATCTACCAAATTCCTCAGCTTCAAATATACTTTGCGGTAGATTTTCATTCAGAGTTTCTGGAAGGAGAGATGCTAGTAGACCAGAAAGAATGCAGCTCAACCCAATGATCACAAAAGGAATAGCTTTGCCATAAACACTCTGAAAAGTGAACATCAAGTCATATATAAGTTGGAAAAAATAAAAAAATATAATTAGATTCCAGACTTAAAATCACGTTCAAACTGTAAGTAGTTGCTTTAACATTCGGAAAGAGATAATGCTTCATGCGTGTATTTTATCTTTACAGTACAGAAAAATAGTAATTTGTGATGTTGCGAAGAAAATATTAAAAAAGATAGTTTTGATGAGCTCAATTAAATACTTAATCTGCTTTTGAAAGATTTGCAGAAGAAACATTTAACATCCAGTTTCCAAGAAATCGAATTTCGGGAAATGTTTGCTATTATTTTGAAGAAAAAAAATATGGCTACGATTTTGCAAAAGTTAGAAAATGTTTAATAAGTAAAATTATGATACTCTCGTGCCTAAAATTTTTGATTCAAATTAGTTCGTTTTAGTGTTCCACGAAGATCATCATCAAAACCTCCCTCAGCCAGCTAATGAGCAGTTGGACAATATTTATTAACCAATATTATGATTGTTTCCTGTGCTTGCAACTAGAGAAAACTAATTGCTAAAAATTCTAAGGACATAAGAAACAATTAAATGATACATTAACCTTTATAATTATCAATGGATAATTGAATCATGTTCAAAAATGATTTAGAAGAGAATTTGTAAAGAACTTAATTACTCACCAAGTAAACCAGGTAAGGGACAATAAGTGTTGCGACCATGGCTATAGTACTGCTCATTCCCATTCCCAAAGATCTGATAACAGTAGGATATAGTTCTGAACTTTGTTGATATGTAGCCATGAACGTTCCAGCAGCAAAAAATTTACCAATCATGGAACATACTACATCCATGTAAGGTAAATCTGAAAAAATGAAAAACAATAGATTTAAACCTTTTTCTATCGGAGATTGTGATACTGAGTGCCCCAAAAATAAAAGATTCATGCATGATCAAAAATACATTAAAAAATGTCGTTTTTCTTAAAATAATTCAATATGTGTTAGAATATAACATCTATGCCTCAACTTTCTTTCTTTATTTATTTATTTTCTGTGTCTTTAATCCAATTCGTAGAAATTCATTATCCCACTCTCGGCTTTGAAATATTTACATCTTACCGTTATGGCACCTTAATGTACTATAGAAAGAGAGTCTATAGGAGGAACAAAGCAACTGCTACTTTTTAAAAGAGCTTTGAACCATCTTCTACTCTAAAAACACTTAAATAATGTCACTTTAAGCATCCATCCACTTAGAAATTTAAAAACGAGGCAAATTAAATTAATGCTGTAAAGTTTGATGATACCAAAATAAGATTTTTCAGGTTCCTGTCTTACTCTCTTTCTCAAAATAAAATGTGAATCATTAAATTTTTTTTTACCGAAATCATTTATTTATTATTAAATAATTTCAATGACCGATTTATACCCATTTTAGAGACTATATAGTTTTTCAGTCTTTGTTAAATTTAACTGTTAAATATTATAAGAAATTAAACCTCACTCCAATAAAATATAGATTTACAAATTTACCTCTCCATTCAAGAGATTATTAAAAATTATTCAAATGTTTGTGTTACAAATATTCAATTTTTAAGACAATAACATTTTAAGTTGGAACAATTTAGATAAGAATTAGATATGATAAGAATTGCTTCGATTCCATAAATAAGTGGAAAAAAATTCAACATAACAAATAAATTATTTTACCAATTGATGGTAGCATGCATGCTACGCCACTCAGCAAAAATCCCACAACTGAACACCATCTTCGGCCAAATTTTTCCATGAAAACCCAACTGACCATGTACCCTGGCACTTCAACCAGTGACAGAAGAAAAAAGTTAATGAACTCGTTACCAGCAAGATTGGACACGTTGATTTGTAGTCCATAATATGCCATTATATTTGCCATCCTAAAATTAAAAGTCTCAAATATAAAGATCTTAAAACAACTTAAAAGACCTCAAAATATTAAGGAAAATACCTCTAATCAGGGCTCGAAAAACAGCCCATCCGTCCGTCCTCGACGGTCAAAAATTCTCCGTGGGCAACGAATTTCTCGAATACGACGTCAGCGCGGACGGCCATTTTCCCGTTAATGTTCGTGATACATTTTCAATTTTTGGTATCTTACAAGAGTCTTGTAAGTTACAAGGCAGCAAAATGACCCACAATACAGCAACATACTGCGCATATATTGATGTTTTCTCTGTCTGGGAATACTGCAGCTGTTAAAAGGGGCTTTGCAGCAATAAACTTAAACACAATACGTACTGGTCTTAAACAAGAAGCTTTAAAAGCAACTATGAACATCTACCTAAATGGAAAACCCCTTTCAGATTTCTGTTCAGAATCCTCTGTAAATCATTGGCTTGATTGTGGAACTGGCAAGCGTCATATTTTATTCATTTAAAAAACTCAGTACCTTCGGATAACTTGACATTCCAGATAACTTGATCCTTGTCATTTAAATTATTTCCTGAAAGAAATACTAGGTTACTATTAGTAACCTAGTATTTCTTTTACTACTGTATAATGTAATCCTAGTAACGACTAATTCATTGTGCAATTTATATAAATGTTTGTAATAAATAGGAGAAAATTATATTTTTATTTATTTAAAAGCGACGGGTTAGTTTCAACGGAGGACGGGTGCATTGTTGGACAAGCCGTCCTCGGGGACGGGTAAAATTTCTGAGTTTTTTCGAGCCCTGCCTCTAATGAATTAATTGATTGCTCATTAATACTATTAAATTGTGTAACGTTTTCTGAAGATATAATTGGAGCTTTGACATGGTTAGGAGCTTTTCGAATAAGTGTTTTAGAACATTTACACATTATTAACCTATAAGTATTTGGTTACCAGTGATGAAAAAGAACAATGTGATTTCTTCACATTCAATAAATGGACAATTGCGGCTTTACCCAAAGCCTAGTGAATCTTCATTCATCGTTCCGAAGATCTACGGATGGTCCATAATTATACGGACGGTCATTTTTTGTGCGAACCGAAAATTGTCCCTTTCTTGAAATCAGACAATTAAATCATTGGATCAGGGATTGAAATCAGATGGAAGATGATCTTTCGCACAATTAATGGCAATGTTTTGTTCCTGTTTCTTGCAGGATCCCCTGTAGCCCAAAGCATCCCTCGATATTGGTATTTCAGAACAAAATGTCAATCCCATGAAGCAGTCTTGTGCAGAAATCCTTAAGAGTTCAGTGTTTTCGCAATTCGCATTTGAATTCAGAAAACGAAATTCAAAATGTTTTCTAAAAACAAAAGGTGCGCCCTCTTTTACGAAAGAACAAAGAAAACTAAAAACGAGAAAAACTTAAAGAATTAAATTTGCAACTTTTACTTTCACGAAATTTGCTAATGCAAGCTTCATAAATCGTATTCTTTCCACAGTCGTGCTGATGCCTGCTGAACGACTGTATGAACGATGCCTGTTGAACGTTGATGCAAGTGTAGAATGTTAAAATGAATATAAAATTTAGTTCTTTTTTGAATATTTCAGTACCGAGTTTATGTTTATACGTGTTTAATAATTTGCATTATACAATTTTTTTATTCCTGGTATTTTTAAACCTTGCATATCCAGCTATAAGCTGCGATAAAATTGCTCGAACAGCAAGACAAGTTTTGCAGCGTGCCTTAAGTTATGATACTCAAACCATGTAGAGAAAATGCGGTAAAATCCCGATGCCCGTGATTTTATCTTAATGATCACGCAGTTAGGAAATATGCGCAATTCGTAAAATGCCTTTGGAAAAAAGTTTTTAGAAGAGCCTCAGAAATTTTATGCAGAATCTTAAGAATCCGACACTATTCCTAAGTGCTTTTAAATGACGAAACTAATTCCTATTGGATGAAAATATATGTCTGTAATTACAAAGAGTTCTTGTTTTCTTTGCTCATGGGATAATTGTATAAAAATGGTTGATTGTTTAATACCAGCATGTTGTGATGATTAGAAACTTTTTTCTGAGCTGCGGATATCGAAGGAGATCTAATGATGAGTTTTGAACGCCATCCACAGTTTTCTCTTTCTTCAATTTCTCTCCAATTGTCTGAAAATAAATACACCATTAATTGTAGAGTGAGTTAAAAAAAAAATAGTTTCTTTAAAATTCAATTTCTCTGGAACTATTTGACCGATTTCGTTCAAATTTTGTATTTTGCCACGTAATATTACATTCTTAAATGATGTAAGAAATTGCATACCTTACAATTCAAAATTTTTCCGATTATTTTTAAATAAAATGACAATAAATATGTATAAGTGTTTGTGTTAGATGTGTTTCACATGTTAACTTTTATTGGAAATTATTTTTAGTTGAAATAAAAAAATCACGTGTCTAATAGTTTTACATAAAGAACATATACTGATAATTATAACAAAAATCAAAAATGCTAAATATCCATACTTCCTGATTTACTTTTTTTTTCTTCCAGACGTGGACACGTACCTAGGTTTGCAAAACCCTTAACCGTATAGTCCACGTCTGGCCACAGGTCTAGCTCGCATAATACATAGGTGCATCACATTAGTTAAAAATAAAATTAAAAAAAAAAGATTAAAGAAAGTGTAAATGAAAAACAAAATTTTGAAGAAAGTTACAATAGATGACAGTAATTAAAAACTTAATGGATAAGTAACATTGAAAGGTGAAGAGATCAGAGTTGCTACATGCATGGTATGAAGCGCTCTCTAAGAGGATGTAAAATAGGAATTTTGAAATACTTGGAAAAAAAAGGTAATTGAATCTCGTAGAAGAAAAGAAAAGGAGTCTTTAGAGTTTCTCATTAAGGGGATCAATTCAACTAGAGTTTGTGAATAAGAGAGTTTTGAGCATTTCTCAAGGAGAATTGTGAGTTCAACTGAAAGTTTGTGAATTTAAGAAGAATAAATTAAAGTTTTGAAGTAGTCACTGACTATAAGAATGTAGGAGTCACTGAAACTGCCGGGGTGGAGGCGTAGAATTTTGAATCGATACAGATCTCTGTGCGCAAAAATCGCACAGGAGGATAAGTTAATGTGGATTAAAATTTGATGGAAGTGCGGAGAGTGCTGTCTTGTAGCTTGGGCAATCTGCAGCATAGGCAGGGTGATGGGGATTGTGCGAAGTACCAAAGTACGTATTAGAGTGCCAGCAGTTGATGCAGTGATGGGTGTTTGAATTGCATTCGCTGAAGTGATGTCGGCTACCACAGGTCACACATGTTGCGAATTCCTGTTGACATTGATGAGTCTGGTGGTCAAGACCTTGACACCATGAACATCTCCAGAGGATTAACTTTTTCTTAACTATGCACTTATTCAGTCCTATGAAGATGAATCTAGCCGAAAGGAGATTAGTTGCGAGTCTATGGGAGACGTTGACTATGATGTGGTGTTTGTCTGTAGCTCTTTTATGAGGTATGGAAAGTTTAAAAAAAACAGGCTCTCAATATGTTACCTCCAATGAGAATAATTTTTTTACTTAGTTTTTGACTACTATTAAAATAAAGGCCAGTGATTGTGAAACACTCAGAATAGACCTTGTAGTATATAACATTCTTTTTAAGGCTCTGATATTAAAAAATGCTTCTGTACCTTGAGTTTTTGTGAGAGTACACTTTCATCCTGTTGTTTTCCATTCTTTTTAGCAATTTGCATCATGATGTCTGTGGCCTCTTCGTATCTTTCTTGAGAAACAAGCCAACGGGGAGATTCAGGGAGAAATCTAAAATAAAAAGTAATTAATTTTTAATAAAAACATCGCAAACAAAACATTATAATAGGTATATACATCATGGACTTTTCTAGAATTATTCTGATGAACCACGATAAAAAGCTCGTCGTCATTATCTCACAATATCTTTTCCCTAAACCTTGCAACCATAAGTTAGTATTCATACTTTTTACGATTTTACAATTCGCAGCTCTAGTTATCAAAGAGTTCTTTTTTAAATAATATTTTGTTCATTATCATGTGATTGTTAAAATTAAGCATCTGAAAATATTGTTTTCTGCACTGTGAAACATTGCAGATTACATGAAATAGTATTCTTAACTTAAAAATGGGGAAAATATATGCTTACAGAAACCCGCTGATAGTTAGGACTTTTAATAAGTTAGACAAATTTCGATTGTGTAGATTTCAATATTTCGTAAACATTTTTATGTATCTAATAATGGTAATAGGTGTAGTTTGTATAAAAAATTTTAAGTACATAATTTTCATTGTGGAGCTAGTTTCAGAACATAATGTTGCAGGTTTAAAACAACATTAAGTTGCATAATGCATGTAATTTTTGACCTTAGAAAAACCTTTTTGTAATTCTTTTTTTTTTAAGTTTGTTAAAAAGAAGTTTTCTGTAATTCGTTTGAAAGATTACAATGTTAGTCAACCACTGTTTCGCACAGGGCTGATATTCCACTATAGTTAAAAAATTAGCAGTAGAATTTTCTAGAAATATAGTAATATGCAAAATATGGAAAAATTTTCTAACATTAAACGTCGAATTTCTTGCAAAATCAGTTTAAAAAAATTTATTCGCCTCTGTATAGAACGTTGCTTTTTCAAACTTTGAGTATCATTTTACTCAAGAAAAATGCTTCATATTCTTCTATTAGTAAACTTCTTTAATATTTACCTTATTTATATTTAAAAAATTAACAGTTTGAACAGTATAATTTTAATTTTTACTGCACGTTTGTACAAAACTGAAGCATAGATGTCAATTATACTTACTTCCAATACAATCCATAAATGAGAGTTACCGATGATGTCACTAAACCCAAGATAACCCAACTTCTGGAATAATAAGCTAGAAGAGGCAAGAAACAGAGACCAACAGTCCACGAGCAATTTACCAGTCCGTTCATTCTTGTTCTCATTTCTGGAGATACGAGTTCCAAAACTGTTGAAAAATCAGAAATAATAAGCATTCCTTGCCTTATAAAATGAAAGATGTCCCAATATTACATTTTAACTCTTACCAAGTCCAAAACTGACTGATGAATTTTTAAAATCAATTAAAATAAGGGAACGTATTAAAAACGTATACTTTATGGCTTTATGCTTGAAAAAAACTGGGTAATTTCATCCCACCATATTGCACACTTAATTCACTTCCTGCCACTAGGTGGTGCCACAGGTATTCGAGAAACTATAAAATTTTGTTTGAAAGCATAAATTTCAGTCGTATTAAAAAATCGAGGATTATTCAATAAGTAATTGATTTACAGCCGACCGGCCTGTGTAGGGGGCAGGGAACTGTCCTTGCATCAGAAAGGTCTTGGGTTCGAATGCCGGGCAAGGCATGGATGTTTCTCTCTCTCTCTCTCTCTCTCTGTGTTCTATGTCCTTTCTCCTTTGTGTGTGAATGTGACCCGCCCTATAAACCGGTTGTGGTTGTGTGAATGGTGTGGTGGAAGTCGAATTCCTGGCCATAGATGGCGCCACTGAAAAGCAGGAACAATCGCACCTCCACTGCCTAAACAGGCATACGACAAAAAAACAATAGTAATAATAATAATTGATTTACATCATTGCACAAAATAGCTCAAGTATGAAATGAAATTTCAGAGTACTTTATGAGGGAATAATCATAATGGTAAACTTGATTGGGTAAAGTAATCATAATTATTTTATAAAATTAAAAAAAATTAAAAGGAAATTATTCTTGTCCATTAATATTATTTGAGAATGTTAATTAATTTAATTAATTACCAAAATTAATTTTACTTTATTTCAAATTTTAAGCTTCAATAGAAGTTTTATTTATAAACTTAATCAAATATTAAGGGTACAATTTCTATGTCAACAATTTGAGATAAGACATGCATTTGATTTCATACAAAATAAATAATTCAGTGGCAAATTTTTTAAATATTGATTATATGACTTTATTGTATTATGTATACAGGGTTACAAAATATTTTTGTAACCCTGGAAAACAAATTTCTGAAATTAAAAAAAAAAGTGTGAGGTTCTTTAAAAAAAGTTTTTTAAGAAAATTAAGCATCGGTATATATACATACAAAAGTATTTTCACGAAAGTTTTTAATTTATTAAATGGAAAAAAAGACAGTATCAAAATAGTATTAAACTTGCATTTTCAGTGCGATAAATGTAAGTTTATATTTATTATTTTTTCTAGAATTATGTATAATATGTATTTGCCTACATATTTTTTTGGAAATTTCATTTTCCTTACATTTTTTTTAATGGATGTTATTGCTTATAAAATTAGAAGATAACACAATCCCTAGATAAATAAAGTAAAATTGGCTGATCATGCGTAATTTACTAAAAGCTAATTTAAAATGACATATAGCTTCGTATCAACTCTCATTTACTACTAAAGATTCTTATCTAAAGAGTTGTATTTCTTATGTTAAGATAGTAATAAGATTACTCAAATCATGGAGTGCATATTTTTCATTTGAGCATAAACTTTAAAATGATGAGATGCTTAATCTTTATCATTGTTTATCAACTGAAGAAGTAATTATACTAATCATTATAACTACTTTTTCATCTCATAAGCATTTTCACTCAATAACTTTACTCACTGTTTACTGTTTTTATCTAAATAAATTGGAATTATTTTGTTTTGTCTCATAATAAACTAAGATGGATAAAAATATATCTTTAGACGCGAAACTCCAAATCTTTGGCTACGATAGTAGTCAGTTAAGTGAATATATATATATATATATATATATACTTTCCAACTTTTACGTATTTGGCTTAAAATTTTATTTCTATGTTTAAAGTGGTAGTGAAATNAAGGTGTATATCAAAAACCCCATATCCACCTGTATATTGATGGAGATTCATTGACGAAGCGATCAATGATAAAATTTAGCCACATTATTGTAAAATGGTCATGAAAAGTTTTTGCAAAAGAGTGTGCATGTGCCAGCAAAGCCAGCTGTAGATATCATCTGCCCGATGTGCTATTTTATACATAGCCCTATCCTATATTGTCCCATAATGTCCACTTACCAATAATGTAAGGTAATTGAAAAACAGATGGCATGAGGCTCCCGTTGATTGTTTTGATGACAATAAATGCTATGAAGTTATCCATGACGACTGAAGTTATTGCAGTGACAGCAGTGACAAAAATGGTGATGAAGAACGTTATTTTTCGTCCGATTCTGAAAGAAAAAAAAGGAATTGCAAAGTTTTAAATATTTATGTTGCGATATTTTATCTCGGTGAGAAAATTACTAACATACATCAACACATCCACATTAACTTAACCACACTTAACGTATCCACTGTCCTTTTTTAGTGACAGTTCTCAAAATCCAATATAAACTTGCTGGAAAATAATTTTTCAATACAAAATATTTCCAAGTATTTTAATTATATTAACTGGAACATGTATCGCGCATTTGCTTTTTCTTTCCGCATTCTGCCTTTATACGCTTATAATCTTGCTGTACAATTATTTGTACGGATTAAGTATTTTAAATCCAAAGTCGTTAAACTCGAGATCAAAAGTTTCTTTTTAGATATACCATGCTTTTTTATTATTATTGTTGTTATTATGTCCTGAATAAAAATGTTAAAATGTCAGAATCAAAATTTGAAATAAATCGGTCAAATAGCTCCAAAGAATAAATATTTTTAAAAAGAACGATTTTTTAAGGTTTTATTCTCGAATATTATCCAATCCACGGTATCGGGTGCTATTCTATCTTTCCTAACTCATATTTTAAGTGGGTGATTGTGTTTTATTTATTTCATATTTAGCGACGTTACTTTTTTAGTAGATGCAAATCTAATCGTAGGTCAAAAGTTATTAATGGTATTTGAAATGATCTTCTTATTGTTATTTCCTAATATAATCATAGTTAAACTAAGAGTTTCAAAATGCCAAAATTTAAATTTGAGATAAATCAGTCGAATAGCGCCTGAGTAAACGATTCCTGCCATGATTATGGCGGGTAATTGATGATCATGCGATGATTTTGGCATTACGGCATTATGATGATGATTTCGGCGTCATGTGTTTCATACGACCAATATTAATCCAGTTGAAAGTTTATTCAATAATGATTATAAAAAAAGCTCAATACATGCTCTGAATATTAAAAGTATTTCTTTTAATTTGCAGAATTTTATTTACTTCATAAAAATGTTATTGCAAATTAAAAATTGGAATCATGAGTAGAAACTTGAAATAATTGAAAGCTTTAAATGCCAAAAGTTTTCAGGAGAATAGAGTGAAAAATCTAGTGACATCTAATGTTCTACCATTCGATTCTTAACACTCAGTTTAAACGTCTTCACGTCTTACGTATAAGATCGCGAAAATTTTTAAGGTAGATAAATAAATTAGAGAAAAAGTACCATACTTATCTGACAGCATCCCGTAGATGGGAGTTCCTAAGATACTTCCAACATTGAACAGAGTCAAAACGAGACTGTTATAATGACCGTCGTCACACACCATATTCCACTTAAAAAAATGAAAATAAATAAAATAATCAAAAACCAGTTTATTTGCCTAGTGAGACTAGAATGCATTTGTTTATTAGCAGATACCGTTGAGTTTATCCTTTTCCATTTAAATGCTTGTTTGCAAACACTGAAGCGCTTAGTATTTTATTTTCAACAAAGGTTTTAAAAATATAACTTAAGGGTAGCCATTACGAAACACTTTGTTTACAGTTTGAAATTATATGCTAAAACTTTCTATGCCTCAATTCTCACTTTCAAGGGATTTTTATCCATGTTTTTACTTATTTATATACATAGTTACTCAAATTGTTTTTAATTCAATATAATCAATAAAGTAAACTCTAAAGATTGATCAGTCTCGCAAATTCCAGCAGGAATTTATTTTTTTTTTAGTGAGGAAACAAAAAACTCTGAAGTGACTCAGCTGCCGAAACTTTCGTTTTCATGATCGGCATTTTGCGCATTACTTCTGAATTTCTTATTTTCCGTTTTAACAAAATGCCCATTATTTAGAAATAATGGGCATTTTGTAAAGAGACGGAAAATATTTGATGCAAGCAAAAGATAAATTAAGAGAGGAAAGAAATCAACAGTTAAATCTTGTTAACTAAGCATTTGTCTCCTTTATCAATGGTTTATTTTTACAGAGTACAAAATAAATAAAGATGCATGTTCTCCGCTACCCCATAAATTTATCTAAATAGTTGGTGTGGAGACCCTTTAATTTAAAAAGCTATGTTTCAAAATAGTAAAATTAATCGTATCAAGACATTTTGTTTTCATTGAATTACATTTTATCAACATTTTGCTAGGGTGATTAGGGAGGAAAAGACCATAGTTAAAAATTTCTAAAAATGCAAAAAACATTCGAAACCAATGAGCTTGTTACAACTGCATTGCACTTTTTTTTCTACGTTAATTACAGTGTTATTGAATTAAAATTCTATTTGAATTGTAGCAAAGCAATTTATGTTTCAAATAAACTGAAATATTTCTGTAAATCTTTAAGGTGGGGAAGATGGGTGCACCATGGGAAAGAAGAGGGCGGTGTTTGGGGAAATGGGCAACCACATTTGCACTCTCACAAATCACAAAAAAGTATTTATGACCACGTTTCTCACCATACGATTTAAGAAACCAATAAATTACTAAGCTATGGCTCTCAATCCACCCCCTTATGTTGTCTTTGAATAGCAGTAGACTTTTCAACATATTTCCTTCCTCAAATGTTAAATAACAGTTCATTTTCTTCCCTGATATACTAACGGTAAGCCTTATTTTTTAAATTTAGGAGCACAAAGTATGTATACAACAGCTGTCTATCTATGCCTAGAGCTCGAGCCCTTTAAGAGAGTTTCTTCCTTTTCTAGAACAAGTTTGGTGGCAAAAAATAAGTGCATAGTTGTAATTAGTAAATGTTATTTTTCATTTGTTGAGCGTATGACGAATTGTAAAGTTAATTAAAAACAAAATGCATTTCATGTTCACATATTCAATTTTTTATCATTATTCTACCAACCCAAAACATTTTTATAAATAATTTAAGATCTTTTTTAAAAACACCAAAGACTACTTTTGATCCGAAAACTTTATTTTTATAGTCTTGCATTGTAATCTTGCTGTAGTACGTATCACAGAATTTGAAAAGCTTTTTTTTTTTGGTAAAACTTTTATCCTAGCTGCTGCGATCTCACTTTCTCACATACGGTGTGTTACAATGTATTGCGTCCGAAATAGCAATCTGCAAGCATAATGATTGCAGAATAGCATGTAAAGTTAGACTTTGATCCTTATCTAGCATATGCCCACATAACATTGCCACATAACATTACATCCACATCAGAAAAGCATTTTTGGTTTGACATTTACTGCTTTGTCTCAACTATAACTCATCTTTTTTCAACTATTTTCATTGAATTACATTTCATATTTTGAATTACATTTCATATTTTGAATTACATTTCACATTACATTTCATACTTTCATTGAATATTAAACAACCTCTCACAAAACATATATAAATGGAACACCCGATTAAATTAATGTATCTACTTTGCGGGACATCGTCTGCGTCTTGCTCTAAATAGCGATTTTTTTATAATTTAGAAAATTAATTAGCATATCATTTCGGGTCAAGTTTCGAAACAGAAAAGCAGTATTTCACTTTTTTTCCCTCACATTTTCTCACTGAAGTAATAGAAAACCGGTGTGTCTCAAATCAAAATAGAAAAAGAAACACTTTCGATATTATTCCTAATCGTTTGTAAAAGAAGCGCATTACATAACGATTACAATAACAGCTATTTTGCCATTTATCTTCTTATTAGAAATTCAGTTTTGTCCTCATTCAATCCGTAGGGAAATTGAAGAGAAAGGTTAAAAGCCGATAACCTATATTGTCCTATCGGTGGAAAGGTGAGCTTGACATATATAGTGACCTGATGCCCTTGCAATTTGCATCAAGGAATCCTGCAAACAAGATGACCACCCTTTTATTTTTCAAATGGAATGAGAAAGTTACTCTCGTTTTCGTTTACCGCAGTGGGTCAGTCACGTAGAAATCCAACTTGACCTTTGCCAAAACAATGAAATAGGGTTGTTTGTTTACATATTCAGAAGCTCGTGTGTGAGCGTTTTGTTGATTTCGGGTTGTTTTCGAGTTGTTTTTGCTACTTTTTCTATCTTTTTCTCATTAAATAATTTGTGAGATATTCATGAAAATTTTTAATTGAATTTCTAATAATTGTAGCCAAAATTATACCTTTATTATTAAAATATTGTTTAACTCTAGAAACTAAATTGAAGAGTTCACTTTAACTATAAAGGATTTCATTTCCTCGTTGATGATCTGCGGAGAAATGTATAATTGCTGTGACTAACATGTAACATGTTTCATTTCCGTTTTGCTGATTTTGAGTAGGTTTTGAATATCGTAAATTTTTATTTTGCTACATTTTTTCTTTTTTTTTTCATTAAAAAATTGGTGAAGTATTCGTGAATACATAAACATTCTAAGAATTATGACCAAAAATGAGCTTTTGTGATTTAATTAAACTACTGATTAACTATAATAACTAAATTTAAAAGTTCTCTTTAGCCAATAAAGGGATTATACTTCCTCTTTGTTGACTTAAGGAAAAATGGAGAAATGTATGAATGCAGTGACTTCAACAAAAAACTAATTAATATCTTAGAATAGTTTTCGTTTCATTTTCGCTTTGCTGGTTTCGAGTAACGTAAATTTATATTTTGCTATTTTTTATTTTTGATTTATGAAATAATTGCTGAAGTATTCGTGATTATTTATAACTAAACGTTCTAAGGGTTGTTACAAAAACTGAGCTTTTGTGATTTAACTAACCTATTGATTAACTCAAAAAACTAAATTTAAAAAATCTCTTTAGAACAAAAGGAATTTTACTTCCTCTTCGTTGACCTACGGAGGAATATCTGAACGTAAGGACTTAATTAACATAGAACTGATTAATGCCTTAGAATAATTTTCGTTTACTGATTTCGAGTAGTTTTCGAGGTTTTAAAGATATTGTTCGGAAAAGTTCTGAAATTGAATTCTGAAACTTCGGAAAAGTTCTGAACTGAACTGACAACTGAATCGCCTTTTCAGTTGTTTGATTCAAAAGCTCGTCCGGGGGCCAGTAGTCCTAATTTAAAAAATCTGACATTGTTGGCTTGATTAACAGTATGCTTTTAAATTCTTTTTATGTATTTTAAACGAATTGGAATATTTTTAGATATAATCTTAGACAACACAAAAATATTATCACATATATTCTCTTTGCATTTCATTTTTTCATTAAAACAAAGAATAAGTACAAAATTCATTGCTCATTATTGATAACCTCAAATATCATGTTTTAAAAAATTAGCATGTATTTCCAAGTTTACTGCGTATTTTAATATTTTTCGTGTGTATCAAACAAATAAGTGCCATTTAATTATTTTCTTTTTATGCATTATCAAGCATATTATCTTTGCATATTAATTTTTTTTATGAAAAAATAGAAAAATGCTTAAATTCAATATTTAAAATCACGATAAATGTTCTCAAAGTCGAGAATAGTAACACTTTGACGTAGCAAAGCTAGCTGAGGGTTTTATAGCCTATTTTTCTAATTAAGAAAAATTAAGCAAATATTATGTTAAGACAAAGAGTTTTTAATTAAAAAAATTCATAGAAATATTTAAATAATACCTACGCAAAAGTTGGATTCATTTATTTTAGTTATTGAACATTAATTTTGAAAGAATTTAATAGTCTTATAAATAAATGCCAAGCGGCTTTAAAACTTATAAGAGCAAATAAATATAAAATCGAATTTGATATTATTGATGTTAAATAACATTATGAAAGAAGTTCTGGGAAATTAACAATGAGTTTTTAAATCGCAATAGATTTAATGTCAGCCTTCATGAGTTGGCCGGAAGTTTTCTCTATGAAACAGCTGAAAGTTAAAAAGTGTAAAGTATAGAAGTTTTAAAAAAAAATTTAAAAATTACTATATTATGTAATTTTGTTCTCAAGTAAATTTTCTTTAAAAAAAAAAGCTTGTTCGTCCATACATTTTATCAAGAGATTCTCTCGCAGAACTTAAATGTCTTACAACCTCTATGTTCCAATGAATAGTGATGCTGACCAATATTTATATAAAACATTACATAAATATTCAAATATTATGTATAATGTTTGATTTTTGTGAATCACAAATTACCATATAAGCATTATCATCAAAAATCCAAATTCATCTGTGACTTCAACAAAGTCAGGCATAAATTATTATCATGAACATTCCTCTTTAATCTGACTCACCTATACCTAATTTTGCAAGTATTAGGTTTTCACAAATTATACATAAAAACATTATATTATTTAAATTTAAGTTGAATTTTATAAACTGATACTAAAAAAAGGAATAAGTTTATTCTGTAATCAAGTAAGAGAACTTTTTTCTCTTTGGGCTTTGCTGTGTTTTCTCAATTCTGTTTTCAATTTTTATTAGAAACAAGTTTAAAGATGTTTTAAATAGGAATTTTAACAATTTTGCCCTTTTTTGATACATTTTCAAAAATAAAATGAAAACTTAAATGAAAATATTCTGCGGATGCTGTCTATAATCTGCAGCACCTGCTGTCATGTAGCAGGGTTTTTGCTGCGGGGTATATACAGGATTATTCATAAAATATATTAATGTATAGCCATGTGAATTATACAATATTTAATAAAATAATAATCTTTATAGATAATAAAAAATTTTAAATATAATAATAATTAAAAATAATAATCTTTATTTTTCAAAGTATTTGTAATTTTGGATCATAATATTATAAAAGCAGCTTTTAATCAACAAAGCGCATAAAACTTAATTTCTTACAATATATTTCTTTTAATTAAATTTTAAATATAATAAGCTATTACTTTGATACTGTAATAAATCAGTTTTAATAAAAGAGTTCTAAGATCTTGTACTATTTTTTAAACTCATATAATTATTTGCAGATATATAATTTAAACAGAGAATGAGAAAACTTGTGATATCTCTAATTAGTGAGCACGAACTCATTTTTAATCTAGAAAAAGTTTGGATTTGAAAGTACACCGGGTGGTTAGAAAATCTTGCCTTAACATCAAAGTCTACTTTTTCCCAGTGACTTTGGGTAAAATAGTTAATACGAGTATTTACAATTAAAATCGTAACTAATCGTCAATATAAATACGAATTAAAGCAATGTACATTTTGCTATCGGATAGAAAATTTTCTTGATGCATAATTTTTTCTTTTTTAGTGAGCAATTAAAGTTAACTATGCACTTACCTAAGCGTATATACTTTTTTTTAAACCGTTGTTAAACAGCCCACCCAATTTTGAGTTTACGACTATTAGAGTTCAACTCCTTATTCTAGTAATTTTGAACCCACTCCAGAAAACAAGGGTGCTCCTGAATCAAGCATTGGAAGAAATTTGCCTTCGTGGAGGATTTTTTTTCATAGAACTAACCCTCATTTGAGTTACAGGGAGAGGGAAACTACGAAAACCACCCACGGTTAGCATGACTGTGAGGAGACTCTAACCAATGAGCCGGCTATCACTGAGGATATTTTACGTTAGCACTGTAATCAGTGCGAGCCGGGTGCGGAATTCGTATCGACAAGCCATCGTTACGATTCGAAACCGGGTCACTTCATTTGAAAGCGAACTCTCTTTTCCTTGAGCCACAGAGGCTCCGCTTACATATAGTGGAATTTATCAATATTAGTACTCTCAAATATTAGCATGCCATGGTATTTAGTGAAGTAAAACGTAGGTGTACTTACCTTTGTCGAGGCTGTGGTATCCCAGTAAGTGTTATCATATTGCCAGCCATGATTGCAAGGCCTAGTTGTAGTATTTTCTGGAATAATATAACTTCCATTACTCAAAAAGTCCGTGAAGTTGATATTGTACATATGGCATTTATCTCCGGGAGGACTAATGAGAGATCTTTGATCAGAAATGCTTAAATTAGATGAGACAAGTTCTGGCACATTACACCAATGATCAGGTACGGAGACCATGAAAAGAATATTCATAGTAAACCATGGTAAAAGAGATGCAGCGGGTATTAAGAAGTATTTTATGAGGCCTTGTTGATATTTTCCGTAGTCACCCACGTCAAGTAAAATGTCCTCAAAATCCATCTTGGATTGTCTCTGATGACTGTTTGGAAATATTAAAAGTCACTTATTCGGTATAGTTGTTGCATCTGTATGATCAATTCCAACTGTTAATTGGTAGCATCTTGTCACCTCTGGAAAAAAAATATTTTTAAGTATCAATTTAACAAGCTCCAGTTTGCTTTATTTAGATTATTAAAAGTTATAGTCGAGTCTTCTGCCACTGAATAGTTCTTCCCAACAAAATCAATCTCAAAAGTTCTGTTAGGATTTGATCAATGGTGGATAAATTGCTTAGCAGCAGAAGGACTGAAGGTCCACGGTGGTGTGACCTTCTAAACTGTGGTATCGGTATCGGAATATCAGAAGTGGTTTCAAAAAAATCGAGCTCTATTGTGAGAAGATACATAGATATTACAAAATTTCATGTGGAAGCGCAAAAAAAACTGGGTATTATCTCAGCCAATCATCGTCCTAGTTTATTTTTTTCTTGTCTCTCTATCAAAATAAAGAAAATTGTGTTGAAAGAAAAGAGTGGGAGAAGAGTACATTTTAACACTCAACATGAAATCTGAGGACGAAAAAAATGGTGAATATGGTATTGATAATAAGGATAATGGAAAGTAAATTATTCACACGGAATCAAGGCAAAAAGGGAAAAATATTTCCTCTTATTTATTCAGTGGTTAGGTATCCTCACGCGTATTGAAAAGTGAAAAAATATTTTATTTTCATTCCTTTTGTCTTGTATGGATTCTTTTTTGTTCAAAAATGATATTATGATATGCATACAAAAGGAATGCATAATTGGCGTGAAAAATAAAATTTAGTCATAAATTGTCTTGTTTGTTTGATCTCATATGACCATCAAAAATCATAAAGGAAGGAATTTGTTTTCAAACTTTTTCTTCTCTCTGTGTTATTTATTCATGTGTAACTATAAAGGAAAATTCTTTTACTATTTTATAGTAGTAGTTATTAGGGTAAAAATAGAACCCAATAACACCATTTTTGTTCAAAATATTCCACAATGGAATAAAGAAAAATTTACAAATGCACCCTGAATCAGAGCTATGGTGTCAAAGCTTGAAATCATGACTCCGACTCCGGAATTTTCTGTGAATCCGATTCTGACTTACACTCCAGTTAAAGGTTTCTTTTTCACGCTATTAAAATATTAATATTTTTACTAAATAATAAATATTAATTTCAGATTGTAAATTTCCATTTTTTTCTAAATCAGAATTATTTTAATTTTATCTAAAATTATAAACATTATTTTAACAAAATTTATTTTTATGATGTGGTTACTAATTTTACAAATAAATTGACATAATAAGAAAATATTTGAACATTGTGATAAATTAAAATTGTCATAATATTCTTGTAAGCAAAATTTTTGTTTAGATAATCCTAAATATTTTGTCTGAACTATTGGATCCAACTTTTTATTCAATTTATAATATGCACTATAACATTTTACAACATTTTTATTAATATTCTACAATATTCTTTTGTAATTTTCTGTAATATTTTTGATAAAATTCTATAATCTATATATATATATACATATATTTTTCTTATGTGGCACTATAAACTCGGATATATCTCTATCTATTGTCAACACTGTAGTTATTGTTCATTTTGTTAGGTTCTCTTAAATATTATTTAAGTAGTGTTAAAAAAAATTAGTAATATTAAGTACTTATGAAGATTCATTTTGTTAGGTTGTCTTAAATAATATTTTAAGCATTGTTGAATAGTTAGTTGCATGCTAATTATTTATTTAGATTAATTTTGTATTTATATAGAAATAAAAACTTTATAAAGTAATTATTTAGATTTATTTTTNTTGTAATTTTCTGTAATATTTTTGATACAATTCTATAATCTATATATATATATATACATATATTTTTCTTATGTGGCACTATAAACTCGGATATATCTCTATATATTGTCAACACTGTAGTTATTGTTCATTTTGTTAGGTTCTCTTAAATATTATTTAAGTAGTGTTAAAGAAATTTTTTTAATATTAAGTACTTATAAAGATTCATTTTGTTAGGTTGTCTTAAGTAATAATTTAAGTATTGTTGAATATTTATTGCATATTTAGATTAATATTGTATGCATATAGAAATAAAAACCTTGCTATGGAGTAATTATTTAGATTTATTTTTGATTCTTACTAAAATGGCTGTTTTTTTAATTTTTTAAACATTAACGATGCTATCTATGGTAAAGCACTATGTCATATAAATTATTTTTGACTGAGCCTGCCATTTTCCAGAAATAACTTACATATATTATTATACGATACTCATGTTACGGGTCAAGGTAGAGGCGCGTGAGGAAGTAGTACAGCATGAAAGTTTTTAAATCATTACTAAAATTCAAAGCATTAAAAAATTTAAAACTTTTGCGGACTTCTCTTGAAAATAGTTGAAATTGAAATTAAACTTCTTCTTCGTAAGCAAAGCCATGGGCAACAAATCGAACGCGAAGAAAATTGGTTAATATATATTGTTCAAAACTAATTAAGATGTAAAGATCGGAGGAAGGATTAAAGAAATGCAGTATTTTAATACAGTTGTGCAGTGGCTTGGTTACATCAGCTTGGTTACTATTAAAGTTTATATGTTGGACAGTATAATTTTGAAAGGTGAACAAGCTAGTAGCCAAAGGGGGCTAGTATTCTATAATATTCTATAAAAAACTTCTTTTCCTCATGTTCTTATCTACCATTTCAATGTATTTTTCATAAAATTTTAAAAGATATCTTTGACAAATACTAAGTTTAAAACAATTTTTCATATTAATACAGATTTTAAATGTTACTTTTGGTTTGTATCTCTGTCAACAACAACAACAGAAAATTACTGACTTAAGAAAAATTATAATTGATGGCGTTTCAATAAGAAACATAAAATAAATAAGCTTTGAGTTATGAAAAATATTGAAAAAGAAAGAAATCGTCACCTTTTTTAATTGTATTTTATTTCTTTTAATTTACTTTTTTCAAATTGATATTGTGAAAGCTATCAATTTTCTCTAATTTTAATAGATAGTAAATCATTTGGATTTATTATCTATTATAATCTTGACCCTTAAAATATGAGTTCCGAATAAATTAATATTCACTTTTATAAACATAGTTTGAAAAGTTCTAAGCAATTAAGTTCGCTCTTGTGAACTCCAATATAAGTATATCTCAAGCGTTTTTCAGATACCTTATTTAATTTAATATTTTTGTAGTGTACAAAATTTAGAATGAAACACCATTTCAGTTCTTTCTTAAGCACAAAAAATAACATTAATGAAGTTTTCTGATTTGTATATCCTCAATCCATTTATTTTACCCCATATTACTAACCCATTTATATCCCATTAACAACTTTTTATCTAATAAACAAATTTATACTTACTAAATTTAAAATCATAAATGTTATGTACGCTCTAAAAATCCTAATTAGTTATAATTTAAGAAATGAAATTATTCGAAAAAAGGTTCTTTTTCTGAATAACATATTTCCTTATCGACAGAAGTAAATTTTTAATCCTGAGGATTGTATCTATATATATGTTATAAAGTTTAAAAATATTAAAAAAATAATTGGCTAGCAAAAGCATGAATAAAAATAAAAATATTAAAAAATAACTGGCTAGCAAAAGCATAAATGAAATGAACAAAACGCATAAAGAGATAAACAATAAAATAAAAGCAGACGATAAAGTTAGAAGACCTTTTTAGAACAACAGAGAGTTGTTGTTGTGGAATTTGAGTTTTCATATATCCTGTTACGGGCACTTTATCTAGTTTGTTTTATAATATTTTATCTATCCTGTTGCTGGTGAGTTTTCATATATCCCGTTAGGGGCACTTTTTCTAGTTTGTGTTATAATATTTTATCTACCCCGTTGCTGGTGAGTTTTCATATATCCCGTTACGGGCACTTTTTCTAGTTTGTTTTATAATAATTTATCTATTCCGTTACGGGTGAGTTTTCATATATCCCGTTACGGGCGCTTTTTTTAGTTTGTTTTATAATATTTTATCTATTCCGTTACGAGTGAGTTTTCATATATCCCGTTACGGGCACTTTTTCTAGTTTGTTTTATAATATCTTATCTATCCCGTTACGGTTACTGTATTTGTTGTGGTGTGAAATAAATGTCCTTTAATAAAATAAAAGAACTGTTTCTTAATATAGATTGATATGTTACAGTGTTGTTTTTATATATATAACATTTTATCTTTCATAACTGGAATTGAAGGTTTACGCTTACATTTTAGTTCTAATAATTTTTACCGTTTGTTCTTCTCTACGTTTACATTTTGTCTTGCGTATTTATCCCTAGAACTGAAAGCGTATCTATCGTGTTCCTGGAACTACTAAATAACAACATCTATTGAAGAAAAATATAAAATTTTAACGTAACTTTTTTCCACTTAGACATGCATTTTCAGCGTACCATAAATATAATTTTCAGCCAAGTGTTTCTTAGATAAATTTTCTTAATTCATTAATGAGTTTAATTTAATTACTACATAGTAAATATGTCGAATTGTGTAAATTGCTTAACGGCTCTAAAACATTAAGTTTTATTCTGCTTTAAATCCCCGACGATAATTTTAGAAAGAAATCCTAACCACTAAGACACGGATCGGAAAAAGAGCAATCTACACCCAACTTATAGTACAAGGATCGAACTCCGGTCGAATCGTTATAGACGAAAGCTCTACCCATCACATTAAATAAGAATCTAGTTTTTGCTGAAATAAATATTAACGCATTGAAATAAGAAAGTCCCTTGGAAGAAAAACGTAAGGAAAAACCGGTATTTTTCGTAACTTCGTTAGCTAGAAACATTCTCCAATTAAATTTTGAACAAGAACTTGACATTCTTATTTTTTCTCTTTCTTTTACAGATTCAGTGTCGTATCATCTTTTTAAAAAATGAACTGAAACTGTTTCCCATTCAAAAAATGTGCCTCCAATCAAGCTTAAAAGTAGAAAGAATTTCCGGTATTGCGCTTTTACACTATATCCTGCAGTCCAGTCATATTCCGCTTATACCGCTGTAAAGAGGTTAAAGAATTTTTTTTACTGTATGAATAAAAATGTAATTTCGATGTAAATTATCGATCGGCTCTGCATCGAGTCACTGTAGCTCAAGGGATAGAACGCTCGCCTCCCAATTAGGTGTCCGAGGATTGAATCCCTAGGGTGGCTGGTTGATAGAATTCTGAACCCGGCTTGCATCGACCACAGTGCTGACGTAAAATATCCTCAGTGGTAGATGTATTATGGGTTAGAGTTTCCTTGCCGTCAGGTTAACCATCAAAGGTTTTCGTGACTTTCCTCTCCATGTAACGCAAATGCGATTTAGTTCCATCAAAACGTCCTCCACGAACACAAATTTCTCCTAATACTTGATCAAAGAGTTTCCTTGGCTTCTGGATTAGGTGTAAAATTACAAAGCTGCGGAATTGAACATTAGTAGTCATAAACCCAAGGAATTGGGTCGACTGTTCAACGACGGTTATAAAATAAAATAAAATGGTAGACGAATCATTTGCCATCGGGTTAACTGTGAGAAATTTTTGTAGTTTCTCTATCCGTGAAACGCAAATAAATGCAGGTTAGTTTCAACGAAAAGTTCTTCACGAAGGCTAGTTTGTCCCAATGCTTCATCCATGAGTTAATGACAAGGCTATGGAATTGAATATTGATAGTCGTAAACTCAGAATTGGGTAAACTGGTCATTATTAAAATAAAATAAAAATATGAATCGGCATTTAAATTTTGTATATTGTTCAAAAATTGCTTTTTTTAAGAAACACGTGTGAGATATTTAATATTTATATTTTAAAACTAAAACATTCAAATTTTAAAGTATACTTTTAAAGTTAGTTGCATAAAAATTGGCAAAATTTAAAAGCTTATAACTATCCTTATTATTTTTTTTAATACGTAAGCAAATAGGCAGTATACAAATGTAAAATACAAAGATAGAAATAAAATGCGACAAATTATCTCGAATAAATAGATAATAAGAATAACCCGTTGCAAGGATATCTTAGATCGAGTATTGATTTTAATGAAGTGGTTCTCGGAAGGAAGAAATAAATGTTGTAAACAGAAATCTGTGTGTGCGATTTAGAAAGAGATAAAAACCACAAAATAAATTTTAGAGAAAACACGCATATTTTATAATGCAAGAACATGATTTTTATTTATTTGATTATTATTGTTATATGTTTCATTTGAATTGTTGCTAATAATTGTACAACTGTGTCAGATATTTGTACTACTTAATATTTTATCCGTAGGAAAGATAAGTCAAAATGAAAAATTTCAATGATTCACGCAGTTTTCAGTTCATTGCATAACGTTTCATCTCATAACATTTTTCTAAACATAAAAATGAGTTTATTGCTACATGTTATTAGTGATTGGTGTCCTATAAATATAAACTTAACAAATAAACAATGTCATATTTATAGATTTATTTAATATACAATGTAGAAAGTATCAAAATAATGAAAATAATGAAAATTAATGATAAGGATAATGATCATACAGGATGAATCCTAATGAATTTGATGAAACTAACCTACCTTTGCGTTTCATGGAGAGGAAAACCATGAAAACAATCAGTTACTTAACTGCAAGGGGATTTTAATACACGATCCATCTACTACAGTGGATGTTTTACGTCAGCACTGTGGTCGGTGCAACCCGGGAAAAGAGCTTGTATTAACCTACTATAGCTGGAATTCGAGCCTGGGAACACCCCATTGGGGGCAAGCGCTCTATAACAGAAGCCACCATAACTTGTTTCAGGCTAATTGAAAAGGCTAATTTACTTCTGTTGAATCCACCCGAAAAGCCTCTTTTAACTCATACATCATATTGCAATGGTAGCAAAAAGTTCAGCTTGAAACCCTAGCATCATAATAAGCACTTATATTAGACTAAATTCTCAGTATTATTGTGATATACTCTTTTTTTCATGATGCATAAGTATACAAAATATATAGGATGTTAACTATTGAATTATGTGATATAAAAACTAAGTTTTTTAAAAACTACTAAGTTCAAAAACTTCATGCAAGCAACAATTATTCAGACTTAGTTTACGGCATCGACGCATCGATGCAATGCACGCTTTAAACATGGTGCATTTCGACGATGAACCAGAATGCGAGTCCGCATGCTCAAACATTATCCCAGCGTGTCCTGCCTTTAATAACCAAGTTTTAACTGAATCTCGTCAACTGTTTCAAAATTAACTATGATTTTTTTAACAATAAAAACTATGAATGACTCTTTTTCAGTCTCGTCAGTTTCCTGTTACAATGGTTTTCGTCAAATAAAAAAATAAAAATAAGTGTTTTGCATAAAAAGGATATTTAAATTGTGTCACTAAAGAAATAACTAAATTCTATACTCTTACAAAATTGTCAGCGTTTAATCACTGCAAGTTTTTAACAAAGCTCTTCTTTATGAATAGCTTCAAATGCAAGGTCAAACCAAGTTAAAACAATTCATTCAATAGAAAACGCACGCTTACATGCTGTTTTAAATTAGTTAGGTACCTAATTTTCTTATTGCAGAATTGAAAAACATATATTATATTCCACTTACAACATTATCCTTTAAACCATATGTTTGTTTGTTTTTCAAATAAAACAGCAAACCATCACGGTTATATTACCAAACTATAATTGCATAAGTAAATAATAACGTGATAAAATAAAACTAATAATTTTAAAAACTACGTTTTTCAAGTAGACTTAAATGGAGAAAAAAAATTTATTTTGTTTGACCTAATTTTAAAAAATATGAGACGCATTACTTTCAAAAGACGTGAGGAAAGTTTCATTGGCAATCGAAGACTACCACGAAAATGATGCGACTTGCATTTTCCTTTATAAAACTATTTTTTACTTGAAAAACATAATTTTTAAAATTTTTGTTTTACTTTATCATTTCCTTTCGTTTTGCGTCTGCTACTTTGCTTAAGTCGTAATGTGGACAAAATTTCTAAAGGCTGTAATTATTGCTTAAGAATTTAGGAAACAATGGAAACTTGTGTTAGTCAGAGGCACAAAGCTGAAATATAAGCACTGTAGCTAATCGCAAAGTGGTAGAGATTTCGATTAACGATAAAATCTATTTGAGCAATAAAAAGCGAAATAATTTCTGCTTGCGACAGTCATGTGACAATGGAAACTTGTATTGTCATACAGCAAAGAGTTCCTGCTTCTTTTAAAACACTCTAGCTAATCGGAAAATGGTTGAGTTTTGGATCATTCGATCTTCTAGCTTCTGCTTATATCAATTAGGAAACGATCGAGATTTGCATTTTCCCTTAGAAAACAACTTCAGAAGAAATTTAAATCATTATATCAACATTCCTAATTTATGTTTCAACAAAATTATGTTAGTATACGCTTCAAATACATTAACTATACTTTTTTTTATGGAGAAAATACAATATTTTTTTAATTGTAAATAAATTATCAATTATTAAAAGAACACAGAAAAAAATGCATTGACTAAACTACCCGAATAGATACGGTAAATTTTACAGTGTTTCAGGCACTATAGGAACACCAAAAAGATATATAATTTTTACTGAAAAGCTTTGGTAAAATTAACAATAAAATTCAGATTCATAATATGCGATAAAATTCGGCAATTTTATCAAGATACATTAGAGCATGTTATAAAAACAATTATTAAGTTTAACTTCAGTTTTGTATTTTTAACTAATTGTGTGGTAGTAAGGAATATATAATGTGCGGTAATAAGGAATGGAAATTAGAATTTCTGGTTAACCATTACAATATGAACGAAAAAATCACCAAATGAATGGTTTAAATACCGGATATTTCACTTTTATTAACCAGAATTATGGTTTCTTTTACCTGAAATGTCATTACCACCCAGTGCGGTAATTTTACCAGAAATTTTTTCTCCGTGTAGAGTCACCGTGTAAGAATAAAAACTTTAAATACCGTTACTTACCTTTAGTTTAGAAACCCACATAGTGTTTTATAACATAGTTTAATGTTATTGAAGTTCCAACAGGGATTTTCAAAATAGAGAGAAATACTTCACAATTTATTCTTTTTTAAGCATGAATTCAGCAAGTATTGCATATATTTTCCATTTTCTTATCTTGAATAGAAAACACTATTTCTTAAATTGCTAGCTAAATAAAATGAAAACTAGTTCAGGTCATTATTTACGACAAAAGACTAATTTAATGCTTATCTTCAATTTATATGAATGCAATCTGACCCAAATATTTCTGTAAACGAAAGGGTTGATACTGCAGTTTTTTAATAGTACCTACACTTTCATGCTTGACTTATTTCAATTTTCTTAGAAATTATTTTTTTGAAAAATAACAAGAGAAAAGTGCCATCACGTAAGAGGTAATCTATCTCTATCTGCTTATCGAAAGTGTTTGTTTTGGTACTAAAAATAGTTAGATGTAATTATCAAATTAAATCGCGTTTTGTATTTTGCGTTACTCTTGTATATTGCAATAAGAAAAACAGTAATCAAAAAAATATCAATTCTGCAGTATGTATATGCATTTTATCGTTTCTAGTCTTAACTTATGGTATTTAAAACTATTTGTCGATTTTTTTTATTGTGATATCCTTGTTTAGATTTACTTATTTTTTTCACTTTATTGTATGAACTTATATTGTTTTATTTTTTAGTAACTATTACACGGAGAAAACAACTCAGAAAAAATTCCGTAATGTCAGGTAATTACATTTAGGGTAAAAAAAAACATAATTCTAGTTTGAAAAAAAGTATATGGTGTTTAAACCGTTTATTTTTTAAAGTTTCTGTTCATGTGGTAATGGTTTACCGGAAATTTCGGTTTTCAAAATTATTGTTCGTAATACCACACATTTAGCAAAAAATACAATATTGAAAAGTAAACTTAACAGAATAAAGTTTTCTCTAAGGTATCATGATAAAATTACCAAATTTTGTTACATTTATCAATTTTTATCTCATATTCTAAAACCATATTGTATTGTAAATTTTACCAAATTCCTAACCAAAGTGCTTCAGTAAAAGTAAGCAATCTTTCTGATGTTCCCATATGGCTAGAAATGAACTAAATTTCACTATATTCTGGTAGTATTGACTATACTTAGGGAAATTTTTTAAGAATTGCATATTTTTATTAACATAATGACTTTATTAAGCATTAGTATTAAAATAAAGAATGATAATGAACAATAAACATACTATGATACACATTTTAATTTAATTAAAAACTGAATTAAAGTATTCTCAACATAAGGATTAGAAATTAACCGAAATAAGATTTGCATTTATGATACAGTTTTTGCCCAATAACTTACGTACCAATAAACTTAGCTTTTTCCATATAACATAACTAAAAATCTGAAAAGAATCACAGTAAATAAAGAGCGTAAATGTCATACTCCAGATTTCAATAATAAATATTATAGCGTTTACAAAGATAATGAATTGATTCTTGCAAGAAGAATTTTAAAAGTAAAACTGAAACCTAAAATATTCAATTTCATTTTTTGCTGTTTAGTTATACATTAGGTAAATTACCAACTTTCAAACATGTAGCATTAATTTCATTAAATAAAAAATTAAATCAACTTACTCAAAAATGAATGGATTTCCTTGAATATAACTTTTCTTCTATTAATTTTAAAGCATTAATAGTTAGACACAAAGTAGTTGCACTAAATGAACTGAGTATTAAACAGCGATAATAAATATTAAATGAAGTATAAAGAAAAGGTCTATTTTAATTAAGTAAAAAATTCTTAAATTAACTTACTCAGAAATACATCGATTTTCTTAATATAATTTAACTTCTAAGAATTTTAAAACTTTAATAGTCAAATACAAAGATGTAGCACTAAATAAACTGAGCCTTAAATTAAGATAATAAATTAAACTACATAAAAAAGAATTAATTTACTAAATAAAAATTTCTAAACTTAACTTACTAAAAAAAACGACTTCCTAAGTGTAATTTAAGTTATTTTAACTTTAAAACTTTAATAGTAAAATACAAAGAAGTTGCACTAAATGAACTAAGCATTAAGCAAATATAATAAATAAAACTGTAAGAAAAGCATATATTTAATTAAATAAAAAAATCTTAAATTTACTTACTCAAAAATGAATCGATTTCCTGAATGTTAATTTAACTTCGATTGATTTTAAAACTTTAATAGTTAAATACAAAGTTGTACTAAATGAAATGAGCATTAAATAAAATTTTATTTTTAAATTCCTTAATACTTTTAATAATTTTAATTTAAATTTATATTGAATGTGTTATTTTAACTTTAATTATAACAATACTTTCTTTAATCAATATAATGTAAAACAAATCTCACTCATTTATCTAAGTTAGGAACAAAATATTTGTTTTTCGGATAAGAAATCTAAAAACAGCATACGTACACTGAAATCTTTAAGCAACGACAGTGAGAGACGAAATTAATTTGAAACTTTTAGCAAATTTTAGCAAATACCTACAAGTATTTGTGTTTAATAAATGTGGAGTACAACACAATGTCGAAATTGGTCTAAATAAAATATCGGCTCACTAACAAGAATGTGGCGTGACTCAGTTAGTATTACTTCCTATGTTAATTCAGTCATTATATCTATCGCAGAGGATTTTGTTTTTTGTGTTTTAGTTAAAAACAAAGACATTTAAACTGATTTAAGCAAACTGTTCGAAAATATAGACTCAAGGAAAACGTCACTTCGCAGTTTTTAAAAAATCTGTATCTCGATGTATCATGTTTGATGTATCAAGGAGAAAAACGGGAAACTTAAAACTTGAATGATTTCAATGAAATAAAGAACGACAGTTGTTTTCGTAATCTATCCAGAAAAACTGAATTTTGTTGTTCTTAAACCATCAACTGGAGTTATTGAAATTTAATAATAAAACCTGTTGCGTAACTGAACTATTTGATTCCTGTATTTTAAAATAACTAAGAAAAACTTTAATATTTAGAATTTTAACACTTTTTTTTACTTATGTCATAATTTTCAAATCTTTTTTTTATTTAAGGGGAGTCGGTAGGGCATTTACCAATAATGCTAAAACTGATCTTTTTCGGTTTACCTTTTCTCAGCATCTAAACAAGATATTGCTTCAGTTTGCTTGTTTTTTCACAGAATATTTATATATACATGTTTACACTGTGATAACTGCTAATACAGATTTTTGCCAAGAAATACAAACAACTGATACATACAGCATACAACTTACATAATCTGTAATATCCCCCAAAAAATTTCAAAACGATATCATAAGTAGGCCATCGAAGAAGGCCAGTTTTAGCATTATTGATATATGCCCTACCGATTCCCCTAAAGTAAACTGAGAAAAATATTAGCACAATGTTTAATTATTGCACAACATACAATTTACCAAAATGGATTTTCAATATATCTATAAAAATCAAATAGAACCGTTAAATAAATAATCCCGTGAAACTAAAGCGATGGGATATTACTAGATAAAACAAACTTCAATGGCTTTATAAACATGCAAATGGAAATAAAAGTCTACATGTTTCAACTGCTCAATAATTGGCGCCCATTCTCCAGATGTGCCTGGCGTGAACGAGAAGACTTTCAAATTTCTTTTGTTTCCTCTCAATTATTTCATTCTCATTTTTGTTTCTTTCCTTTTTTTAATCAAGCAAATATAAATGCATTTACTTCAAAAATATACAGATTGGAAATCACAGTAGCTCATTTTTTAAGCGCTCAAAAATAAGAGCCGATTTTCAGGACTTGCCAGACGCGAATGAGAAGAAACAAAAGTGATTTCAAAGATCTTACTTTTATTTACTATTTGAAAGATCAATTTGCTTTTGTTTCTTATGATTCACGTCTGACAAGTCTTGAAAATGGGTGTCTATTTTTAGGGTGCAAGCCGGGTGCGGAATTCGTTTCGACCAGCTATCGCTGGGATTCGAACCTGATTCACCTCATTAGAAGGCGAACGCTTTATTCCCTGAGTCACCACGGCTCCAAAGCCATTGTTTATCATCACTCTATTCTATTATCTTTATGCCCTCTATATTCTTAAAAAAGAAGAAAAAACATATGTTGTTAAAAACAGCAACTGTTCTAAGCCCTAAGCCAATGATTTTAATTTGTGATTTGTTCAGTTTCAAGAAAAGGTGAAATCAAAATTTTCTCCAGAACTGAGTCTCAAAACTGAGTCTAAATTTTCCTAACCTAGCTTTCAGACTCAACATGTTTGGCTTGATGTTATTTCGTATCATCTCTGGACATCCACGCCTATGCAGTCTTTATTTATCAACTTCTGATTATATACCTACCTATCCTCTTCAAGCCAGCTGACTTCAAGTCTCTTTTCCAGGTCCCTCGTGTCCTGAGCCAGTCCTCTTGCCTCCTCCCATCCGCTTAGTTTCGCTTTGCACAGATCTTGGTGCATATATCTTTGCCAAGTAAGTCTCGGCCTTCCTTTTTCACGTTTTCAATCCAGTGCCCAAGTAAGTGAGATATTAGCCCGTTTCAAATGAAGAGTATATTCAGTCCATCTCCATCTTCTCTTCAAAATTTCTTCATAAATGGGTGATAATTTCTTCCTTTGTTAATAGATCTTTATTTGAAATAGTGGTAGGCCAGAAAATTTCAAATAATTCTTAAACATTTGTTCAGGAATCTTCTGATTATAAATACCATGCAGATATTTTACCGTGACCCCAATTGGGCTCAAAATTTCCTCAATCCTACAGGAATATGCACCAAGCAACCAATGTTGGTGTGTCTAGATTTTTCAATATTGGTGCTAGAATGTCTTTTAATATTAGGCAAAAACGATTCTATATAGGGTCGCTATTGGTTGAAAAGTGACTATTATATATCCGATGAAATGGACAATTCTATACAGGGCCAATAATGGCTGAGAAATGGATATAAAATATAAGGTTAATCTAACAATTCTACGAAGGGCCAAATATCGGGAAAATATCGGCTTTTTTTACCCTTATTGAGTCAAGATTAATGAATATTAGATCAATGAGGACCCAAGTTATTTTTCTGCTAAGGTGTCCCTGCATTTTATTTTACTCAAATTACTCTTTACCCGTAAAGTGAAGACTATGGGTTATTTGAAAATCGCACGATATCTGCAAAGTTTTCAAACAAA